CCTACACTACATGCCGAGTGTGGCAGTCAAAAAAGGTAGGTTGAGGTGATGGAGCGAGGATATTGATGTTGAGGTCTTCGTCGCAACCAGAGTGGTGTAGAAGGAAGAGAGGATTTCCATCTCCCATGCATGCAGTTCATGTCACTGGTCAGGGAAGATGAAGTTGTTGCCTCGGCTCCGCCCGCAGCATCTGTCAAGAAGAGGCAATAGGCAGCTCCTGCTCCACAGGTGCAGTGTTATTATTTCTTTCCCATTTGTACCTTACCTCGCACCTTCTGCAGCGTCCTCGATATGAAAATTAAGTCCCGTTTGGGTGGTGCAGGCGATGCTCGTCACCTTCGTCCCTTCGTGCCTTCCTCCTATCCGTACCTCACCAACCAACGTTATCTGGGGCAAGGCAGGTGCCAAGTGCACCTCAAGAAAGGAAACACCCAGCACACTCTCACCTCTTTCCTTGGAGGCAGCGCAAGGAAAGAGGTATCCAATGAGGAACGCCAGGTTGTATCCCCACGGTACGTTCTTTCCAAAGTATCGTGGTATTGCTTACATAATATTCGTGCCTTGGTTGCTTAGGTAATGAACGAGGTTTAGACCTTTTGCCTGTCACGTTCACTGCCACCATCCCTTCACCTCTTTAGCAGTGTGGCAGTCTACTTTACTTCAATTTGAATCAACGTCGGCCACAAATCTCCATCACCCATGCAAAGCTGCATTCTCCAAAGCCCAAGCCAGTTTCGTATACCATCCCGGCTTGCCCAGGACTCCAGACCAAAGCTCCTCACGGACATGCTATACGGATATCCCTGGCCATCGCAGCCCATACACGGGGGCACCTAAATACTCATGCCACCACAACCGATAACACCGGTCGATATCAGCCACAGCATACCAAATGTAGGACACAGAGTCGAACTCAAATCACTCGATTCTGTCTCGCGTCTAGCGCCTCAATTCCCAACATCGCCAGCACTGATTGTTTCGACCCTGGCAGCCTGGCCCCATAAGCCTCTTCGTCTTTGATTGCCCCCATGGCTTGACTTCAGACTCTTCCATTGATTGTCCCCTCTTTGGTCTAGGTACTCCCAAGACTCCGTAGATACGGAGACTACCTAGCCGCTTTGTGGCTCGATGCTGTACGGTTGAGCCACCCTGCACCATGCCGTGTCTGGCTAGCCTCAACCGGAATGGACTGTCGCTACTCCGTACTTCAATCGCATACCTGGGTAGGTAGTTAGGTATTCTCAGGCTCCCCCAGTATCCTCACTTCTGCGTACGGATAATATCACTCACCACCCCCTTTCAACTCGAGCTCGGACACCACCATATTTAAAGTCGTCCAACCAACGACGCTGGGGACAAGCCGCCTTCCATCGACGGATACAGACTAATTAATACCCCCCAGGGCCTCAGTAGCTGCATGACAGAGTCAGTCGGCTGCCCGCTTGCTTTTTCTCCCTCAGTCACAATCACACCAGCGGCCAGCCCTTCTCGACGCTCACGCTGCTCGAACTCGGCCTCGGTTGCGTCCAGATGAAAACTGACGGAGAAACTGACGGATGAAGAGCAGTATCGCTTTTCACGAAGCCATACGCATCGCTACTTCTTGCTCCGAACCGTACCCTTGTTACGACCGATGCAAGCTCTACCAAAACGTCTTACCGGTGCACCTCGTACTTGGTTGTCCGTCACACCGCGCTTGGAATGATCGAGGTCGGCTCTTCCAAGTCCTGGGGCCTAGGCATCTGTATGTATGTACCAAGACTGGCTCGCTCGTCTGATCTTATTCCTGGTATCCTTGGTCGCGGCACTCCAGGCTGGCTTTGGAGAGTCTGCCGCACCGGAGCACCGGCCGGGCCCATCTGGCGCTACCATTGTGTCACGAACTGCGTATTTGTCTACGGCACCCCCTTTGGCAGATCACCAACTCAGGTTTCGGCTTCCATTGCATTTCGCCAACCAAAGCCTAGTCCGGCCAGCCTGGTGCCACATATCCGACATTGACATGGTGTCCGTCCTGCATTCAAGACTCCATCTGACCTTCTGGCTTCGCTTCACTTAAACATGTTTTTTTTTTCCTCCTTTTTCTTCCTGGTTCGGGACACTGTGGAGGTGGATTCGACAAGTCTCAGCTGCCCAGTCACACTGATTGTCTGGCACGTTGATAAGCCGGCCATACCGGTATCAGAGAGGAACTAACAGCTCTCGGCGCCAGGTGGTGGGGACGGCTGAGTTCTTCTGTTACTTCCATCATCATGGCATGGCCAAACCTAGTTTGACGAGCAAGTTGGAGTCGGACAACATCTCCACCGCTTAACAGGACATTTTATTGCCGGTGGCTTCATCGCCGGCGTCGTCTTTGGGCGGCTCGGTCTGTTGACTGTTGACTGTTGACTGTTCAGAAGATTCGCTGCAGTAACAGTCCCGAGCCGCTGCGAATGCCTCTGTTCCCAATGATAGACATCCATCATTCGACCACCCGCTCGTTGTGGAGCTCGTCGTGACTGAAGCCAGCGGAGCATGGCCCTCGGACCTTCCAACTCGAAATGTCGAAGTGTTTTGGCCCCTTCCTGGACCCGGCATAACATGCAAGTCTCGAAAATCCATCTTACTTTCCCTCCCTCCACCCCAGCAGCCCTCACTTTGTTGCATCTGCAAGGATAGCCAATATCAATGGAGACGGTGGCTGAATGACGAAGGGATTTGCAGGCACGCATTTTCTCGCTTTCTTCCTTGCTTACCGGACACTCCATTCATTCCGACACACATAGTCTTCACAGGCTACATCAATACATTTGGCCATCAGAAGTGACCACCGCCTATCCGTGCCGAAAGACGAATCCCCATTTTCACGAATTCAACCCCTATTCCCGGTTTAGCCTCGATCCTGTTTTCGTCTACGGGCGAATAACGATGGGGCATCAGACCCATCACAGCGACTCAGGCAGATCACGCTGAGTGATGACGACTCCCCACTGGCACACAAAAGCCTCTGTCTCCATTGGCAATAGCCTCCCTTCAAGGCTCCAACCAGTTTTACAGAGAGAGACCATCCGTAATTTGGCGTCCCCGGAGCCTGCCCCGCGCGGATCCGACTATTGGCACACCTTTGAGTACCTCACGCAGTAGGCAGTGGTGGTGGTGGTTCATTTTGCGCTTCGCGCCTCCACATAAGTCCCCCGCCCGCCCGCCGCCGACGCTGGCGTAACACCACGCACTTACCTCCGGCCGGCCGTCCCGGGGCCGCGGAGTGTTGTGGACGTTCACTTTACGGTATGAAATCTGATTCGATTGACTGAGACCGATCTGCCAAGTGACAGATAGCACTATTAAAGCTCTTTCGTGCAAAGCGGCCTGGGCACCAAGAATTCATCTTTGTCTCGCACACTTACGCATATACGATTTGATCGCCCACTCCCCGGAGCCCGATGTCAGTCTCCACTGACGACACTGAGAACTTGGAAGGAAATCTAGCTGTCGGGACTGGAAATGAGGACTGTCTTTGGTGACGATGATGAGAGCACACGGCATCCTCCCCCGCCGGCCTTATGCTCACCATTGAGTGTTGCTACTGAGATGATCCTGGCTTGCCATTAACCCGGCCACCTGGACTCTTGCGAAGTTCTGACTGATGCTCACCTGGCTTTTTCTACTGTCTACAGTGCGATGAATCGTAGATAGTAAGGGAAGGCTTGCTCTGGATCGATGGTTCGAGTGATATATGGGGCCCTTGTGAATCGAATTCGCCCATATAAGAATGTATGGTCATGGGTTCTCTTGAGAGTAGAACCGTTCACTAGCTAGTTCCACCTGCACATGAGCTGGTTATAATCGGTGATCTTACCGTGTCACTCAGCAATGCTCGGCAGTCCTGTCTAGTCATCTCACCTCGGCTATTCATAGTCTCTCAGATGGTCTTTGGAGGCTACATACATGCTCTTATCGGCTGGTTCAACTCTGTCAGCTATGTTTACAAATCAGCATCTCCATGCAGTCAGAAAGGGTTGGTCACCGAGGAATACGGCCTGTGCTACTATGTCCACTGATGGAGATCGGGTATCCAATCCATAAACTCACTCGCCTTACAGTCCATAATCGTCACAGGCCGGTCTATCAACTTGGCTGAAGGTACATCCTATCGCGACTATGCAGACAGCCTGGTGAGTTTGAACCTCAAAGAGAGGTCCGTGTTTCTTGTGAAGCTTACATTGAAAGCACGACGAGTTCCTTGAGAGGTTTACTTATCTTGCAGAGCCTCTTTTCTTGCCGTCTACGCCTCTCATGTGGTTACCGTCAGGGGAAACAGAAGATGATATCACCACAAACGTTGAAAGGGTGCCAAAGCAATGTATGCCGTCATTGAATGGAAGCTCGCTCGTACTGCGTCTATACAAATGCTGTCCAAACTCCCCTGCAAGTGCGCAAAGCGTGACGGTATCTTCGAATGCCTAAAAGATATCAGAATTTGATTATTAGGAGCGACATCGCGAGCATAACTTCGACTCTAGGCAGCACCAGTTTACATAAGTTGATAATCAGCCTAAAGAAAAGAAACTCGAGGTTGATATCGTTTCCCTTGGAACACTTTTGAAATAAACGTGGAGGGAAGATATGAACAGAGGCTGTTTCGACAGATCGCAATCCGATTGTCCCCAGAACAATGCTTTGAGTACATGTATCTTTTAGACATCGACCTTGTTCTCTACTCCTCAGTAACAATCGACAGTTGCCTTTGACTCATTGTCCCCTTTGCCAGAATATTCATCTCCAACTTTGAAAGAATATTGTGAGGCAGAAAATGCAGTGTTTGACTTGATTTCCATTTCAGGAATAAACAGGAATCATGTAGGCAATGTGAAGAAACGATAGACAATCACGAAGAAACCTTACGGCTGAGACTGACTGAGCCCATCTATATATATATTGCCCAACATACACGATGATCCACGCCTTCTGGGCTCCCATATCAGTAAACAAATCAGCACAGTTACAAACTCATCACAATGTCGCATAGAGAAGACACCCAGAATCTCTTGAGCCTCAAGGGCATCCTGCACACGGACGAGGGTCCTATCGGCGACGAACCTAACTTCCGGTCTCTGCGAGACGGCCGCAGGTATGTACCTTCTAAAGATTCTGACGGCATTAGAGATGTCACCTTGGTTGAGTTTCCTCAATTGGACGCCGCTCGGGAAGAGAAGCTCGCCAAGCTTGCAGCGGACTTGGTTAAGCCCTCCAAGGACGCTTCTTGCGTAAGTTTATTTCCTCGAACCCCTGAATGAGATGCTGACATACCTTGGGCGTAGCAAACGATCGTAAGGTATCTCGACTATATCCCCAAAGACAAGGTTTTCATCATCGAGAGACTTCCAATGCAAGGATCATGGCGACCCGCGAGAGGGCCTACTCAGGACGATACAGTCCTCGACGTAGCCTGGGACCTCCTTCTCGCCCTCGCACTGCTACATGAGACAGGTACTGTACACGGAGACGTCCGCCTCCACAACATCTTCCCTTTCCCTTCAGAAGACTCGTCGCGCGTCCGCTTCAAGCTCTTTGGACACGGCCTCGTTCCAGAGGTCATCAGCCACCAGCTGCGGAACGATGGCTTCACGGCCCCTGAGCTTCGTTTGCCGGGCAAGTGGTATGACATCAGCACCAACACGAAGCCGACGTTCGAATCTGATATTTGGATGCTGGGCATGGTGCTTTGGCACGTTCACCGTTTCGGCGTCTACTACGACGGCCGCGGATCTGCAAGACAACGGTGGGAGTCGGATAAGATGGACCAGCCTGACCTGACTGACGGCGCGAAATATGGCATCAATCCCCTGCCTACCCGGCCTCGTGGCTGTGAGCCTTCGCCTCATCGCTTTGTGGAGGATCTGCTTCACAAGATGCTCATTCCAGACCCTAAGCGGCGATGGACTGCTGCGGAGTTGCTGGAGCAGATGAAGTTGCAAAAGAATTATACGCCAGCGGAGGATGACATGAAGAGAGATCTGGCTGACCTACAGGCTGCTCTCAAAGGTGAGAAATACAATACATTTAGAAGAATGGTGGCCATGTTGAAAGGGGCCCCACTCAGATCTTGGACGACGTTGGGAGGATATATGTTCTTACTCGCTTTCTTCTGCGTACTTTTGTGAGGATGAATAGTTTCTTTGCCAGTATTTAGGACTCGGGCGGGAGTTTGCTTTTTGTTCGGATCATGCTTGGGATCTTCGGTGCATTGGGTTTAAAAAATGAAAATACTCCCTCTAGCTGAGCTGCTTTAAACTATCGTTTTGCAACTTGCATCATTATCCTTACTCGTAGTATGGGTGTAGTCGGACGAAAGGCTGCATATTTGTTCTTGGTCACACCCTGTCATGTCAGGGCCCAGGTGTGACATGTAGACTGGCTGTTTGACTGGTAATGATAGTTGAAACGAGACCTCCTGTCCCGATAGTCAGTCTTTATTGTCCTGCCAGTCAGACCGGTAAGACAGGCCTGTGATTTCAGTCGGCCGAGAAAAACAACACCTCTCATCGGTTCTTGGCCATCTGTTTGACTGAGCATCTTTCAAGGAATACAGGCCAAGAAGACTTCTAGAACATAGCAGAAGCTCATGGTAATATCATCGAGTGTGGCCAAATTGTGGTCGTGGAGCATCTCGTGATATCTGTCAATCATAATAAGCAACTAGTGGTTTCGCATAAGTCGATTCTCTCAGCTATTTGAATATAGATGGTCACCAGCTGCCTTGTTTCATAGGTAGGTCGGGCATGCGGGCCATGGCAGTGGCAGGCTATAGATCACGAAAATTGGCAAGCCGTGGTATTCCAGTACTTGTTCACGGAACACACCCTGTACAATATCCCGGGGATGCTGATGAGACTCAAAGGCCGCTGGCAGAGATGACTTCATTGTTGGCTTCACAATGAGGGAATAACGCTAAGCATTTGGTCCTGCTCACTGGTTGAAAGGAAGTTGTCAGCGGACATGAGAGCACGACTCTCATGGGATGCGAAATACGCGCTATTCTCAATGACTAGAGATGCTGGAAATAGTTCTCTCCTCGATCTTGGTATCGGATGATCTCATGAACTATCTTCTGAGATATTGCCAACCTCAAGTCAAGCTGGCCCATCGGCGCATTCTACTTTGAGGGACACTGTAGTCATTGACACCAGACTCGTATCACCGAACCTCAAGTCTTCACTCGTGAGAACATCCGTCGCTTTGGACCATGCTTGCGTGTCGTCACACCCATCGGCCTCAAGACGCATTGGCCAATCGTTGACCATCACGTCGCAAGCACGCGTAGACTAGCCCGGCTTTAAAACCTCACCCACTTCATCATTCGCTCATCTCCTACTCTGTCTCACTCAGATCTGACACAATCTAAACGGCCTACACACCCTTAGTAGACGACAATGAGGTTCCAGGTCTCACCATCACTTGCCTCTAAATTCCCGACACTTTATTGCCCACTTGTCGGGAGGTCCCTCTCCCGGGTCAAGTCGTAATGCAGATGTCCATCGAATCCCCAGATCGCCACCTCAAAAAGCAACATACGGCTCTTCATCCGAGGATTCAACTCAATCGATGAATTGCTTGATCGGAGGCGATAAAAAGCCACAAAAACAGAGCCTCCTTCCAACAGGCAAGCACACGATTGGCCAAGTGAACTGCAGTGCCGGAAGAGTGAGGGAGAAGAGGGAAGGGACTCCTTATGCCCACACACTCTCTTCCAGACTACCTGCGTGGTTCTCTGTGCATCAGAGTTCCGGGGATCAAATCCGAGCCAAGGAAAGCTTGTCTCGCCCTTCCCTGTCCGTCTGCACACAACGTCCAAGTGGCATCACAACCACAGCACGGGTTCCCCGTCTAAAAAGAAGCCTTCATATCTTCTCCTCACGTCGTTATCGGGTGTCCTTTCCCCGCAAGCTCGGGAACGGTTGACTATCTGCCCTTCTGTCGTACAATGAGGATATGTAGCGCAGTATCGAGTGAACTACTTACTTACTCTCATCCACGTTTCCGCGGTGTTATCGAATGCGCCCCTCGGTCATCCTGTAAGCCCTCACCGACTCTCAGACCATCCGATAAAACCTCCTTCTCACCCAACCCCTTCACCCTCCGTCCTCCCATAAATTTCACCCATCATCCATCAAACGACGTCTATTTCCATCCGACCCCCTCAACAACTCAATATCTAACCCGCCCCTCCGTTCGCCTGTCTACCTTTCCCCCCAAAGTCCTTGACTCGCCCTCCTCTCTTCCCTTCCCCCTCCATCCCACAAAAAAGATCCCTGTGTTGACGGCATCGTCCCGAGCCAGCCGTAGACCGGACTTGTTTCCAACCTATCTGCTGCTCCTCCTCCCACACGCTGCGCAAGCTACCTAAGCCGTACGTCTGCCGAAGTAGAATAACGCACAGCCGCCGTCGGCGCTGTTCTTGCAGTAGGCTTTTACTACGCGGGTAGTGGGAAATCTGCGTGACCACCCACCAAGAAACCCGAGATTCCCACTCAAGACCGACGTGCCGGGTTGACCCTCGCTCGGACGATCCCAACTCCTCAGAGTTCGGGCTCTGATACCGGGGGGAAGACAGCCCAACGAGCCGGCTCCAAAGTTTCATTTGCTTTTCGCACCGCCTGCTAGCCTTTGGATACGGGCTCATCGTCATTTACACTCATTAATTCTCGCTCGCTTCCTCCTTCGCAACGCTTCTGATTTCCCCTTTTCACCTCGACTCCGGTCCAAGCCCATCTCCTGTTACAGGTTTCCTGTCACTGAGCTTACCTCCAAAACACCAATTCACCTGTCTCGCTCGAATTGCAGTCCGGACTCATTGACGGCGTTAACATACCCGAGACATCTCACCGCGATAGCTCAACTCTCACTCAAAAACTCACACACCACTTCTCAAATACCACCGCGCATGTCTCAGTCTAACAGTAGCCACCGCAGTCGCGCCCTCACCAAGACAACCCGCTCGGGAGACACAACCATGGCCCGGACGCGGCGCTCCTACTCGCCATCCTCCCGCTCGCGCTCCTCCTCCGCGGGACCCCGCGATCACCACAAGAAGCCCGGCATAAAAACCGCAGCCGTCTTCATAGCCGCCATCGCCGTTGCCTCCCTCGCCGTACACAAGCTCTGGCCGCGCGGCATAATCCACTCGGAAAAGGAGCACTGGGAGCACTCGCCCTCGCCGGGCGGCCGCCGGTCTCGCAGGCGCAACGCCATACGGGATCGGCACAACGGGTATATCGACTACGACGACCACAATGTCTGGGACCGCAATGACCATCCCCGCGACCGGCGGCGACTGCCTGAGAGGGAGTATTATCCTCCTCGTAGCCGCGGCGGCGGACGGTCACGGGGCTACGGAAGTGAGAGCGAGGGGGATTCATACTACTCTGATGACTACCTTCCATCCCCGAGCGAAAGACGAGGTAGACTCGAGGGAGACGGCCGAGGGCGATCACGCGATGTTGGCGCGGAAGGAGAAAATGAGATGGTAAGATATGAAAAGCAGTCCAACAGGTCAGAAGCTGCTGGTAGTCGGTTTGTGGAGGAGCGGTTACCGAGACCACGATATAATGAAGCTGTGGAGGATTGGAGCCGGCGCGGTGGTCAACGATTTCCGTCACCACCCGGCGAGCCAGAGTATGTGGATCGAAGGTCGCGGCGGAGGTCTGATTACTACTAGACGGTTGAAATCATGTTGTCGTGAGATGTCGGCATTACAGTCGCAAAATTTGAACGAGCCTGTGAAATAAAGCCATGTAAGATGCATGGTTACCATGATATGCTATTTGGCCGTGTTGTTTGAGCCAGATTACCAGCCAGTTTTAATGCCATCCCGTTGTACTCCTGCAACTGCGCCGAACCACCCTCTCTTCCTTTAGAATTTCGCTTCCCTCAAATGTAACGTATTCATCATGCTCATCTATTCCTCGCCGGTCGGTACAACAGTGTTGTTTGTTTCCACGGGAATTTCCATACAAGGTTCACTCTCGGGTGCCGGACTTGGCGGTTGCTCCGTCAAGCTCATGGCCTCATCTACAGCAGCTTGCCAGCCTTCTCCTGCAGTCCTCATAACCAGAGGAGTGCTAATTTCTGCGGCAAAGTAGTTCTCTTTGCGCATGTTGACACGCGCCACACCCTCTAATGCTGAGTAGGCAGCACGAGTACTACGCATCCTCTTACTTGGCCTGCCACCTTCACTGAGCAGACCGCTTCGTTGCATGCGATTCTGCATGAGACGATGGTCGTAGTTGATGATACTGCGCACATAAGGCGCCACTTCGAGGGTAATCAAACGCATCGTACGATCAAACACCGACGGCTCTAGACTGGTGGCCATCATGGCCGCTGCCTTCTCCGAGATAGCGATGGGATCGAAAGCCACGGCCATGTCATAGCGGTTGATCACCTCTTCCCGGGAAGGGGCGACGAAGAATTGTCCCATTTGACTGATTGCGCTGTCTTCTTGGAAACAACCCAGATTGACTGTACTGCCGTCTCGTAGGGGTGCGGTTTGGAGAAGTTGTCGAGCAGCGCATTTGAGGCCGGTGGCGATGGTTGTGGCCGTATAGGTGTAGTCAGTTTGAAACGGAGCTTCGAGCAAGCGCCGGCCCAGAATGAAGTCGTCGCGGGTTTTGATAGGGAGATCCGGTTGCGTAGGATCGAGAGGTTCCTGTATATGAGTTAGCCACAGTTGCGAGATTTCGGACGTCATTCAGTCTACTTGCCTGGAACTGGAGACCAAAGTCACCACCAGAGCAGACATCAGCTGCGCTCATGAGATCAGAGAACTCAGAAAACACGTCTAGCGCGGCAGCTCTATCGCTAGGCGAAGAAGTCACCACGCCGTCTGCCCATGTGGCCATGTCAAGTGAGTCATGCCAGTTGCCCAGATCCATTCCGAGGCCCTGCCAGCATTGGCTCACCAACTCTTCTTCAGCAGCTCGTGCGCTGGGAACGACTGCTCGGTCACGACTGATCCATCCCATGCCCTTCAAGTACGTTCCCTCGCTGACTACGCGGACGACATCGCCGTTCTCATCTTTGTCGCAGCCTTTTGGCCATCGTGGGTAAAACCAGTCAAAGCCACCTCGACGGTCACCAACTCCAAGCTGACACCAGTAGTTGAGCTCCATCAGAGACGCTCGGAGATCATTGCCCTTTGATTCATAGAGAGCGCTCACGGCTGCTCGGCTGAGGGCATGACCTTCATTGGCTGCAACGAGTAGAAGTACATCGACCGCCAAGAGTGCTGGTGGTGGTGTGAAGCGGAGGATTCCATAGAGCATGAAGCTGTGGAATGGAACCAGAGTCTCATCGTTGCAAGTCATGACGAATGGTCTCTTTGACTGCGCAACCAAGTTGATGATAGTCGCCCAAAACTGTTTGTCCTCTTCGTAGAGGAGATCGACCTCTTCAAGGAGGATCAACGACTGCTTTTGGCTCTGGGTCTTTGCCTTTGCCGACTTGGGTGCCTCGGAAGGTTGGTCGACTGCTCTGGGTTGTGATGCCGCTTCTGGTTTGGGAGCTGCCTTCAGCTTGAAGAACGATGTCATGGTGCCTTGCTTGCCGGATTTGATGTCCTTTGCTGTCTCGTCATCGGCGTTGTCCCCAGAATCACTCTTGCCGCCTTGACGATTATGTTGAACAAGGTGATTCTGCGTCATGTCTCCAATCTTCTCCATGACATCTTTGCCGTTACGGCGACTGCTGGCGTTGATCTCAAATATTTCGAAACCGAGCTCCTTTGCGACAGCGTAGACAGCAGCCGTCTTGCCACTGCCATGAGGTCCACTAAGGACGATTGCATTGGTAAGGCGGCTCGCATCTTTGGCAACGTCCCTGCGAACTACAGTCTTCTTCGAGCCACCGTGAACAGGTGTCGGCAACCATTCATCCTCGTCGTCGGAGACCAAAGGTAGAAAGTCTGCTTCATCACCATCTGAAACGATGAATCCGTCCATCTTGGCGCGCTTCCGCTTCTTCTTTGCCGCCGAACCAGGCTTCATGCCAGAAGCCTTCTGGTCTGCAGTGCCTGTGTTGACTGATTGAACGGTTAAGGTTTGCAACCACTCCTTCAACAACACGCCCTCCTCGAATTGAAGGACTTCTTCTCCGCAGATTGGCGCGTATTTGTGTGCCCACGGAAGGTCCTCGCATTGCGACCTGTCATAGGCTGAGAGATTGGTTTCCAACATGGTGTAAAGGCGAGCTACTGCAGGATGGGGTCTCCGATTGGATGCAGTGAGTAACTCGTCATCACTGTCTATACTCGAGATAACCGGCAGAACAGATCGGAGCTCTCGCTTGATTCTTTGTCGAAGCTTGCGACCGCTCTCAAAGTGCTTCTCAGGAAGGCGGAGCTCCGGGGGTGGCGGCTCGTAGTCTTCTGCAGCCTCCTGGACTGACTTCTTGATACTAAGAGTATTCAACGATTCAGCGAGCTGGTCTATAACAGATTCTCCAGGGTAGATGTTCGTAGTTTGCCCCTTTGATTTCCGGGACGAAACTCGGGTGTCTTTGGCAACTGGGAGACGCTCTTCCTCGGGAAGAAGCCCCCTTACATGTGCCATGCCTTGGGCCGGCCATGCTGGATGAGAGGCGCCTGGGACTCTGAGACCTATAGATCGGACACCAAATTGTGGAAGCTGGATCTTGCCAGCTATCGGGGCTAGTCGCTGCTTTCTGGGAGAGCATGGGGTCGACGAAAAGATGGTGGCTCTGGGCGGTTTAGGAGCGGCGGAAGGCGTGTCCACCGGCTTCGCAGCCTTCTTTGCATTGCCGAGAAACAGGGGATGAGTGTTCTTCGCCTTTGTTTTGTCCTGTTCCTGCTTGGGAGCCTTCGCACGAGGCTTTCGGGGTGTCGTTTTCGTTGGGGTAGTGAGAATTTGCTCAATCTCCGAGCCAATGCGTTCGCGTGACGCCGCATCAGTTCCGTACTTGATGATTACGATGCGAGAAGGCTTTGCCGGCGATTTGGATGCCCTGGCACCTTTTGATGTCTCTGCAGGGCTTGGTTTCGGCTTCGGGGGTGAACCAATTGTACCAGTCTTTGGGTTGAACTTGAGCACCTTGGTAGGCTTTTTGGGCTCCTCTCCGACACCAGGAGCTGCGCTCGCCGCACTCGGAGCCGTATTGGAGGGACTATCAATGATGTTCAAAATGGAAACCGGAGCCTGGTTCAGCGGGCCGGTAGCGACATCAGGCTGTAACAGTGCGGGATCGGGCGTTTGGGGGACTTCGTTGGCCAGCGAGGTCGACGGCACGCTATCAACCTGAGAAAAGTGGCTCGTGATATCGATAGGTGGGATAATTGGCTTCTTCCTGGGTCGCCCTCTTTTCTTCCCAGAACTTGGAGGATTGCCAGCACCAGTCTTTTGCCTCTTGCGACCTTGTTCATCCTCGCCTGTGTCTGACAGCGCTGGCTCAACATCGCTGGATGGTTGCTGAGATGCGCGTGCCTGCTTTCGAGATCGAACGGGTTTGCTCTTCAAAGGTGTGCTGTCGATAGCCCGAGGTTGGTCGTCGGTACTCGAATCGGTTCTCGGGGCGTCGGCGGTCTTCCCAGGGACGAAAAATGGGTGAAGCTTTGTGGTGTGGGAGGCGTCCAGCCCATCTGGGGCCATGTTGGCTACCATAAGAGTTCCCATGAGATCGTGCGATGCTATGATGGAAGTACGATTCAGCATACAGTTATGTCAAGGTCGAAAGAGCAACAGGGGCACATTTAATGTGTAGAACAGGAGGAGACTTGGGAACCTACGCCAGGGCCGTCGCGCCTTTCGACTACGTCAGCGGGCATGCAACCGGTGAGGAATTGGGCAGTGAAGAGAGATGTATGCTAATCAAAGTTGAAGGAATCACCAAATGCCCAGAAGATTGGCCCCGTCTACTGCAGAAAAGAGAACATAACAGAGAGTTCCTCCAAGCTTTCGATATGGCAGTGCAAACAGTCGTGTGGGAGAAGTCGAGGTGGGTGGGTTGTCTAAGTATCGAGTGCTCCAGTCGCGTGAATCGCGTCTCCAAATCGCCGGGGGCAGCAGTAGGCGTGTCGCGCGACGTCCATTACACTTAACATCCTGGACCCACCACCTCAGCGTTCCCGCTCTATCTTATCTCATATCTGATCTAATCGATACTACTAGGCGGTCCGCAGATTATCCGACAACAACAACCGCTGCATCTCGGCACACTGTCTTTTCTGCCATCTTTCTGCGGCGAAGGACAGTGCGAAGCCATCGTCAGATCGACTTTTGCACCCCACTACAGCAGAGTCCTCCAACTTTTTTTTTTCTTTCTGCATCGCGACCTTCACTTACACAGCCAGGTTTTCGAGGTTAGGAAGAGCCATTGCAGTCGCACCCAGACCTGAGCCCCGCCAAAACCCGATTCACAGTATCTCTGTAGGCCAAGGCTTTGAGAAGATACAAGATGGCTCCCACTTTCCGCATTCACCGGCCAGACGTTTTGGCATCGCTGCCGCGTCCCCTCGACCATACCAAGGGCCAGTACCACATTGGCGAAGTTTACACACAAAAGCCCGGGTCCAAGAAGAGGAAGAGGCTGGAAGTTGTTGTTGGTGTGGACGGAGAAGCAGCAAACATTTACCACGTAAGTAGCTGTATCGGGGTGCCTCCTCAATACAGCGTCTGACAATAGCTTAGGTGCCATCGTCCGGCCTGCGAACATCGTACCCGATTCCGCCTCAAGAGTCCTTCACCTGCGCGCCGCACTCGATCCGATTCCAGGGAGAAGGCTCAAGTGGTCGCAACAACTACACATACCTCTCCACGAGAGACACTTCCGGCGCAAAGGTTACCCTCTGCCGCGATGTGATCGACACGACTGGCAAGACGAACTCTGCTAGCACGTCTCAGCGAATGCGCCATAAGTCCCCAATCACGCATCTCTTCACTTCCGCCGCCGTCGATACCACTATCGTCAGCGAAACACAGTCTGACAAGGGCCATGTTGTTGCTCTTTGCAAGGACGGCCAGGTCTTGTGCTTGGACGGCGAGGCATTGGAGGAAAAATGGAGCGCATCTTCGTACAGCCTCTGCAAGGATCTGCTTCCCGCGACCGTCTCAAACTACGAGGTGGAATTCTCTCTACATGCTGCGGCATCGGAGGTCCTGAATGGACTGTTTCAGGGTAGACAGGATGCCTTTGGCTCTTTCGGACGCCAGATCGACCCCAAGACCTTCAACCCCGACGTCCTTGCCTTCGTCGCTCGCACTACCAGCGAAGGAACCACTTCAAGATTTCTCATCATTGTCGGTATCATTCCTACGGCACCTTCGCAGCCATTGGTACAGCTCCACGTCACGCCCTTGCCTTCGCAAGAAGAAATCAGCGCCGAGTCAGCCACATACCAGCTCCACACCCAGTCCGGAAAGCTGCTTCAGCTCTCTGGTTCAGTCCTTCGAACCTACGATTTGACGAGCGCTGTGCCCAAGTTGCAAGGCAGTCTGCCTCTGCCGGATCTGACCTCTTTCCTCCAGCTGTCAGAGCACTCGGTCCTTTGCCTTTCGAAAACCTCTGCTAGCATGATGAACCCTACCTTCCACTCGATCCAAGCTTCGACAGCAGTCGAGTTCCCCGAGGCCACTGAGCAGCAGAAGCCAACACTTGTGACTTTCCTGTCAAAGCTCGACATGGCAGTAGCGGTTGTCGGCAACACACTGGTATCCATTCAGATCGAACGCCCCAAGTCTCACAGCAAGGAAGGCCTTCTCATCGATTCCATCGGCAGAGGTCTGCCAAGGTCGGATCGTGTGCCAGCAAGCCTTCCCAAGGCTGGCAACGAAACGTTTGAGAACTACCTCCCAGGAACCCTGTCTGATGAATATGTCAAGGAGTCTCTGGCTGATGTCGTGCGAGCGGATGGATTCATCCAGGCACAAGATTGGAAAGCATTCGAAGCCCTGCTCGCACAGCGGTTTGGAGTCGCAGTCCAACAGGAGGTGGTTTCTAATGAACTCCAGACGCCGACCTGGAAGTGGCTGGCAGAGTCAGAAGCGTACTCTGCCGTCGATCGGAGGTGGGTGTTGTATGCTATCAGCAGAGTCTTCTCGATGGAGGCTCAAAGCCCCGAGTCGGCTGTTCTCCGCTGCAACCTGCCTGCAAGCAATGTCTTGATCTACCTGATTGCTGCCGGCCACCTTACGAATGCCAACATGTGTGCGGCCTTCAAGAGCGAGCTAGCCGAGGTAGCATCCAAGGACTCGGTCATCGACAAGCTGGTTCAGAACCTCGTTGCGATGAACCCCGCCATGGAGCTGCTCCTCAGCTATGTCACAGCAACTAAGCTGGGCGAAAAGGACCTGCTACTGGTGGTTCGCGCAATCATGCAGACCCTCAACATGAAGCCGCCGCAAGAACTTCTTGCGCTGACAGAAACCGAGCAAGAAGAGGATGTGGCGATGGAGATTGAAAAGACAGAACAAACACTGGAGATGGCTGAAGTGGCTGTGTATCACATGGACGACGATCGCAACCTCCGTGAACGAGCTCTCACAACGGCATTCGAGAAGCTCGCAAGCTACTCGTCCATCGCCACGGTGCGCGCCCTTCGCGAGACTCTCAGCCCAACAGAAATTCTGTCACTCATCGACACTCTACGAACCCAACTCTACCGTGGCGCCTGGACATCACGGTACTTTGACATGACAGACATGGACAAGGACGAAGCCGCGGGAACACCGTCGGATGGCACCATCTCTCTCATTGCAGAACTCATTTCCCGATGCATTGATTCCATCGGCCTCAGTGGATGGCTTACAAATGGAGCATCCTCCGTGGGCGGCCGTGCGGATGCATTTGAATTCATTACCAACCTCAGCAACGAGGTCAGCGCAGCCCTGACTGGTTTGCACGAGACAGTCCTCCTGGATGGCTACGTTGGCGAAGCGGTTCAGTACGGCAGAACAGCAAAGACGGGATCATCAGCCAGCGCGGCTGCTTCCGCGCGCGCTGGGGCCCTGGCTAAGCCGGTCTCCCTCGACGTGGAACTCTCGACTCGCTTGCCTTTGGGGCTCGTGTCCAAGCAGCATGTGTCTAACCAGAAGATTGTTTCGGGCGGCGAGGTGCTCGAAAGGAGCTCGCGTGAGAGAGGACACCTGCTGAGTCAGAAGGTCAAGGCGTACTCGCTGGAGAGGATCTCCATTTGAGCCGCATGTCAGACGACAGAGTAATGTGTCGAGGAATCTGGAGCCCCCCACCAACGTGTGAGATAATCGGGCTTTGAAGTAAAAGTTAAGGCTGAAGACAAACAAAATGGAGGAGGCTCTACACGGGCTAATGGTTTAGGGCATTGGAACCCGCCCTGTGACAGTGTAGCCTGCGAGTAAGGGAAAGGAAGAGAGGGAAAAGTGTAGAGGACGAGGACAAGCCAGAAAGTGTAGTGCTCGAAAAGATACCATGAACGGATACCGAAGCGTACATTTCTGCCTCTGGTTGACCGCAACATCGGTAACATTCGGTGAAGGCCAACCATGTGGTGACTGCGAGACGCCGTGTCACCCTCAAACATTGAATAACTCGCCTAGCATAATAGAGTTTACATTGATCGAACAATGGAAATTATCGACCGAATTCTAGCGCCAGCTGACATGAGGATTGGCCTCCGGCAGGGCTGACTTGAGATGCACCCTTCCGTGACCAGACGAATCGGAACGCTGAAACTTACCCGTCGGTGTGACAGACCATTTACAGCTGAGGCATTTCGAGAGAAAGGAAAAAGGCCAGGTTAAGTCTTTTCGAGGACTGACTGAATTGGATGTACCTAGACGATTCAGGGGATGGCTCTCTCCTAGGAGAACTTCTGTTTGCTGATGAATCTGCTGCTCCTGTGGCGCTCAGACCCTAGGTATTTGGCTTTTTCGGTAAGCAGTTCGTGGGAGCAAGTCAAGCCATGAAGCGGGTTCAGCTTCTGAATAATCAAGATCTGGTTTCAACACCCGTTGAACTGCTTCAGTATACCTCAATCCTCGCTCGGCTTGTCAACAGACATGTGAGAGCAGGCAAAGACAGACTAAGACGTGACATTGCTGACAGAAGACAGAGGAGGGGTATACGCAAAGGGGCCCAAGCTCCATATCTCAAAATGCTTCAAGACGCATGCTCCCGTCTCAAGTGACTTCCCGTCATTGGGCGGGTTGGCCTCCGGATGCTGTCCGGTACTTTGGACAAGATGAGATGCCGAAAGAAGAAGCAGAAAGGAACTCTGACAAGCCTCTTCTACCGTCTTACAGGCCGTCCACAAGAGTCATGATCTTCCCGTACAACCCTTACGAGCTGCGGGAGAAGAAAATCACAGACTATCGAATTCGCTAGATCGATGGAGAAAAGGTGGCTTTGCACATTCGGGGCTCTGCTGAGGGATTGCGGGGGGGAAGCGAATGAGGCCCTTAGAGTTGCATCGTGGGCAATCGTTGGCAGTTCATGGCAAATCCATGGCATATGCGATTGGTTGTTGACGATGCAACCGATGCAAGAGTCTTTCTCAACTGGCTAGCGGCGCTGATTTCCGCGCTTGATGTGGCTTGTCGGGCAGCGTTTCCTGCGCCCTCTTTGCTGCATGTCCAGCGAAGACGCAAGAAGAAGGGTTGCCTACCAGTCAGCTACACCTACTCGCCCAACTGTGATAGGTAAGCTTTGCGTCCGAATCTTTGGTGGGATGGGAAATGTGGATAGCATCGGAATCAAGCACTTTTTTCGACAACTTCCTCTTGCCCGTCAAACTCCCGCCATGAAGCGGCGGAAAGTTGCATGGACAAGGCAACGAGCCAAGGTTGTACAGTGTCCAAGTCACGTACTGGGGAAAAGAACCACGAGATCAGACACAAAGAGTCACAGACGAGAGTTTGTCGGCGAGCATCACAGCGGAGCGAGAAAGCGCGGATCTCACACCGGAAATATCGGCTTCGATGTACGAAGCATGCCTTGCGCCCAAAGTCCTGCAGCAACAAGACCCGTGTTGTTGCCGCAGTGGAATTCGTCAGCAAGTGACCCTTTTTCCCTCACCCGTTCCCGGGTCTTCGGTGTTTCTGGCTCCTCGCTCTCGAGTCTCGACTCTATTCTACACATATTGTAATATGGATGGAGATGCAAACTAGCTGGCTGAACTTTGAAGTGGGTTTCGAAACGGAGCCGTCTTCAACAGACAGCTCTGACTCTTACACGAACCCTATTTCTTACCAATGAGATGCTCAAATTCCCACCAGGGCCCTGACGGATGGGCCGAATGGTACCAGAGCTTCTAGAAGCCGTTTTTAGCGTCTTCTCGTGTTGGACTCGGTGATACGGATGCCGGAGACGCCTTTGGGGGCCTTGGGATTCCGAGTTCCTCTTCTCCCCAGGGCCAAGACGAACCGACATGCAGACTCGAACCCAAAAAAAATACTGTTCTTCGCCCCCCTTGCCCGTATTCCAATCGGTTCTCAGAGCTACAAGTGCTGTTCCGTATTCTGTGCAGCAGCGAGGATACCCACATTCACTGGAACGCCGGGTATGCAGGACAGCACGAACGAGGCCCTACTAGAGACAAGGGCGAAAGAAATTTGAGCGCGCTGCGCTCCTGGTGCTTCTGGAAATAGGATCTCTCGGGGTCCGCCGAGAGGCAAGAAACCAAACTACGACGCTACCTAACCTGCCAGAGCGCAACAAAGTTGTCGCTTGTCAGAGCTCGTTGTACCCGACGTCTGCCTCGCTGCAACTTGCCGAGCGCTACAGAGCACCCGTCACCGTGTGTCGAGTTGAAGCGCACAGCATCCGGGCCAGGGCCAAGCAGGATTCTAACTGAATGGCTTCTGATCCCCCCGTGGCCCCTCGGCCATCGTCTTGTTTGTCGGTATCTGGATGTCTGCCTTGGCGTCGTCCCCAGTGCCTGTCATCGTTTGGTGCTTACGGGAGTAACTCGCCGACCACAGGATGCCTTTCCCGGGGCCGCTGGGCATTCTGTGGCCCGCCCTGTCTGTGAGGTATGCTCACGCGGGGCTGCGTTCCTGTCTGAGGCTTGGCGAGGGGCAGTCCCTCCAAAGTCGCCCTCTGGAAGAGTCCGAAGGGGACTTGAACTCGCTGGTGGGAGAGAGGGTGAGGGAGGGGAGGAGGGGCTGCACGGCGCTTCCTGGATTGCTGCTCGCCCCTCGATTCATCCAGACGGGTGGCGCAGGCGGCAACAGGGACACCCCAGTAGACATGGGTGGCGCGTCCCATCTCCCCCGGAGAAACTGCGTATTGTGACGATGCTGCTGTTCCAAGAGAAAGAGAACTCGGACCACATGGTTGGCGAGGATGGGTGAATCTGAAAGGGTTCAGGTACAACGTTACGGTTGCGGTACATGTGCTGCTCAGCGTCAATCAAGGCCAAGCCCTGTCGTTAGCATGACGCCCGTGATGAGTTGAGGACTTGGGGTGAAGGGTCGAGGTTTGGCATTACAGCCCTATGGAGAAACAAAATCTCTCCAAAACACGCCGGGGCTATTTCAGGGTGACTGTTTACGAAACTTTTCATGTTCAATCAACTCGGCGATATCATGGTCGCTCTGAAGATTGGTAGACGCTATTTCCGGCAGTTGAAAGGGCGTCATGCAAAACTACCTAGGTATCTGGGCACCTAGGGTAGACCAACAAATGCCGCGACCAAGGTCTCATCTTCATTGATGAAGTTTTCGAACAGAGAGCCTTGAAGAAGGGATGATTCATGAATGATAGGTTCACAAGATCGAGTCCGGTGGCTGCCTGCCTGCTTTACCATACCCATAATCTACGGGGGTCTCTGCAATGTATCTTCTGGGCAAAGTGAAGTAGGAGAGGTACATGGGAGGGATGCCTGATCTCTTACGGAGCACAGAGACATACAACGCAAAAGACATCACCTTGACCATCAATGTCACTTCCCAGACAGACAGACAGAACAGAGCAAGAGTGACCACTGACCTTTGACCACTGATCACTGACCCAACGGAAAGGGCTGGAGAGAAAGGGTCTTCTGCTCCGGCCGCGCAGCTAATCCCAGGCGGGCAGCAGACGGTGCAGATCCAACCGTCAGTTCGTCACTGACCCCCTGCAACTGACGGCCCCCCCTGTCTCGTCTTCTGCGTGCCCCCGGACAGTATGATTTCATGGATCTGGAGCAAATACGTCACTGCAGGAAGATGGAGCATGGAGCTTGCTTCCGCTGCTTGTCGCGTTGGCAGTTGCTGCGCGCTCCTCGTCTCCCGTTCTGGCACCTCCCACATCCCATCAGCCAACCACCACCACTGACAACAAGCAGCAAGCAGCAAGCACCACATCACAAGCTCATCTTAGCCCCTCCCCCTTCTTGCTATTTATTTTGTATATGCCAGCGGCATCATCGGGCAAAGAGTACTTGCCTTACTTGCCGGCTCTGGTGTGCCTCGACATCCTGCTGATGCCTGGCGTGCCTCTTTGATCCCCTTCTACCATTAGAAGTCAGAAGTCACTCTCATCTCTCTACATTCAAGTAGCCCTCGAGTAAGTTGAGTCATCCGCGAAACTTTGCTCTGGCCTTGTGCGCTTGATAATCGACGGGAACCTCTACACCCTCACTCGCGTCTCCCTCAGCCAGCTGGCAAGTCCACCACGTTGCTCAAAACCCTCGGGCCTCTGCTCCCTCTACACCATCGTTTACAAGACGGAATAGACCTATTGGACACGGCGCAGATCCGCTGCCTTGGAACCCATACACGCGAACCCATCACCAATGAAGTCTGCCCCCCCTTTCCTTTGTTTGAACCATTAATGAAGAAGACACTCGTCAAAGCTGTGCTCCCCTCCATCCCACGGTACATCCCAAAGTCGACTGTTTCTCCCAAGCGACGCGGGGCCGAGTTAGAGTCGCCCTCGGGTTGCGACCACATGATTAGCTGCCACACCCAAGGCCATGGACTCAAGTAGAGTACACCGGCGAGGTACAACCTGACCACCCCTGTCTGCGTTTCCCTTGCCTTTTCTTCCCTCTCCCAAAAAGGCACAAGTGACAGTTGAAGTCATTGTCAGCCATCCGGTTTACTGTACGTACGGATACGTTCCATGACAATATCGCCATGAGGCCCCGTTTCGGGTCACCACCTCCTTTGCTCCTCGCTTGGTTTCTTCTGGCCTCGCCTGGATACACCTTGACAAGCACACAAGCAGGGCCTTGGTTTGGGATTTACCCACCTGTCTATCTGTATCCGTAGTGTACCTCACCTCTCTCTCTCTTCTCCTGAATCTCTGCCCGAATACTTCACTCTCGGAGGCTGAGTAACCCTACTTCCTGCCGACTCTTAGACTCCAGCTTTTCGGTGAAGCAGAATCAGGACAGGATTTGGGGAAGTTATTCTCGGACCTCACGTTGCACATCACAAATCAACTCTCTCGCCCTTCCTCACTTATTTCTCCTCGTCTGTCCCTCCTCTCTTCATATCTTCCCCTGCAGACCAACCTTTCCTTTTTCAACCCTCATCCTCCGTCACCCACGTTCTCGTTCCCGACACCCCTGCTACATCTAGAACCTCGCAGCCTCTCCTCTGATGCCACATCTTTATTGCTGTGCCTGACTTGCATCACCTTTCCCTGGTCTTAACCCGCCCTCTCTATTGCGTATTGCCGTCGATCACACTCGACGCAGCGTCCCAATACATCTATCGCCTACCCGCAAGAGCGCGCTATCTTAGACGGACGCTGGTTCCTCCCGTTTTTCTTCCTCTCTATCTCATCGACACCATCAACCACCAAGAAAACTGCACCCACCCAAGCACTTACTGCTCGTCGACCGAGCAGGAAACGTCACCAATACTGACCACAACCATAACGATCCCATCACTCTTTCGTGATGAGTAACGGCAACTCACCCCCCAGCCTGAGAGCTGTTGATGCCTTTGCGTGCGCCCTATATCGTCGCGCCAAGGCATCGGGACCAGACTTCGACGACGTAGCCAACGTAGTCCGTCGCCTGCACACGGTCCTCAAGCACCTCAAGGTCGAGTCCGAAGACCAAGATTCCCTCCTCAACTCAGATGCATCATCCGTCTACAACCGCCAGCTCGCACCCCTCGTTGAGGACTGCGACTTTGCCCTCAAGCATCTCGAGACCATGATCGAAAAGTATGGCGAGGTTACACAGCTTGAAGAGCGTGAGCGTGATATGTTGGCCATGGTTCGCACCAAACTTGCCAACCAGGAAACAGCTATCGATATGTTTCTCGACACAGTGCAGCTGCACAACCCGAGTAAAGCTCAACGCGTTGTGGACGAACAAGGCGGAAACTTGGACAACATCAAGGACAAGCTGGACGCCATTGCAGCAAGGTTATTTGCGCGGAGACACAGCGGAATTGGCGACGGCGAAGAGGACCTTTGGCAGCAGTTCCGAGTCGAATTGGAGAAGGAGGGCTTTTCAAAGGAAGTGTTGCGCAAGCACAAGGTACGATGATCTCGAGAACATGAAAGACAACAACAAAGCTGTGGCTAACTTATCTAAACAGGAGGTTCTGCGTGCCTACGTCCGCGAGCTGGAACACTCAACCGGCAATGATGCTACGGCACCGCCATCCGTCCGCGGGCTGCTCGCCCAAGAGCGCGCATATCCCCATCCAGCCATGGCGGTTACACCTGCATCCTACCAAGGCCGTGATGATTATGGCCGTGGAGAGACTTACGGTTCATACGATGTCAAGTATGCTCCGGCTGTAAGAGGTGACCGCCGTATGGCAGACCAGCGCTCCGCCCCCAATATGCCGAATGAGTTCAGTACCCTTTCCACTTATGAAAGGGAACACGGCGCGGACGAGGACCATAACGACTCTCTTGCCCTCATCTCTACCCGCGACCTCATGGCCATGGATACCATGAACACCGGCATGGAGAACCTTCGCCTCACCGCTGCTCAAAACTACAGCACTTCTCCTTCGTCGACCTCGCCAGCAACCCGTTACCTGCCACCAGATGTTGCAGCCGCTCGCGCAGCCGCAGACTTCTCCTCATCGCCCTCCAACCTAGGCGTGTCACCACGCTTCGTACCTCCGATCCCTCATCCCAACGGTAACGGTGGTCCCCCGTCTGCTTATGGTGCATCCCCTCGTACGTCCCAAAGCCGTATTGCGCCAGACCGCTACGGCATGGATATCCCTCTGGAAGCCAAGTGGACGCGCATCCGCCGTGCGCTCATCTCCCCCGAGATCCTTGAGCGTGCAGGCGTCCGCTATGAGGCTCGCCCAGACTACGTCGCAGTCCTCGGTGTCCTCAGCCGCGAGGAGATCACAAATTACGCTCGTCTCTCTGCCGAGGCCCGCGCGGCACGCTCTTCAAGACGTCACAACGGTGGTGGCCCCCCGCCAAAAGGTGGCCCTACGCAAGGCTCACCCCGCCGCCGCGGCGATTCACACACCTCATCATCTGAGGAGCCTCTCTGGGACTCGTCCGACAACTCATCAGAAGCCAGCTACCCCGATGAGGAGAAGGGCAACAAGACGTACTATATCGTCCCCCCGCCCTCAGACAAGGAAAAGGGCACATCACCCGCCGCAACAGTGCAACCAAAGCCCATTCTGAAGAACAAAAACGAGAACCATGTTCGCTTCGACCCACAGCCGCACGAGCTCGATCCCCACGCCTCGTCTCCCCGTTCCTACCGCGACGACCGCGACCGGAGGAGACGTCCCTCGCGCCGCGAGCACAGGGATTACGAGAGCAGAGACCGTGACGGCCACCACAGAGACCGCGAGCGGGAACGTGACCGAGACCGCGGTGATCGCGAGAGGGACCGCGACCGCGACGGCCACAGAGATCGTTACCGTGATCGAGACCATTATCCCGGCCGTCACCATCGCGAGCGATCTGACCGCGACAGGCGAGACAAGAAGAAGGCCTGGGGCGAGACGCTGGGCGCTGTGGGCATTGGTGGTGCCGCGGCTAGTCTGCTCAGCGTTCTTACTGAGGCGGCCTCTGTGCTATGATCCTGACATCTACCTTACCCCCTCATCTACTCTACCTATCTACCCAACTACCTACATCCATCTTTTCTCCTCTGCTGTATGATGGTCATTTGTGTACCCCTGTATCAATCAATTTGCTGTTCTTAGGAGCTGGTGCCTTCTTCCCTTTCTACATATCCTTCTGGCGTTTACCACTGGGGCTGTGCCCAAGACACAATTTTGATTCGATGAACAACTAGGAATACAGGACAGGACATTCAAGGAAACAGAAACAGGAAGGAAATCTTCTGAATTCATACAAAACCCTCGGAAAACAGACTTGTACCTTTTCCTCTCCTTTGTCAAAGTCTTGTTTCGAAGCTGAACAGCAACCCATGATACCTGTACTAAGAAAGAGGATGGGCACACAAGGGGGCGGATGAAGAGTTGTACGAGAGCGTGTGGGTGAATGAAGCCCCTGAAAGTTGTAGATGTACACCATACTTTTACGAAATGAAAGATACCCCCAAGGTTGATGCTTTTATGATCTCATTTTGTTCCTAAATCCCTAAAATTCCGTATGTCTACTACTCCTTAAACCCTGTCTTGGCGTCATCAATTCCACGTGTCTTTGTTATCATGCTATGCAATGCTAGAACTCCTCCCCCGCCCGCCGCCCGCTTCCCGCAAACGCGCGGGCCGCTCCCCCCTTCTCCTCTCGAGATTGATATAATCCAAACAATATTCGCCCAAAGTAACCTACTTGTTTTAAACAGATACCGATGTAGTAACCGGGCAACCTTTTCACTTGCGTCTTAGTTGCCTAGTATTGGGCCTTGCCTCGTCACTGAAATCAAAGCCCCCAATGGTGGAAATCTTCTTCCTGGTAGGCTGGCTGACGACAGGAGGCGCAACCGCCGCTTTGCCGGAAACCTCTCCGCCAACGCTGGCAATCTTGCTCATCATCTTGGCCCGATGCTGCTGGGCGCCGGGGTCTTGGTACTGTATCTGCGTCGACGGCGGTTCCTGCTCTTTCTCCTGCTGGGGTTTCTCCTCCGCCGTCCGGCCCATCGAGTCCATGCGCGACTCGGCGCTTCCGCTAGATGCCGCCGATGCGTTGCTTACCGCGCGCCCAAAGATTCGTTTAACCCGCCTTGCCGGTTGCTGCGGTGGGCCTGAGCCTTCCACGTCGGGGGTATTCTCGCCGCTAGGTTTCGACTCGATGAGAGTTGCGAGTTTGGAGGTGAGGTCTTCTTTCTCAGCATCCTTCATTGCGTCCCGTTGACGTTTCCGTTCCGCCTCGTCGTCCTGTTTTGATCTTGTCTCGGCCTGGCTTTCCTCGGCGGCTGGATCAGCGCCAACCTCGGCCTCAACAGGAGCGTGCGCTTCAGTGAGAGAAATAGGGGTCGCATCTAGGCTGTCGGCCACGCTCGTGGTTCTGACCAGTCCCGCCCGTGGTATGACTGGCCGCTCCGCGTTCAGCTCGCTGGGCGGTGCATCTGTCAAGGGCGGTGCCACAGTACCAGCACCGAAACTGTCTGCCTGATGTGTCTTGGCCGTTTGGAACGGGAGAGAGGCGGTCGAATCTGCTTTCGCGACTGTCCTCTCGGGGTGTGCGAAAACCGCTTCCGATGACTCCCCAGCAGCTGGAACCTTCGTGTTTGATGCGGTAAGTTTCCGTCGACCTTCGTCGTCTTGGAAGGCTGTCGTGTCGATTCCACCCGCGACTGTAGAGTGTCTTGCGGCTGGCTTCCTGGAAGCTTGAGGCACGGGCTCAGATCCTGTCCTTTGGAAAGCCTGCTTCATATCCTCCCTAGTTGTCTCTTTGGCCTTTGGTTTGGGCTGGAGACTAGATGGCTGGCCCAGCTCAGCAAACATGAATTCCTTGATGGGCACATTGTAACCTGTTGTCATGCACTCCCAAAGCCACTCCGAGCTGACGACCGGAATGTCATTGTCGATGGCCAATTTGAGCTTCTCCTTCCTCGTTTCCGCGAGCGCTCTACACACCAGCACCGAGGTCGTGTCGTTTAGCCTCGATGCGAATCGAGCACCGATTTGTGTGATTGCCTTTTCTACATGCAGCAGATCGATTCCACCAAATCCTGCCGTGCAGATGGAAATATCCTTGAACCCTTTGATGGGAAAGACGGGCAGCGGACGACCTAAAATGTGATTATCTGGGTCGCGGAAAGCTTTGTTATGCAAGCATCGCTCAATGAAAAACTCGGTCACGATTTGGATCTTGTCGATGTGCTCGGGCGGAACTTGAAGATGCGTTGAAGGCTGGGATTCTTGCGGGACAATCAAAAGCCTGCGGGCTGGCCTTGCCTCGTAGCCTTTGGTGGAAAGTTCTTCGAAGGAGTTGCAAACTTGTCCACCTAAGGATACTATGGTCTCGGCCAAAATCTTGGATTTCCATGGCTCAAATCCAGACATGAAGAAAGAGCATGGAGAGAAAATGCCCGCGTCAGGAGCAGGCTGGACCATTTGATCGTGGATGCCAGAATCCTGAACCTCAATCCTGTCCGCCGTATCACCAGGCCCGGCGGACTCGCCCGAGGGCTTGTTACTGAGGATATCTCCCCAAAGCATGTCTCGCTGGCTGCTGAGCTTCATGCTGGCTGTTTTCCTGAGCTTTCTCTGGCCAACCTCGCCAGCGCCTGATCTCGATCTTTTCCCTGCGGATGCCTTCTTTGGTGTTACTCTGTTCCAGGCGCCCTGGCCTTGCTCCTCGGCCGGCAGGACGGGGTCGAAACACTGCTCGTCGAGAATCAGGCCGCGCTCGATGCTCTGCTCGAGCCAGACCAGTGATACGGTGCGAATATTCCATGCTCTGGCGGCCTTGTACTTCTTTCCCTCGGGCTTTCGGACTATCAAGTGTGAGACTCGTTTCGTTAGATCGCCGGTGTATGCGCCGCCGTTGGACATGATTTTGTCGATGATGCTGTTGCGTTGATCGGCTGGGATGGTCAGGTCTGTTTTGAAAAGATTGATCCTAGTCGACTTTGCTTACGATCGTCGAAGCCTGTCATACAAAGCAACAGACTCCCGCGCTTAGCTTCAGTAGAATCGGCTGCATCGACGACATGACCACAGGTCTCCAGCGGCTTGAGCTGCCACTCTCGTTCGAGGGCCGCAAAGTCGATATCGGCATCCTTCATCCATAGATCTCCTACTGTATCGATCCATTTGGCATCCATGACCTTGATATCAGTTCGTTCTTTGGCGACATGGCGGTATTTGGGTGTGTCGTAGTCTCCTACGACAAGATGTGTTACGTCGGGTGTTAGATCGTACTTGTGGATGCCCCCGAGTTCTTCAGTCTTTGTGGCTACTTGTGTCTATGTAAACGTCAGAAGAAGGTATATGGCGAGGTTGCGAGAAGCAGAAGATTGAGGTCGGATCGAGGGAAGGCAGAGGGGCGCATGAATGCGTGCATCAAAACGTACCCGTTGGTCTGGCGGGATGCTTGTGCAGCACACGACAACGCCCTTGAAAGGATGCGCAGGGTCGACGGCCGGCTCGCTCGAGTCCTGACTGCGTGGGGAGTCCATCCTATGGCATGTCGATAGCTGTGTGGTCCTCAAGGCAACTTTCAAGTCTGGCTTTTCCAGTCGAGGGTTGTATGTTCAGAATGGAAGCAGTTGGTCTTTGTCGCTGCAGTGTACGGAGTACGGTACCTCAGCTCATGCAGCAACGGGACGGCGCGTCGAGAAAAAAGTCGCGTCTGCTGCCTGCCCAATCAATTAAAACAGTTGCCAAGCGCAACAGGTGCCATTGGTAGACGTCATTCTTGGTGGGGCTGCTTCTGGCGTTTGAGAGGATCTTTGCTGTGTACCTCCACTAAAGTAGGCGCCGCGCAGGGTGAAGAAGGTGCTGTGACGGGTAAAACACAGTGCATTTGCTAGGCTAGCAAAATGCGCAACGAGACGACTCCTCAGGCTTGAGTTCTCACTTAAGGTTCCTTACTAATGCTTTACTCAAAGGGAAACGATTTCAGAAGAGTCAACAGCAAGTCCTTTGGAATTATTTTAATCTGGAGACTTATCAATATTACATGAGCTCCTTGGGCATATGTTTACCGAAGTCGCTCCTCAAGAATAGCTGTCTTAGTGTAAGCCTTAACTCATAACAGTTATCCCCAAGGCAGGAAATGATGAACCGTATGTGAACTGCCAAGTACAGAAAAAAGCTTTAGATGATTGGGAAGTAAAATAAATAAATAAAAAAGCCTATAAACGCCCTCATAGAAAGAGATAATCTGGAATTTTGCTGTCTCTAAATCAGATTTGAGAAGAGATGTCGGACATCATCGTCAACATTACATAGATGAGATCTGATGAGAGGCCATGGATCTCTCATACCTCACTATGAAACTTTTAGACGGTTACCGCGACGATTAAACAGGTATATCGAAAAGAATGAAGAATAGAAGGTCTGAGGGTCTTTGCAGTGAGTTTGAGCTGGCGATCATGAGATGTAAGTATGGAAACACGGGAGAATGTTCCCTCTAAGATGAAGCCCAATAAGGAAGGCGGGGTCAAAGATGCGGGCTCTTGCGTTGGAGGGTCCCACTTCCCGCCGTCGACGGCCCACCATGGAACCTACAGCACCTTAAGGCACCTCTTTAAGTGAGGTGATCACTGAGCAGTCCTTTGGTCACCCACCAAGGCGAGAAAGAGAGAGAGCCTTACCGCCAAAAACCACAGAGTGCCCCGCCATAGGCAGGAAGACCTACCTTCAGCAACCCAACTGGAAGGCATCGCTCGTTGGCTCTTACCCCACCATCTCGGCTTCAGCCTTGCTTCCTCCCACCCCTCCGAAGCTCTTTTCCACCACCTTACTTCCTCCCTTCCCACTGACCACACCATTGCAACGGCGACTCTCAATCTCACGCACCCCGTCACGTCTGACCTGCACGAACATCGCATCGTCTCCTCAACAAGCGGCTTACCTTCGACCTCTTCCTGCCTGCCTCGAAGCGCATTGCCCTATCGCCGATACCGTTCTTCGTTGCACCGTCACCGACTCTTGAAAGCGGCCAATTGCGTCACGCGACTCTCTCAACCCACATCCGAACCAAGAAAGCAGTTTTGGGCAACAAGGCCATACCCAGACGGAGGCAGAATTGCTGCAAGCACAATGGCGCCGACGTCGACCTCCCAGAAGGCGATGAACACCCAGTTCGTTCAGTTGACCGGTGCAAGCGACAGAACTGCACAACGGGTGAGTCCAAGAGAAGAATAGCGCTGTGGCTCTCGTTGTCGTGGTTCCGGTTTTTTGTCTACCTTACACTCCACGCATGCGCTTTCTCAATTTCTCGTCGTCCTCCTCGGCTTCGCAAGGCGTGGACCGCGCTGTTGAATTGGCGGCAAAACCTCGAAGCCTGTCGTGCGGCGCTACTCTGCGTTGCGCTGCGTTGCGTTGTGCCGTCTGGTAGCTGGAGCTTGACTGGGCATCGACGCGATGCTGCCTTGGCGGGGAAGGGAGGTGCAGCCGATGGAAGACGAGACCGCCCGCCAGGCTGTTTGATCTTGAAGACGGATTGGAATGCTGACTACAAGTTTTCGAATAGTATCTGAAGAACGCCGGATACAAGCTCAATGAAGCCGTCGATGCGTAAGTGCAACTCACCCGATATACCTTTCGGGGTTTCTTATTGTCTCCACCGCGGCGGTTTTGTTTCGTTTCGTTTGGTCTCGTTCCTAGTTGTTTGCTCGACGTTGCCGCCGTTTCTGCCATCGCCTTTTACCGCCCGTTTAATGTTATCCGAACCACTCATCTCACCATGCGCCGGCCCGTCTCGGGCAATTTGGCCTGCAGCGCACGCAAGGATACCGCGTTAGCATATACTTGACTTGCTCCGTTGTTGGCCCGGTCTGAGATGCCCTTTGTGGGGGAAAGCGCCGCCGAACCCTCCTCGGAACGCTACTCAGCGTTGCGCTGCTCCAATGCACCCGTCGGAGAGAGGCTCCTCTGCAGCTACGAGGTCACAGTTCGCTCCTTGCTTGGGGATACATTGTTGCCCACACCGCAGGAGAAAGGCCGAGTCCACGCCGATCAACAATTGCTCCTGAAACATTCACGCGGATGGAATGGCCCTTAAAGCGACTAGATGCCATGCCAGCCGCCACCTAGTTGCTTTGATCGACCGTTTTCCGTCTATTGGTCGATCTAGTTGACGCAAGTGCCTCGCCTTTCTGGACTGGACAGGCTGTCACCCCAGTGCCACTCATCACGAAGGTCACGGCCCTTTTTGTGGGAAATTGACCAACATTCATCATCCTCCCGAACATCCTGTCCCAAACGACCACGGGCAGCTAGCACATCTTTGTCTCTTTAAACTCAGTTGTCTTGGTTTTCAACATCAGCCCAACGTGCTTCGTTCTCGTTCTTGGATACGCCAGAACCGCGAAGCGGGTTGGGACTGAGTGACACCGAGAGAAGGAAGGAGCATCAAGACGATGGGGTGGAAAGGAGTGAAGAATGCACTACCTTCCAAAGGCTTGAGTTTATGGTCATCGGGACGCAAAGCATCTACAAACAAGCTCATTGCTGAGGAAAAGAATCAGTCTGGGTATTCCACCCAATCAGTTCGCCATGTGCTGCGCAAAGTTGCCAGCTGACATGCGCCTCTTAAAGCCTCAGGAGCACAACATCGTTTATGTTCTCATGGAGTTGTTGTTTCTTGTATTGCAGTAAAGCATTTACTGACAATCCCTAAAAGATACTTCTCTGGCGGCAGTGGAACTTCCACTCCTACGACTTCTGCGCTTGATACTTCGTTGAATCAAATGTTCGACAAGCTACGAGGTATGATCCCACAGCCTTATACCTTCGTCCCATGACTAACAGCAGATAGATGACACAACTGACGATAAAAACTCATTGGGCCTTGACAGCACGATGGCATACCTCGGCAACATGGGCGTCAACATCGAGAATGCAGAGCTGCTGGTCGTGATGGAACTTCTTCAGGCACCCTCTGTTGGAGAGATCACCAGAAAAGGCTTTGTCGATGGCTGGAAGGCGTCTGGGTATGAGTCACCTTTCCAGCGTCATTCTGTAGTAGACTAACCTGATTATAGTGCTGCGACGAGTCAAGCGCATATTTCCCACATTAAATCACTCGTCAGCAGTCTCTCGACTGATCCTGCTTACTTCAGAAAGGTGTACCGGCACACCTTCGTCGCCAGTAAGGAGGATAACCAGAAGGCACTCAACCTTGAGATTGCTACAGTTTACTGGAACGTCCTCTTTTCGCCGCCTGGATGGGAGTGGAAGACGAAGAACCAGGACTGGCTGCAGCTGTGGTTGAAGTTCCTCGAAGAGAAGTGGACCAGGTCTGTCAACCGCGACATGTGGAACCAGATTCTCGAGTTTGCGACCAAGTCCATGGCAGATGAGACACTGTCCTTCTGGAACGAGGATGGAGCATGGCCTAGTGTGATTGATGACTTCGTGGCTTGGTGCAAAGAGAGAGGGATTGGCAAGTCCGAGACCATGGACTTGGACGCATGAAGGCATTATAACAGACCAATGGATCGGCATTACCACACAAGGCCGAAACTCACGACTAGAGGTTATTGATATGATGACTGGGACGAATCCGACGATAGCAAGAGAAGTGCAAATCGGCACACTTCCCACACTTGGTACATAGCAGCGGGGCGTTGATGGACAGCGAGGCCGCTCAAACTACAGAGATAGGCTGCATCGGGAGGCCAGATATCATGACCAGTAGTAGAGATTTTCAGCATTAGCCTAGCGCAAGCAGTCATGAACTGCAGACATCAGATTGACAAGCGCCTGGGTGTGAAAGAAAAGGTGCATATTTTTTTTTAAACGCAGTGGTTTAGAGAACCTTTGCGTCCAATTTGTATCAGTGGCGTGCCACGTAGTTATACACTCCGAACTATCGTCGGCTTTATACATGCGCAATCAAATGTCCCCGGCGCCGGCTCGGGGTGGATCCCGTATCATACAACGACTGTCATTTTGAGGCCCGCGAGCCATGATTCCCGTCTTCCACGCGGGTAAAACTCAAACCCACGCCATGCGGCTACCAATCCCTCATCCCGAGGTCAGGGTCATCGGCATTCTATTTTCCATATCTCCCGCATTGAGAGAGAGACGTCTCCTGTCTTCAAACGCCTTTCACTGATCCCACTTGACGTCTCCGAAGCGGGCCATGGTCTCGAGCTTGCCGTTGCCGAGCTTGACGTGTGCGGTGCGGATGACGCGGGGGTCGAGATTGATGGTGGTGCGCATGTCGGTGTGTGTGGCGGAGGAGGCGTCGTAGCGCATGACAAAGTAGTGGCCCGTCTTGTGCTTCATCTGGGCCTTTGCGACGGGGCGCGGGAGGGTGAAGACGCCCCAGTTTGAGATGCCGCGGATGACGCCGCCGTTGCGGAGGACGATTTGGCCGGCGGTGAGGGCAATTCTGTAGAGGATTATTTGGTTAAATTCTGCAATGTCTTCAGTGATGGATGGGGTTCGCGAGAGTTAGATGAGGAAGGTGTTGGGTTCGAAGGGGGTTTATGGGAGAGGTGTATGGATCGCGTACTCTTTCACCTCGGCGAGGGAGCCCGGTCGCACCTGGAGAGAATGTTAGCCATTGATTTCGAGCGATTGATGTCGATAGTGAGGTATGGTGGCGACTTACAATTCCTATGAGTTCGTACAACATCTTGGTATCGACATTGACGCTATGCTGGGGATGATTCGAGGTTTCGGAAGAAGCTCCAACTGACGATGGCCAAATTATTTCGGGGGTTCATGCGCCACAGGATGGGATTTTCCGAGATGTGGCTGGTGTTGAGACATGAAGAGAAATATGGGGTGGAAAGGATGCTTCAGCCACGACCGTGTCGCGCGTGACGAAGTTGATCATTGGCACTGTCCCCGCGGACGACCCGGCCAATCCAGGTGACGGGATTGTCAGCATTACGTCTCTATGTCTCTTAATGGTGTTTGACGCTTCGCTTTGCTCAAGACTCAGGTCTTGGTTACGCTTGATAGGAGCATGATTCTTTATTTACACGGCTCCTGGAAGATTAGCCAAGGCTAATATAACTGCCCGGAACCCCCCTGTGCCGCCAAAGACAAATTCCACTTCCTCAGATATCCAAGCACCGCAGAAAACAGTTTCGCCTTCCTGAATGCCAGTCTTGGGCAGTACTTGGGCATTCCGAGCAACTAGTCTTACACTGTACTCTTACATAGCCGAAGTTGATGTCGTTACACCGTTAAATGCATGATTCTACAGGACCCTTGCGGTCATTCAGATCTGATTCTTGCTCGTCGCACGCCAGAGACTCCAAGGCAGCTTCCAGCTCGCCTTCACGGTCCACGGGTCAAAGTTGGTCCCCTCGAGGTTCGTCAGGTACTCCTGGGCAGGTACAGCCTCAAGCAGCACCCCGAACCCCCGCCGGAGGTCCCGCTGCGTGTCGTCCTCTTCCGGCTCGTACACGTGCTCCGCCTCACCCTGATGCTCAAACTCGTGACCGGCGTCCTGCCCAGCCTTGAGATTCTTGAGCATCTCCCGCGCCGTAATGAGGTGATCGTTGGCCCGTGTCGCCACCTTGAACACGGCGTCCTGAAAGCCCTCCGCCTGCGGGCCGTACCGGAAGACGTCCTCCTCGCGCAGGTTCACCTCAGCCATGATGTCCAGCGGGAGGAGCAGCGCAGGATCTTGTCGTCCGCCACCCGGCCCGGCGTGGGACTTTGCAGGCTGCTGCTGCGGCGCCGCCAGCACAGGGATGCCGCGCAAGACGGCCACGATTCCGCACGCCTTGCCGATGTGACTCGCCAGATGATCCACCTGCATAGAGCGAAGCGGCATCGAGGCCAACGTGGCGTACATGAGCGTCGAGTACGTGTTTTCTGCGTACTCCTCCAGCGCGGCCAGCGACGCATACGGCCTGTTGTCCATGTGTTTCGCCCGGGTCTTGACGAGCCGTTGCACCCAGAACTTAATGGAGCTCGCCGTGGCATTGTTTGGCGAGCGCGCGCGCAGGTCCTGCAATGCCTGGTGGAGGAGCACGCATATCGGTTCGGCTGGGGGCACGCCGGCAAAGGTCTTGTCGATGGAGTCGCGCCAGAACTGCATGCGCATTTGCCCGATGGTCGGGTTGGAGACGAGCTCGGGGAGACGGACGAGTTCGAGGTTGAGGCTGCGAAGGGCGAGGTAGGTGTCTGTTGCGCGCGCCGGGACGAGCCGGCTTATTATGTGCGCATCGTAGTCGCTGTGCCTATTGGTGTGTACAAGTCAGTATCTTTGGGGGGAGCTCGAGTTGCCATGATTCTGGAATGATGCTGCATACTGAAGCTGCGATTGGCAGTATTTCCTCGCCTTGACGACGTCTGCGTCTGTGACGATGCCCCTGGTGCCCCGTGGAGGGGTCTGGACAAGCCTTCTCAGGCCATGGCCGGCGATCCGTGTGCGATTCATTCAGGAAGAGACGCCGGTGTAATGCGCCATGTCGGTGCTGCCTTTGTAATTCGCGAGATGCAGCTGGATAGAGTACCCAAGTGTGGGACTTTTTTTTTCGCCGCTGCTGCTGCTGTATCCGTACTGTGTGTACAGAGTGCACTAAAACTCCGAGGTCGAACTTTTTGGTCGCGAATAATGACGTCTTTGCCGGGGTGTCTCTTAATTGACTTACCTCAGCAGACACGCAGTCACATGACGACCCGACGCGCCCCGTCGCGCTGACTGATCCGCCTCGCGTCTCCCATTCTCTTGGTCCAGGTACTTTTTGTGGCGGCCCGTCTTATTCAGTGCCAGTGGCACACCACCCAACACGACCTGTCATCGTCGAAACCTTTATGGCGGCGACCTGGACAGTCATGGAATACCCACAGTCTCCTGAACCTCCCGCCAAGAGGAGACGCTTCTTTGCCGCCTCGGACGACGACGTGTTGAGCCACCAGTCCAGCCCGGTGCTGCCCACCCCGCCAACGCAGCCGAAGCAGCGATTCTTCCAAGATGTCGACGATCAACCCCCCCAAATCAAAAGCGAAGATGCCGAACCCCCGTCTTCGCCCTCGAAACCGCGTGGACCGCTTGTAGAACAGCCAGTCGATGATGCCTCCAACCGATCCGGCCCGTCTGCAGATGCGCAGCGCGAAGAGTCCGCCATGACTTTCGACCAGGAGACATTTGAGAGCTTCATAGGAGACAAGGTTACGGCGGAGGTGCTGGATGTAATCCGGGACAGCTGCGACAACAATCTCGAGCGAGCTGTCAACATGTACTTCGATGGCACGTGGAAGAACCTCAAGAAGAAATCCCCGTCTCTCAGTGCCATTTCTCGACCAGCAGTAGCAGCAGCAGCAGCAGCAGCGAACATTACGAAGCAAGATTCTCCCATGGAGGATGCGTCAAAACCCGTGATTAGACGCACAATGCCCGAAGCCAGATATATCGGTTCCCTCGGCGTCGAGGGCTGGGCCACACGAAGTGGAGCAAACCTGCTTAACCACGGAGATGTAGTCAGAATCGAACGGCAAAAGATCCAACCGCCAAAGTCCAAGTTGAACACCAAGTTCGGCGTCGCAAACGCTCCTCAGCGCGGACCAGCTCCGGGATCGAAACGAAACGATGTTTTAGTGCGATTTACAAATAGCAGCGGGTCCGAGATTGGCAGGTTGGAGAAGGAAACCGCTGAATGGGTCTCGACGTTGTTGGACCAGCAGATGTGCAAGTTCGAGGGTACCTGCGTATACGCCCCTGAGCGTCTGCGAACAAATGACACTGTCTTTATCCAGTTGAAGTGTTATCTTCTAGCAGCAGCGTTCCGTCGGCCCGGATTCAAGGTGTCAGACAACAGGGCGGCCGGTTTCTTCGAGGAAAAAGAGTCGACCGAGGAGAAGGAGCTGCGCCTCAGGCAAGTGGCGCTGGTGAAGCTCTTTTCTGAAATCAACCTCGAACCCACGCGAGCCAATGCCACTGCGTCGAAACACCAGCGACAAGGCTTGCTGCAGGCTGCAGAGATGGATGAAAAGAAAGAGAAAGACCCTGCCAAGCCAAGCGACAAAGCGCCGGGATCATCGCCCCCTTCAGACGAGCAAGAGGAGGGCGAAGAGCTGGAGCAGGATCAGCTTGATGCTCTATACCGCAAAGCTCAGTCGTTCGACTTCAACACACCCGAAGCGGAGCCTGCCGATACCTTCGCTATGGACCTGAGACCCTACCAGAAGCAAGCATTGCATTGGATGATGACCAAGGAAAAGGATCAAAAGAGCAACAGGGAGCCAAGCATGCACCCCCTGTGGGAGGAATACACATGGCCACTCAAGGACACTGACGAAAAAGAGCTTCCTCAGGTCCATGACCAGCAACATTTCTATGTCAACCCATATTCGGGAGACCTTTCTCTCGATTTTCCTGTTCAAGAGCAAAACTGCCTTGGCGGTATCTTGGCCGACGAGATGGGTCTCGGCAAGACCATCCAGATGCTCAGCTTGGTACACACCCACCGCTCCGATTTCGCGCAGCAAGCCAAGGCGATGGGCAGTATTCCTACATCCGTCAACGAGCTTCCAAGACTTGCTTCCAACTCATCAAGCGTGCTAAACGCGCCATGTACAACACTCGTCGTGGCCCCAATGTCGTTGTTGGCTCAGTGGCAGAGCGAGGCAGAGAAGGCCTCAAAGGAAGGCACTCTCAAGGCCATGGTATACTACGGCAACGAAAAGGCCAACAACCTCCAGGCGGTGTGTTGCGCCGCAAGCGCAGCATCTGCGCCTGACGTGGTCATTACCAGTTACGGCGTAGTTTTGTCCGAGTTCAACCAGGTTGCGGCTAAGAAGGGTGACAAGTCGTCTCACGCTGGATTGTTCTCGCTGAACTTCTTCCGCGTCATTCTGGATGAGGGCCACCATATCAAGAACCGACAGTCGAAAACTGCCAAAGCGTGTTATGAAATATCTGCCGAGCACAGATGGGTACTGACTGGAACGCCAATCGTCAACAAGTTGGAGGATCTGTTCAGTCTGGTTCGTTTCCTTCGTGTGGAGCCTTGGAACAACTTTTCGTTCTGGAAGACTTTCATCACAGTTCCGTTCGAGTCCAAGGACTTCATGAGGGCGCTTGATGTGGTGCAGACGGTGTTGGAGCCATTGGTTCTCAGACGTACCAAAGACATGAAGACGCCTGATGGCCAGCCGTAAGTGGATGCATCCTGAGTTACTACATCTTAGCTAACCCCTCAAAGACTGGTTCCACTTCCACCGAAATATGTCGAAATCGTCGATGTCGAGCTCAGTCAGACAGAACGAGAGATCTACGACTACATTTTTACGAGAGCCAAGCAATCGTTCAGGGAGAACGTGGAAGCAGGCACGGTTATGAAAGCGTTTACTAGCATTTTTGCTCACATTTTGCGCCTACGCCAATCTTGTTGCCATCCGGTTTTGGTGCGAAACAAGGAGCTTGTTGCGGACGAGGTAGAAGCTGGAGCTGCGGCTGATATGGCTGCCGGCCTTGCGGACGACATGGACCTAGGCTCCCTGATTGAACATTTTACAGCAGCGGTATCCGAATCGGAATCCAACACAGCTGCTTTTGGAGCGCATATCCTCGGCCAGATCCGCGACGAGGCCGAGAGCGAGTGCCCGATCTGTGCCGAAGAGCCCATGGTTGAGCAGACGGTTACTGGATGTTGGCACTCTGCTTGTAAGAAGTGCCTTCTGGACTACATGAAGCACCAGACAGATCGGCATAAGGTGCCGACCTGCCCCAATTGCCGAGCCGAGATCAACTACCGCGACCTGTTCGAGGTTGTTCGCCACGACGACGACCCGGACGTGTTCAAGAAGTCTAAGATTAGTCTACAGCGCTTGGGTGTGAATAACTCCTCAGCCAAGGTCGTGACCTTGATCAAGTCTCTGCGTGACCTGAGAAAGGAGCAACCGCGGGTCAAGTCTGTCGTCTTCAGCCAGTTTACATCGTTCCTGACGTTGATTGAGCCGGCTTTGGCGCGAGCCAACATCAAGTTCCTCCGCCTCGACGGATCCATGGCGCAGAAGGCTCGCGCGGCGGTCCTCACTGAGTTCCAAGAGTCAAAAACGTTTACCGTGCTGCTCATCAGTCTCCGCGCTGGTGGTGTGGGGCTGAATTTGACATCGGCGAAGAGAGTGTATATGATGGACCCCTGGTGGAGTTTTGCGGTCGAGGCTCAGGCGATTGATCGCGTGCATCGCATGGGTCAAGATGAGGAAGTCAAGGTGTTCCGCTTCATCGTCAAGGGGAGCGTGGAGGAAAGGATGCTTCGGGTCCAGGACCGGAAGAAGTTTATGTGAGTTGATCCCTGCATGTGACTGATGAGCGAGTATTTGCTGACTTGATGCTCGTAGTGCTACGTCTCTTGGAATGATGAGCGACGAAGAGAAGAAGCTTGCACGGATCGAGGATATCAAGGAGCTTCTCAGCTAAGTGTGAAGTTTGACGTAATGGTTCTCATGGCTGGCATATGTGCATGTATACAAGGCGTTTGTGGGAAAAAATGCCGGAGATGGCAGGATCAATGATAAACATAGTGTATAGAGTGCTAGGCACCGGCGGAAGAGACCGGTGCAGCACGACCTTGCCGGTAGATACGGCGCAGGCATCTTTAAATGGACATATTCGAACTCGATCACCATGTGCGTCTGTTAATGCATGCTATGCGGAAGTGGCAGGTGCTGTTTCATCTTCAATGTTCTTCCACATGCCTTGAAGCCAAAATCGCGAGTAAGCGCATATTCATCAACAGCGTCTTGGACTTACTTGGGAAATCCAAGAATAAACACGGGATCCTCCAAGTATATCACACATGCGATGTTTCTTAGGCAGCGAAACATCTTTTCCGACGATAACCCGCTTTTCTCCGGGTTGCCTCACACGCTGCGCCTTCCTACCTCAGTCTGTGACTCTGTCGCGCTCACCTCACTCACCCGCTCAGTCAGTCACCACCAACAAAACATCAATCACACTGCCCAAAAACAAAAGACAACTGAGCCACGCTGAACCCGCACCAGACCGCGGGTCATTTCAAAAACAGAAAAAGTCATTTTGCCCTCTGCCTGCAAAAGGTTGGAAAGTGCGACCAACTGACTACTTAATCCTCACAGTTCTCTCTCTCAGTGCCTGGTGCTACCTGTCTCACTTGCACAGGCAGACGCTCACTCAATCACATGAGAAAACACCATCACCACATGACCAACAACCACTCGCGCGACTCGCAGCGCCACCAACGACCAAGCTAAATCATTTTTAATCCACAAGTTCATCCTACTAGTGAATCGGGACAAAAAGTCGAGGAGGGGCCTCAGAAGAAGAAGAAAAAGAAGGGCGATTCAATTTCCTCTTTTCTCTCCCTCTTTTCCCTTTCATTTTTTTGCACCTATACGACCAAAGACTGATTCACTTACACCACCACTGAGCGATCACTCTTTACGACTTACACACACTCGCTCAGCTCAAGTTTCACTCCAATTGCACAACTAGCACAACTAGCAGCACGACAAAACCCAATGCATCCCGATCCCCCGTGGTCATGGATGGCTTACTACGCACACTAACACGCTCCCGCAACGCCGCGCCGTCCCCGAACCGCGGCAGCCGCAATCGCAACCGACACAGCGGCGGGGGCGGAGGCGGAAGCGGCAATAACCACGGCCAAATCGAAATCATTCTCGAGACCCTCGCCCGAGGACTCGTCGAATATGCCGTTCAGAAGTACATGAAGAAGCTGAGCGGTGGGGATGACGAAGACAAGGATGGAGGAGGAAGGAGGAACCACGACGACCGGCGCCTGAGCACGCGAGGCGGCAAAGACCATGGCCATGACGACGACGAGCGCGCTAGAGGCGGCGTTCCGAATATGGATATGGAGATGCTGGAGCACTTGGGCAAGAATATTCTCTCCAAAGCCATGGAGCGCTTCGGCGGTGGTGGGGGCGAGGAGGAAGAAGAAGAAAGGCGCGCGGACGAGAGAACGAGTGGACAGAAACACGGCAAGGGACGAAGAGACAGCCGGGACCATGACGCATACTCTCGCGACTATTCACAAGATCGCTCTCACGGGAGACGACACGTCGGCGGTAGCAAAGACGAAGACCGCGACCGTGACCGGAGAAGACGCCACAGCCGCGACAATGGGTACCCTCCACACCGCGGCGGCGGCTCGCCCTCGCCGTTGAGACACCATCGCGGTGACGACGAGACTCACCGCCGCCGACGACGCGGATACGGGACCGATTATGCGCCGCTCAAAGAGGAACTGGAGACGCTGTCCAACACGCTCATCTCTCTGAACGAGCGGCAGCCCGGACACGCCGACTGCGAGTTTTACGATGCGTTTATGGAGCGCTCGGGGAAGGTGCAGAAGGCTATTGGGTCTGTCTTGGTGCAGGTTCGGGAGAGAGAGGAGAGGAGGGAGGAGAGGCGTGGTCGACGGAGGGGTTGAGAGAGGGAGTTTCCTTTTTCTTGAGAGGAAGTGCGTACATGATCATGAGATACCCAGATGCTCTTCCCGGATATAGCTTGATGAGGATAAGGCGATTAGAGCGATGATTTTGACGACGGTCTGAAATGGCAATACCCAGTAGCACGGAGGCAATACCCCGGTTTCTCTTTACTTAGAATTTTCGGTAGCGATGGGGCTGAAGGGGTCGAATTGATGGTATGGGTAGAGTGTGGTTTGTAGGATAAGGTAGGATCTAGAATAGTTGCAACCTCTCTCCCGTCCCGTCCTTGTTTGCTACTCTGAGCGACCGCAAGCACGTGTTTTTCGATCGGAAGGGGAGAAAAGGTTGCAGAGTCAGCAATGACCAGCTTGTATCATAGATGCAAACGCAAACATGACTGGTTACCGACCTTGTGCTGATTTGATGCGTGTGCTACGCTGTGCTGCCTCATCTGGCTGTTTGGGACTGACTTTCTGGAGATCGTGGAGGCGTGCCTGAAGCGGCATCATGGGAATTCACGAAGAGACAGATTGTCGTAGGTTTGCCGCTTGCCTTTCTAGCTTTAGATGTGTAGGGTATGTCTCATTGCTTCTCCTGAAGACTTTTGTTTCGTAGCAAACGGGCTCTGGGAAGCATATATGCTACCAAGCTCGAGAAGGTCCGAAGATGATTCATACAATTATCGTCACCTTTCCCCCTTGAGATGGAAGGCAAGACAGAGACAGTCATGGCGATGACTAGATTGCAAGAAACACGAGCCAGCTGAGGTCAGACCTCAGCCGCCCCTGATATGGCGCCAATACCGACCTCAACAATTCATACAAACCATCTGGTACGCCGAGGAGAGGAAGGCAGAATAGCAGGAATGCTCATCGGCTGTCTTATCGGTGGCCTGGCCGCAGTGAGCCTCATATACTTTTGCATCAACTGCGTCTTCTCCCCCAAACCACGCACAAAGACGGGTCTTCAAACACCACATATACATCCCCATAAGCCTCACATACACCATATTCATCCAAAAGCGAAAATGGATGCTCACATACATCCCCCTCGACACCCGCACGTACATGGATGGACGCATCACCATCATCATCACCACCATAAACATGGCCATCATCACCATCATGCCAAGGGCAAGGCGAAGCCCAAGAGGGCTTGCAAGAAAGCCAAGCCGAAGGCCAAAACTAAGCCGGCGCGGCGCAGTAAACGTTCTTCGCAACCTCGCGAACCTGCGATACGCTTCATGCCCATGCCTCCTATGACGGCTATGCCCATGCATCCAGCGCCGGTAGCTGGTATGGGAATGGACATGCCGTTGGGCGACGGCTTCATCGACTACGGGCCGGCGCCTGGGCAGGACATGGGGTTAGAGATGGGATGGGGTGTGGACCCGAACTTCCGGCTGGAGCAGTTTGCCACGGAAAATGATGTACATGGCGACAGGGAGGTGAGTTGTAACGAGTGCTGCTACTCCTTTTTCGACTCTTTGTGTGGTATCCAGCCTGAGGCTCGAGATCTGAGACGGGAGGCTGCTGGTAATGGGGCTGTGATTGTGGAAGACAATGAGATGGCGGCTGTGTAATCTGTATAGTGATGAAGTTGGTCTTTCGAGGGAAGCATATTGCAGTGTCCGGTCATTTTTAGTAAGGGCGAATGTTCCAAAGACGAGTTGGAGGCTAGGTGGCAAGGCTATTGTTCATATAGAACCAAGAGATACATATATCAAAATACTTGAGACAAAGAACTAAACAACAATTATCAATTCAAGGTTGTACACAACGCAAACGTACAACACTACTGGGGTCAGTAGGAAAGGTAATGGCGCCTGGATTCGCCTTAGAGTTCCATCCGCAAACTCCCGCTCTGGACAAATGTCAAATCCTGCATAGTACAACTCACTTCAGGTCAAGGGATTCTTCTTTTCATGTCAGTTTTTTTTTTCTTTCGGACGTTTCACGGAGAAGGACCCAACGCACCTGAGACTTTCATTCACAAGGTCTCTCCCTAATAACACAAGCCTCACCTGGGTGAGGGTGTAACGCCAACCCAAGCCTACTTCTCAGCAGGGGGGTCGGCCGGGGCATCAGCTGGAGGGTCGGCCGGAGCATCGGCGGGAGCGTCGGCAGGGGGATCGGCAGGGGGGTCGGCAGGCGTGGCAGACGGGGCGGTAGAGCGTGGTGCGGAGGGCGGCGCTGGAGGAGGTGGATGTGAAGCGGGGCCGTCATCGGCCGAGCTCTTGGAGCTCCTTGAGCTGTATGACTTGTGCGAGTGATGGCGGCGGCGACGACGATGTCGACGGCGACTAATCTTTTTGAGAGACACTCTGTAATAGTAGAGAAAGGCTCCGGCGCCAAGGATAAAGATGAGGATGGCCACCCCGACCGTGACACCAACAGTCAGGTTGGTGGTCTGGCCACCTGATATCGAGACCTGTCTCTTTGCGATGTCGTTGATGGTTTTGTCCGCACGCGCTGCCACCTCGAAACCAGGGGAGCGAGGCTCTGTCCTGAGACTGGAGCTCCTGAGAGCCCAGCCATTGAGGGGCTGAGGGATATACATTCAAAGTGACAGGAGAAGGCGGGCGTCGATGAAGTTGAGTCGAATGATAGAATACCTAAATGGTACAACAACGATCAAAGTATCACGAAAGAGGGAGACCGAAATCGTACGAAAAGAACAGTTTGGGACATGATGAACGTGGAAGCAGAGAAAGCAGGACGGTCTGTATAGCAGATAGAATGCGAAAGGTCCACGACACATATTTAACCTCACCATCTCTTGGGCTGCTATGGATGAGATAATGGGCAAGATGAACGGGGGGTACTGACGGTGTAAGGTAGCTGGCAGCTCGCCTGGGTTGAAGGAGGTTCTGTGGTGAATCCGAGAGGATAACACCGGGGGCGCATATGCAAGAGTGGCATCGTGCAGCGAATGCGGAGGAGAGGAAGAAGGAGTGTAAGACTGTATATCCGCCTCAAACGAGCAACCGAGAGGCAAAGCCAGTCTCCAGATGCAGCAAACTCAGGAGCAGGCTGGGCGCGATTATGCGCGGTCCATGCAGCTGCCAAACCAATGAACCGGTGGTAGGCGTGGCGATGGTCCCCTACCGCAGCAGTTCCCGCACTCGTCGGGCCGCTCGTAGCCCAAGGGTAGTCTCTCGAAGCTATTGCTGGTGGTGTCGTGGGGGGACACTTTCCGCCAGTCACGTTGGGTGAGGCTTTCGTCTACCATTCACCTGCAATGGGCTGATGGCCTCCTGCGGATGGCGGCGACTGCACTGGCTGGTCTTGGTCTGGCTGGATCGTCGTCTTCTTCTTCTTGAAGGGTCGGTAGTCGCCCCTCCAAAGTGTTCTCCTGCGGTACCGGACGTGATAAGTGAGCAAAGAGCAGTGCGGTTGGAGGCAATGACGGAGATCGTAGATGGCTGGTTGGGCATCAAGACTATCAAGGGGCCAACTGGTACCCGCCGCCTAGGTGAGCTCGCGATCGAACACGTCGACAAGTGCCAAAGGCTAATTGAGGCCTGTTTGGAGTAGGCAGCGGGGCCGGCGGGTGTTCCATCGTGAGAAAAGGGCGAGTCAGTGACGAGGGAAGTTGACGGATGGATCTCACGATGGACGGATCCTCTTCACCTCGTCTTCAGTTGCCAGCAGTGCAGTTCAAGACCGTAGGGGGCAGCGACGAACGAGCTAGAAGGCCTGGGGACCTTGAGGGATGCTGTGGCTGCTGGCTTACTTAATTGGGTTGATGACTCAGCTGTTCCTCCTCCTCTTCTTCCTCAACTAAGGTACGCCAGCACGACCAGTCCTTCACATTCTCTTCATTCTGGGGAATAAAACTATCATCCTCGGTCTTCAAGCCAAGGCTCTGGCTCCTTGATCCTGAATCAGACTCCCTCGCCTTGGACCAGACCAATTAAGTAGGCCTCCTTGGACCGAGCAGACAGGGCGAACCGGCAGCGGTCTCCCAGCCAGTCGGCCTACACCACGAGCCGCCATGCAGCTGCATCCTGCAGTCTTCTACAATTTCTCTTCTTTGGCCCAATTGGGCATCACATCCTGCCGCCAAACGACATCTCGGACCGTGGTATCGTCACCTGGATACCATGAAAGAGACTCTGAGCAAGTGCCATGTGTCTTCTATGCACAATGTCTTGCAGCTTGGACCAGAACTCAAGGAAACCCTCCCCCTTACACCGAGGCAGTGTGCTGGGCCTCGGGAAAACAAAGCCATTGCTGTTGTCATTTCTACCTATACGAAAAACAGTACCTTCTCCCTTTTGGCCCATTGTCTTTTACAAGTTCAAATTGTTATGCCGCCGCAACCGACAGCGAATGTAGACGACCCAGGATCTAGCCTTGCCACCCATGGCAGTTTACTTCTCGCCTTTCAAAAGTGCCAAAGAAAGGATGTCTTTGTTGGCCTCTTTGAACATAGCGGCGATGTTTGGACATCCCTCGAGATTCTGTCGACTCGCTGACGTCTCTTCGCTCTCGGTCTACCCCGAGACTGCGAGCCGAATGCTTCAGCCAAGCAACCTGTGGTTCTTACTCTCATATCCTTCTTAAGAAGGCGACATCACCAAACTGCCCTCTGCCTGGAGTTTGAACCCCTTTTATGCTAATCCTTAGATGTCGCCGACGGACTGATCGGCACCGTCAACGCCCTCACGTTAACCATGTGTATCCTTCTCACGAGAACCTTCAAGTGTTTCCCAGACGGTACACCCTCGCAGCATACCTTCCGGTATATTATTCGATGCGCCAGCCCGAGATATGCCGAGTGTCTAAGCCCAAAAGCTCTCGCCAAGCAATCCGAGGAATACGAGATTGCCTGTCATGAATGCACCGGCAAATTCCTTCAGCCCTTCGCCAAGCCGAAGCGATTCACTCAGAGTATGGTTGATGAAAATGACATGGAAGCACGAGACGCTGCTGAGAACTACGCCAAATCCATGGTCGAATTCCTCAATATGGCATTGATGGAGGCGTCATCTCCGATTCTGAATAACCCTCATGACGATCAATTTGTCTATCGAGTCAGCAAAATCGAGACAGCCTGTCGCTTCGACAAGGACCATGTCGAGAACGGTGCCAACTGCGAATGCTTGGAGAGAGACGATGCCACCAAAGAGTTCAATACGAATAGGATGACTGAACTTCACAACACCGCTGCGGCCATGCGGCGGATCGTTTCCCACGCATATTGGTTCCCTTGGCGAGGGTTCTGGCCCGGTCCTGTCACCGGCAATCGAGCACAAGTTAGAGTGAGGTATCTATCCTTAGCCCACACCCAGAGGCCGGCCAACGACGGAGAGCTCGATCCCGAATTTCTGCCTGTCGAACAATACATTGAACTACATCGGCAACAGCCCGACTTTACGTTTCTAGACAACCTTGGCAACCGAAAGCTTGACGAGAGTGAATCACTTACAGTCGTGCCCGTTCTGCATAGCGCTCCTGATATCCTCGGCCGAGTCGAAGTTTTCACGGATTTACTGACGGAAACAATCGAGTCTTTCGGCGGGAGAGATGGGTGGGAACGCTCTTTACTTACTTCTAATTTTCCTATGACATTGTTCGCTGAATATGCCGCGGCCACCTTTGATGCGCGAATGCAAGTTTCCAACCTTGTTTCGCGTCTCCTGGCCCACGATCCAGGGCTGACCAGGGCACGAATCGCTTCCATCAGCCGGATATTCCTAAGATTCTGGCATTTCGATACAAACGTTATGCGTGCCAGCTTCTCCCAAGACCTACGCCGATTATTTGACAAACTCGTCATTCATACTTACGAGGCCATCGTCCAAAGGGGTTCTGGTAGATATCGGAACGGTGCGTACGCAGGCGGGATGCTCACCAGCCCTGGCCACTACAAGCATACCGAGTATATCATCCTACGCAACACGTCAATGAGGTTGAAAGACGAATTTTACAGACAGGATCTCCTCGAGAGCGTCGTCGCGCCGCTTACGAAGGCGGAGCTTCAGGAACTGGACCTGGCCGACACGGACTGTTTTGTCTGTATGGAGCCGCTCGGGACCGTGCAGGATCCGCACGCGGCTGTGCGCTTTAAATGCGCCTCGGAAAAGCACGTGGTGGGAAAGAATTGCTGGATGAAGTCTCTTCGCCGCATACGACCAAAATACAACTCGAGCGAGTTGAAGTGTCCTTTGTGCTCGGACTGCGTGCTGAGTGACTGGAAGACGCCGTTCAATAACAACCATCTTTGGGCTTGGGATGTCGTCCGGAGTACTGTGCCGCAGTTGGCCCAAGAAATGGGTGATGCAGGGTACACTGAACTTTAGAATGGCACATGTGCAGTGGTTGTTGTTGTTGTTGATCATGGGAGATATTGGTTGGGACATGTCATGGCGAAATTCCGATTCCTATGAGACGTGTGTAGAATAGTACTCCGGAAGTTAGGCATCGGATCGCTCGTTTACTATATCACTACTTCATCAATGACTTCAACCTGTTTCTTCACCTTTTCCTTCCTTGGTAGATTTGATTCATTCTCGTGAGCTCCCACTACATATGCGATCAGGTGTCCGAATGGCTCGTGGCTTGCAATGCGACGAGACCATTAACGGCACATCGCAGTCAGTTTTACGCTGACGGCAGCAATCAGTTCCCCGAGGCGATGTATAAAACGCGACATTGCCGATTCTCTCTGCTGCTGTACGGTTAGCAGGAGCTTTTTTTCAATGATCAGAGATCTTGAGTAACAATTGAGCCCCTCGCTTCTACAGGATCAGCACCTCATACAAACGATCTGGCTGAGCCTCTTTGACTGATGACAGTACTGTACCGGATCAGGTAAGAACAAATAATCATTGTGAGTGAGCATCCCTTACGTCTCGTGCATTCCTCTCGAATCGAACTTGTGATGTGACATACTATTTAAGTCATGCCCCGTGGTGAGTCTTTCTTCTCATCTTGAACATCTACAAGTCTGTCACGTTTTCTTTCCATAGTCATTCCGCTCGCAGCCATCTTTACCAAGATTCGTCCTAAATATTCTCAGGCCTAATCACCAATTCTTCAAATCTCCCACCGGCATAGCCATGTACGCCCCCCCCCCCCCCCCCCCCCCCCCCCACCGCCGCGCCGTACCCCCCAACCCAATCCGCATCCGCCGCCCCGCAAACAGCCCCCTCTTCGCCGGCCATAGCCCTGCCCCCTGGACGCCAGACCACCCGGCTCCAACCCCTTCGACGGCGGCCCCGGACTCCGCCGATACCTCGACGTTCCCCGTGAGCCCCTCATCTGAGTCGCCTGCGATATGTACATCGTTCTGGCAGTCATTGCAAGAGTCGTCTCCGAACTATAAGCCGTCATGGGCGACAACGGATTCAGAATGGGGGGCTCGCCGGAGTCGCCATACTTTTCTAAATTGGACCGGCGGAGGATAGCCCGGGGGCGGTGACTCCCGGCTCTGGTTCCGGCGCTGGGACTATACTGAGAACGCCGGCTAGTACGCCTGTTGCTGGACGGTCTGGGTCTGGAATTGGTGCAAGTAGGGGTAGGGTTTCAAAGTTGAGCAGGATTCTGTATTCTCCTGGGCTGCCTATTTCGCCGCCGTTGCGGTGGTGGAAGGGTGAGGGCCATAGGCCGGTTCGTGAGACTGATGGAGAGGATGAGAGTGAGAGCGAGAGTGGGAGTGATAGGATCGTGACTCCGGGGTTGGAGCTTGAGAGGCTACAGGGAAAGAGGACGTTAGATGTGAAGACGTGTGTTTATCATGGGGGTGGTCGGGCGAAGCCTATGCTGTGGTGGAGGTATCCGTTGGTGGTCTTGCTGCTGGTGCTTATCCTATGGTATGTTCCCTGGAAGAGGTGGATTTGAGTTGCCCATGGTATTGCTAGTAGCCAAATTCTTTCGCTTGTTTGAGAATGACTTGAAGTTGGTGAATATTAGGAATCTGGGTAGCGAGTTAGCTGGGACTATCTCGATGAGGTAAGGTAGGCTGGAATAAAGGACTGCTACCATCTCTAGAACTTTCCATGCCATGGCCCTCAAGGTCTTTGTTCCTTCCTATTTACTAGGAAAGAAGAGGAAGGAAGGCTTCCGACCCCAGTCGTTTGAGGTTGTTAATACGTACCTCAGAGGCCAGAAATCACCTCACAGGCAGGTGCCTCTTTCCCGCCCCTGGCGCTGGAAGCACCACACACCGGAGCCTCCTTCCCAAGGAAACGACATCTCCTACCTTACATATTCGACAAATCTCCACCTCCTTTCAGCAGACATCCGGTCCATGAGTGCGTGGCTCAATTGGTTGAACACCAGGATAAAAAGATACCCGTGCCAATAGGTCCTCTGCGAAACCTGGCGGGCGCTCTTGTTCGAAGCCCCCAGCAGGCATAGAGTGTTGAACAGACCCCATTCTTTTTGCATCATTTTTGTCTTTCAGATACAGTTCCTGGTGTCTTTGATTCATTGAATTTTGCTGCTTCTGAGCGCTCGTCTCTAGGCGGTTTGAAGAGTGTTGCTGTTCTGATGGTGGAGGGGCAGGCCTTGGAAATGTGACGATGCTCTTGTCTTGTTTAATTAAGCAAAGAAAGGAAGGAAGGCATTGAGATTGGAGTGGGCACTAAGACTTGACTCGGAAAGAGCGATTCCATCAAAAATTTTGGGTGCCTTTCCTAGATCCGACGTGCTCATCTACCTAGCATACTCCAATATCAATCCCTTGTCATCATCGTAAGCATTTCTCTCAGCTTAGACCACGACTTACCAGGCTTTGCAGGGCTCTGAAATCCTACAGAAAGTATCATTCCATTCACTTCATCTCTTAGAAACATGACAGACCTACACACCCGCCAGTTCTCCCACGTCGGAGGCACCTCCTCCCAGCTCCTCGACCGCCTCGCTGTCTCTGAGCTCTGCAAAGGCTGGCCAGTCTACCGCGACGCAAGCGAATGGCTAAACTATCGCTCCCTCTTCACCAAGGATGCCTACGTCTGGACCAGTGCGTTGAGCCGTTGACCCCTTCTTATGATGCCACTACTCTCACAAGTATCCTCATCCCCAGAGCTGACACCATGGCCCACGATGTAGCTTGGAGCGGTGCACAGCCCATCGACGACTTCATCCGCATATCCATCGCCGGCAAGTCATCGGGAGCCTTCATCATGCATCGCGAATGCGGCACTCTCGTCGAGCTGAACCAGGAGACGAACCGCGCCGCGGGCAAGATGAAGGCTACCATCACTCAGCGCTTCGAGCACCCTGACGGTTACGAGTACGACATCGACTGTGACTGTCGGTTCCTTTTCTTCTACGAGAAGGCGAAGGAAGAAAGTGGTGATGGGCAAAGGAATTGGAAAGCTGCGTACGTCAAGCTTGTCTATGAAAAGGACAAGATCGTTGCCGTGGACGGTACTAGGGCACCGATCTTTGCGGATGAAGTGTTGGCTAGGTATCCTGCGGGGTACAAGTACCTCGGAGCTGCGCAGAATACTTTGGGATACGAGATTGATGCCAAGCTTGTCACGGGAGGGGGGGGATGTGAGGGCCTGCCGCAAGATGTACCAGAGTATAGAGAGGTGGTTGGAGGGGAAAGATGGTCCTGTTGGTCTATTCGAGACTTGAGGAATTTCTGGCCACAAGAAGCAAGTATTATACTAGCATCACTCAAACTTGGGTTGAGGCTTGGGGCCATGTCTTTCAACCTGAAAGAAACCACCATTGATAGAACCTACGAGGTATGAACAGAATAGCCAATAGGGAATAGCCGTCAGAGGAACCAGCTACCGATAGGGAACATTCACATGCCATGAGCTAACCCATCATCTTACATGATGAGATGGAGTGAGGTCGGTGAAGTAGTGCAAGATGCCTGCACATCTCCCCATAAGGCGTGCATAACATTTCACACCGATTATCTAAGCACGCATCGCGCCATCACGGGCTAACGACTCACGGGGCGGGTGGCGTGTCGGATTCAGCTGTTAGATTTGTTTCTTCTTGGAACATTTCACCGTCCCAAGACATGAGCTGGTGTGATTCCCAAAATGTCTCAACCACGGTCGGGTAAGCGGGTAGGGTCCTGGGAAAGACTGACGCAGCTCACACGAGAGAGGAATGTTGGCGATCGCGTAGTGGTGTCGATTGTGACTATTTGTGCGTATCGAACTGCGTGGCCGTGTCCATCGGGCGGCCTAGGCTTCGGCTTTCCGGCGTCCCTGAGTACGTTGTCTTATTGAGGAAGCGTAGAAATGAAAATAGTTGACAGTGAACAAGATGATTGCCCAGTTCGTCAGCGTCATGCATGCAGGTATGACAATAGGCGGAAGTCCAGGCACAGCGCACAGAATTGACATAGATGATGGACAGCACACAGTAGAAGATGCAGAGAGATGGGACGACATCGGGGAAGGAGCAATCCCGTGTCAATGCATCGTCCGTTCTTCCCCCCAAGTTCCCCCTGCGTCAGCCAAAGCGCTGGTTCATCCCATGGGGGCGCTTCAGGTGCGATGCACTGGCTGAGAGATCTTCAGGTCCTTCAGGTCCTTCCAGCACAAGTGGCAGCACAAGTGGAGACGGCCCCAGCGGGCTGGCTGCTAATGCGCGGTGCCTGGTTTTTTTTCATCCACTGCCACCTCAGGTTTCAACTTCCAGTGAGTTGTGCCAGGCCTCAATTGCCAGGTAATACGAAGTACGGATACCTTATCCAGGTATCGATTCAGCCCCGGAAAACAAACTTGGACACCTTGGACACCCTCGGTGGGGCCTGTACTCCGTAGTCGAGTCTTCGAGTCCCCCGAGAAGTCTACTCCGTACGGTGTGGGTGTATTCGTACCTCACGTGATGTCGCTTGTACTCAGAGAGCCAGGGCAGTCAGGCAAGTACCCAAGTACCCCCGGGCTCTCCTTAATTTCGTGACGTGCCAATACGACCGTCATTGTTTTCCTCCACTCTTTTCTTCCTCCACTCCTCTGTGACCCCCCCGTCTTCCCTCCTTTTGTGTTTTATAGACATCTTTGTCCCACCCGTTGCCGATTCCTCTTCGGTCCTGTTCACTCTTTCACTCTTCCCAGTCATTCTTTTTGGTCCACGACGAACCACCAACTCACTACACTCTTTTGTTTATTATAGTCACAGCCAAAGAGTCTCTGAACAACGTAGAAAAAGGCCTTTCCCAGTCCGCCCTTAATTACCACCCTGGGACCCCTTTCCTCCACTCGACGATTCTACAGATCATCGACCAGACGCGACAATTCTTTATTATTTCAACCGTTTTTTAACACATTAATCCAATCAAAATGAAGGCCTCCATCTCTCTCGCTGCCCTCACCGCCCTGGCGGCCACCGTCGAGGCTCAGAACTACCTTGGCTTCAACTCCGGTGCCACCAAGGCCGACCGTTCTGCCAAGTTCAAGGCCGACTTCGAGGCCGAGTTCAAGACTGCCCAGGGCCTCGTCGGTGCCCCCGGCGACTTCAACGCTGTCCGCCTCTACACCAACATCCAGGCCTACTCCACCCAGGACCCCATTGAGGCTTTCGAGGCTGCCATTGAGACCAAGACCTACATCCTTCTCGGTATCTGGACTTCCGGCACCGACAACATTGACAAGGAGATCAACGCCCTGAAGACCGCCGTCACCAAGTACGGCACCAAGCTCACTGACCTCATCATCGGTGCCTCCATCGGTTCCGAGGACCTGTACCGCAACTCCGTCACCGGTGTCAAGAACAAGTCTGGTGTTGGTGCGGACCCCAAGACCCTCGTCGGCTTCATCGACGACTTCAAGACCGCCTTCAAGGACACCCCTCTGTCCAAGGTCTCCATCGGCCACGTCGACACCTGGGACGTCTGGGGAAACTCCACCAACAAGCCCGTCCTCGACGCCGTTGACTGGGTCGGTGTTGACGAGTACCCCTACTACGAGAATGACAAGGGCAACACCATCGACAACGCTGGCAGCCTCTTCGACAAGGCCTACGAGGCCACCGTCGCCACCGCTGGTGGCAAGCCCGTCTGGGTCACCGAGACCGGCTGGCCTGTCACCGGCGAGACTTGGGATGAGGCCGTCCCCAGCGCCAAGAACGCCCAGAAGTACTGGCAGGAGGTCGGTTGCCGCAAGCTCTTCAACAAGGTCCCCACCTTCTGGTACAACCTTCGCGACTCCAACCCCGACAACTCCATGAAGTTCGCCATCACCAAGGACCTGTCCACCACCCCTCTGTTCAACCTCACCTGTCCCACCACCTTCGACACCCCCTCCAGCACCAAGACCGCCTCTGCCTCCGGCACTGCCACCGCTAAGCCCAGCAGCTCCTCTGGCGCCAGCTCCGGCTCTGGCTCTGGCTCCGGCAACAGCACCAGCGGTGGATCCGGTTCCGGTTCCGGCTCTGGAAGCGGCTCTGGCAGCGGTTCTAACTCGACCGTCTCCACCGCCTCTCCCTCTGCCACCTCCGGCTCCGGCTCCTCTGGTAGCGGATCCGGCTCTGGATCCAGCGCCAGCAGCACGCCCTCTGCGGTTGCTGGCTCTGGTGCTGCCGGCCTTCAGGTCTTCACCACCGGTGCTCTGGCTGTCGTTGCCGGCGCTTTCGCCCTCCTCTACTAAGAGGTTCGAGGAGTAGTGCACTCACTCGTCTTGTGGTCAAATTTTTCTAGCGCATTGGCAAGGTGTCTTTTGATTCCCCCTTCTGGACATGTGTTTTTTCGGTATCATAATCATGGATAGATTGAGGATAGACTGAAGGAAAAAAAATGTGATTAATCCATACATAAACTCATTAACGTTGTACAAATGAACCCTTTGGTGACGAGCGTGACTACTGCATACGTGTGTGACTAATTTTTTTTTTCAATTTTTTTTTGTGACAGTACGGATACGTGAAGAATATCTTTACTCAGCTTATCACAAGCTGAGAGCCTGAGAGCATTGTTCAAACTCCCCGTGAGTGAGAACATTTACCAGCGTGCCAGGCTAATCGCGTCATACAGGGCTCGAGCTATTCCTCCCGAGCAAATGAACGATTCGGTTCGGCAAGGTCGAGGTGTGCGGGCCGCACGCCTATTGCCTGACCTTGATTCACGATACAATTGGGCAAAGCGCGGTGGCAGCCAAGCCGGCCAAGAGGAGCCTCCCTCCCATCCACCCCCATGGTCACCACCCATTTGGCATCCCACCCCCCAGAAGTTGGGAAATGAGATGGTGCTGATCAGTCCCCACCATGAGGAGGCCGCACTTGGTTAGGCACTAGGGGGCAAGCTGGCAAGCATACGAGGTCTGGACCGTCGAGCGGGCTCCGTTCGTATTCCTTCTCCCAGTCGGCGGTCAACCATCAGGGGGAGATATCCCGTCCCCGCTGAGGAAGCGAGAGGAGACTGGAGAAGGTTAGAAATTCTGAAATGGACACAGACTCGAGAGGAGATTCGAGACTCGAGGGAAAGAGAGGGACTGAGGACTGTGTGTTTGTGCAAAGTCACACTGATACACGGTAGAGAGTGGGAACTGGGAGAGGGACGGAAGAGGAAAGAGATTCCCACATATCCAGGCGCAGTGGCGAGCTAAATTTAGAGCTTGGACCCAAGTGAGAGGTCTTGTTGTGCCCCGGGGGACATTCTGGAAACTGGGAACTGGGAGAGACGGCTTGGAGTTCGCTGTCGCGCCGTCGGACGCCGTCGTTCGGCAGTGGTGGGATGTGCATTTATTCGCTCATTTCTGTGTACGGATTTTTCCCACGGAACATGAGAAGCAGAAGGCGAAACTTGTGAATACCTACGCGATTACGTACAAAACGTTTCTCCAATTGTCAAGGTCGCCAGCGGAGCCCCGTTCAGGTACATGACGAATCACGATGTCGCTGTACCTGGCGCTAGACCCAAGACGGGACTTCATAGTGAGTGAGGTAGAGTTCAACGGCACAGGTACCGGATCTGGAAGAAGGTGAGAAAACCTTCCTGGCAAGGTGTGAGCTGAGTGTGGAGAACGCGCGTCTCTTTGTTTGCACATTTATGCATGTTCATCCCATTTGTTCAAAAAGTTTGATTTGTTTACTTTGGCGTCCATCAGATCAGATCAGATCAGACCAGACGAAAAAGAAAGAAACAACATATGAGAGATGAATGGCTGGCTGATCAATAAGAGGAGAAAACTTGGCTTTCCTCGCCTGGAGTCAATACTCAATAGTGTTGGAAAGTTGAGTGGCAGTGCTGACGGCTCATGCCCTGACCTTGCTGATGATCACCCAAGAATCCAAGATCCAAGGCCGGGTTGGCGTGCTTAGTGCACGCTGGACGGAGTACCTACCGTATTCCACTTGCCAGTTGTGTGCCAGTGACAGTTGGTAGTTGATCTTTGTGGGCTCGTCAGTCAATATTCTCTCTTCGACTCTTAAATAGTCAATCTCGTTCGGGTATTTTTGGCAACTTTGTATTTCGGGGCGCGGCGGGACGAGACTCTGACGTTTCTGCGGGACCTTGTTCTTGTGATGCAATTGAATGTTCATTGTTTATGCTAGGGTAGCGGCACAATAAGTGGTAGGTGATTCTGCATGTGATGACTACCTTGATGAAAGGACTTCGTCGTGCATTCCCCACGTGCCTCCGTATACAAACGGCTGTTTTATGCCAAGACACTTTTCCCATCCCGTTTGTGCTTCTGGCGCGTTGTGAACCGGTTGCGGCTTGGCGGGTAGATTGGCGGAAAGTGTCGGTCGCCCGACCGGGTCTCAGCCGCAACGGACCAACGGTTTTCAATCAAACGTCGTTGGGAACGTTATTCGACGTCATTGATTGTGTTTATGAGTTGACGTTCGAAGCTGCGTGTGAGGTTGTCGCGATATCAAAACGTATGGTGCACACCCGCACGGCTCCGATTGCAATGCTCTACAGAGTACAGAGGCCGCCCGTTGGCATGATTACACTGTGGAAAGCTCTTCTGTACTGCAACACCGAGACGGGTTCTTCCTAGAACGGCCGCGGGTCTCGACGGGATGCCGAAGCTTCTTCCCGCGCGCTTCCGGAGCCGCCGCGTCAACGCCGTCGGACTTGTCACCTCCAGATCTCATCACATGTTCACCACATCATGTCCCCTCCGCCCGCCTGCCGGTGGATCACTTCTCACACCGACTCCATAGCCCTGAACCGAACCACCCCCGCACATACGCACACAAACTCGTACATACTGCAGAAGTCAACCCAAAGCCCTCGGAATATAACCAGCTTGCCCGGCTCCCACCGGCATCCGCAATCGCATCAAGGACCTTCCTCGGAGCGAGCATCGGCACGGAAGGGTGGCCGAGTTGGTTATGGCGCCAGGTTAAGGTCAGCTTAACATCTGTTTCCTGGTGGGGCAACCCGCGCGAGTTCGAGTCTCGTCCCTTTCATTTTTGTTGTTTCTGGCAGTTGGATATGTGTTTGGAATGCGTGAGTGAATTTGGGTTGAAGAAAGACAGTCAAGCAGCATACGTCTTAATGTTGTATCTGGCAGTGTTTGGGTCTTTATAAGGACAAGAGTGTTGTCCAGGAGGTATTGATCAGGGGTTGCGTCGCAGCGCCGGCATCTCCAACTCCAAGATGACCCTAAACCTCGACCTGGAAGCCCAAAGGTCTAAGAGGACTGGGTACCACTTGGAGACAGTTATCATCCTCAGTCACCCCATATGACACCTGCCATCGTCCTTCACCCCGTCCATTTGATTCGAGGCCATTCCTTGGCCAAGATGAGCTGTACTATACCACGGAAGACCAAGTGCAATGACTGGGTGTTGCAGTACTTGAATGCCACACATCATCACGAGCATACGAACGCTGATATGGTTATTATTGGTCTGTGTGTGGCCGCCACCGGCTCATTCATTCCTTGTGTTCTATGACCCTCATATCCTTCACAACCGAACCCTTCTCATCAAGACCATCGTCCTTGACCTCCTCCCCAAACACCTCCTGCATGCGTTCCAGGCTGTGACCTCGGGTCTCGGGGTACAAGAAATAAAAGACGGCAACTTCAACCACAAGCCATGCCACATACACCAAATAATACTTCCAACCCAGAGAGTCCATACCGATAGGGTTGACAAACTGGTTAAAGAACGACGCGGCCTTGTTGGCAAAGACGAGAATACTAAGACCCATAGCTCGAAGCCTGAACGGGAGAATCTCCGTGGGGTAGAGGAAGAGGAGTGGGTTTAGGCAGATATTGAAGGCGGCGTAGAAGACGAAGATGAAAGCAAGCGCGGCCTGACTAGCGGCCGTGGTCCCCTTTGTGTTGTAGACTGCAATACTGGCCGTGAGCGACGAAAAGGTGAGCCACATGGCGATGCCGCCTCCGACAAACATCCACCGGCGGCCGATTCTGGTCGACAGCGCGGCCGCGAATAGAGCCGTGGCGTAGTTCACGGTGCTGATGACCCCGTTGAGCATAGTCTGCTCGCGCTGGCTGGTAATACCGATGCTCGTGAAAATCTTTGTCAAGTAGTACGATACCAGACCGTTCCCACTCCACTGCCCAAACACGGCGAGAGTGACAAGGATCAAGAGCCTCTTCCTGTTGGCTGGTGTCTTGAAGAAGAGCTTTGGTCCAACATCCTTGACCTGTTTCTCGAGCTGCAAGGCCACTTTCATCTCGTGAAACTCTGCGACGACCAGAGGATTCGTTGGGTCTCCTCCCCCGTGATGCTTCACGAGGATGCTGAACGCTTCGTCTTCCCGGTCCTTGTAACAAAGCCACCGGGGCGACTCATCCAAGAACCACACGAAAATCATCTGAATCACCGCCGGGAGCGCCTGCAACATTGTAGGAAGCCGCCACGCCCACGACCCGGCAATACGATAGCTCCCAAACGTGACCCACCCGGCCGTGAGAGCGCCGAGGTAGAAGCTGGTATTATACAGCGAGCCGAATAACACGCGGTGCCTTGGATGTGCGAGCTCCGAGATCAGCACCGGCGCCGCGGCGAGAGCCATGGTGATGCCGAAGCCGACGACGATGCGGCCGCCGATGAACTGCCCGATGGAGTGGCTGAGGCACTGGATCAGCACGCCAATGATCATGATGCTGCTGCCGATGAGGATGGACCATTTCCGCCCGAAACGGTCCGAGACGAAGGCGGAAAAGGGGGTCGAGATGATTGCGCCGAGGGGGTACGCGGCGCTGGTGAAGCCGAGGAGGGCGCCCTTTGAGCTTCCGAATTCGCGGTTCCATGCCGCGACGCCTTGGAGGCCTGTCAGGACGGAGCCGTCGTAGCCGTTTGTTGCGCAGACTACGAGGCAGGCTGGGGCGAGGATGCTGTAGAGGCGGATGAGAGATGGGGTGAGGGAGGAGAGGGCGGAACGGGTGTCTGAGGCTAGGATCTCTTCCACGGTCTGGGCCCGCGGGGGCAGAGACTTGGAGTCCATCTTCTTGGCTGACTGAAGGCCAGATTAGATTTTTGAGGATGGCTGTGAGGATGAGGGATTCTTCACCCGGGTCTCTCGGGTCTATTTATGCTGTTTGACAGCCATGATCTAGGGTAATTTAGTCGCCAACAGATGTGTCTTAGAAGAGTTGTTTTACTCATGGAAGTGAAGTCCAGGGTCGATAAGCTCTACCCGGCAACATACGACATGGCGTCGAACCTGATCCCATGATCTGGTTTCGTTCGAGTCCGACCCCGGATCGGCTCTGCGGGGGAGGGTTCCCCAGGTCTTGGCATTGTTCTCGAGGGACGAGGCTATTCCCCAAAACGGCAAGGGTGGCATATAGGAGCGGGGAGAGACGGACTGACTCCGTGCCCCTCGTCTATGGTGGGATCGTGTGTGTCTTGCATGGTTGCCCATCCCAACTCACTAGGAGCTTTACCAACGGTGCTTGGCTCTTTGTTGCGTATTCGGCCGGGGAGAAACGGACCCAGTCCGACGATGTACACTGCAGAAGTCAGTCCATCACGCATCAGGTTCAGTGCGCCTGCAATGGGCGTGCCACAAATCGTCTCATACCATAAAGAAGTGCAGCTTTGGTGGTTATAAATGAGCTCCCATTCTTAACCCGCGTGAGAGTGTGCTGGATTCATGCGCTTCTCGGAGACACACAGTTAGACTTCATCCAACTTGAGTTTTCTTAGACCTTACACTCCATCTTACACGCAGGAAACTCCTACCAGTAATATGTTTGACACTGAGAAACGGGGCAGAGACCATGACGCATCTCGCATCGATGTGCCTCAAGCACCTCAGGACGCGAAATCTTTTTCTCGAGAAAAGTTGAAGCAGATGACTCTCGAGGAGAAGGTGCTGTTATTGACAGGCGAAGACCTCTGGCGGACGAATCCCATCTCGAGGCTGGGCATCTCCCGAATCAAGACCTCTGATGGGCCTACCGGAGTTCGTGGAGGCATCTTTGTCGATGGGGTCACTGCAGCTTCCTTACCATCTGGGTGAGTAGCTGTCGCACTCTTCCTCTTGATTGAGTCACAACTAACCAACGCCAAAGTGTATCGTTGGCTGCTACGTGGGATAAGCAGGTCATCAATGACGTCTCGCAGGTCTTGATAGCCGAAGCCAAAAGCAAAGGGGTAGATGTGCTTCTAGGCCCGACAGGTAAGGTTTCGTCTACGCCATGTCGATGTCCTCAATGATAGTAGTAGTAGTGGTGGTCTGATCCTCGCATAGTATGCATCCCTCGCACTCCGCTGGGCGGACGCAACTTTGAGGCCTACAGCGAAGACCCTTTCCTAACGGGCAAGCTCGCCGCCGAGTACATCAACACAATCCAAGCTGCTGGTATCGGAGCCTGCGTCAAGCACTACGCAGCAAACGACCAAGAAAATCGCCGTTTCTTCATAGACGAGAAGATCCCTGAGCGTGCCCTCCGCGAAATCCACCTCCAGCCTTTTCAGATTGCAGTCCGCGAGAGTCACCCTTGGTCCATCATGACAGCTTACAACAGGATCAACGGTGACTTTTGCTCGGCGCATCACTACCTCATCAGAGACATCCTCCGTGGCGAATGGGGCTGGGACGGCCTGGTGATGAGTGATTGGTTTGGGACGAATAGCATTGTGCCTTCGTTGACAGCAGGGTGAGGCTTGACACAGAAGCGACTGCCCCTAACGATGATGTGACTGACGGAAATTCAGATTGGATCTAGAGATGCCTGGACCCGTCAGGCGAAGAGGCGAACGTCTTCTCGAGGCCCACCGCAAAGGTCTAGTGGACACCTCTTTCATTGATGCCTCTGCCGCAAGAGTCTTGGAGCTACTACACAGGACGGGCAAAAGCCAGATACCAGACTGGAAAGAAGAGCCGGAGCGGGCCGTCGATCTCCCTGAGCATCGGAAGATCCTCCGTCGCGCAGGTGCAGAGGGTTCGTCGTGCTCATTCAAATAGAATGCAACGTGAAGTCAACTAACGAAGCATGTAGGCATTGTTCTTCTAAAGAACGAAAAGTCGACTCTCCCCCTCACAGATCTCGGCGGTAAGACCATCGCGTTCATCGGTCCCAACGCCGCCAGATCGGTGGCTACAGGAGGTGGCAGCTCGAACCTCGCGCCTCACTACCGGACTACGCCTTTCGAATCCTTTCGAAGGGAGCTTTCCGAGACATTTCCAACAGCCAAGGTTGCGACTGAACCTGGAAACCTTACGCATCGATATCTCCCTCTCGTGGATTCCGCTGTCATGCAAAACCCCGAAACTAATAGCCCTGGGTTCGTTCTGTCTCTGTGGAGAAACATGAGGCACGAAGGCAACCCTTTCATGGTGGAGCACCGACCGAGCTCCAACCTGGTTTGCTACGATGGGCTCCCTCCTGAGCTGACGACCGGAGAGCGCTACTCCTACCGTGCTAGGACAATCCTCAAGCCCAAGACGAGCGGCGTCCATCAGCTATCCCTTTCCAGCTGTGGCCCTGGCAAGATCATCCTCGACGGCAAGGTCATCATCGATATCGAGCGGAGGTGGTGGTCGCCCAAGTCATCTCTCTTCATGAGCTACGGTTCGCCCGAGGAGCGAGTCGATGTCACCCTCGAGGCTGGCCGATCGTATGAGCTCGTGCTTGAGTCGATCAGCCGTGAGCCGAAACCGTACGATTTGACCTACATGGGCATGTTGGAGCGCGAAGAGGTTCAGGATGGCGGCCGTATCGGTTTCCTAGAGAACCCTGCAGACCTGGATGCCATGCTACAAGACGCTATCGAGCTTGCCAGAACCTGTGATATTGCTGTCGTTGTCGTAGGCAAGGACCAGGACTGGGAGACGGAGACGAGCGACATGGTCTCCATGGATCTGCCTGGCCGGTCCAACGAGCTGGTCTTTGCCGTGGCCAAGGCGAACCCCAACATCATCGTGGTAAACCAAACGGGAAGCCCAATCACGATGCCCTGGATCGATGACATCCCAGCTGTTGTCCAAGCTTGGTATCAAGGTCAGGAGTTGGGAAACAGCTTGGCGGACGTTCTACTCGGGGCGGCCAACCCGTGCGGGAAGCTACCAATTACATTCCCGCGCCGTATTGAGGATACGCCATCTTTTGACAACTATCCCGGAGAGAACGACGTGGTTCATTATGGAGAGGGCATCTACCTCGGATACAAGTACTACGACCATCGCAAGATTGAACCGTTGTTCCCATTCGGGGCTGGTCTCTCGTACACCACCTTCGAGTACTCCAACCTGAGATTGAGCGCCGACGTACTCGAGGAGACGGGCAAAATAGAAGTCGAAGTCGATGTGACCAACACCGGCAAACGCGAAGGCAAAGAGATTGTGCAGTTCTATGTCAGTCCTGTATCAAAGCCTCGGCTGGGCCGCCCGCTGAAGGAGCTTAAGGGCTGGGACAAGGTCCTCGTACGGTCTGGAGAAACGGTGACCGCTCGGACGACTCTTGACAAGGTGAGCATATCGTACTGGGATGATAGCGTTCAGAAGTGGGTGGTGGAGGCCAACGCGGAGTTCAGGGTGAGCGCGGCGAGGGATTCTAGGGAGGAAGGGGTGGGTGCGGGATTCCGGTCGGCGAGCGCTTTTCAGTGGGTTCACTGAGTGCACTTAGGAGAACCTGCAAGAAATCAATGAGATCGAGAAATGATGATGTTTAGCTAAGATAGCATTTGAAGAATCTCGCAGTCCCTAGCGATCGTCGGTGAAAATCGAGATGCCACCTCGGCTACAATCTCCCGAGCCTGAAGCGTGATTTGCCAGCCTTCTGGCAGCAAGACTGTCGACAGCTCATCGTTGTGCAGGATGAGCTCAATCTGGATCTGGATTCCGAAAAGCCTACAGGGAGCGCGTGAGTTGTTTGAAACATCAAGAATCAATAGGTATATCTCGATGCTCACATTCTCCAAGAATTGATGGGGAAAAGAAGGAGTCCGAATGGTTCCTGGAGGATCCCACCATGCAACACCCCGATGATGGCGGAGGAAATTGCAATCTTTGCGCCTTGAACGTCTTCGTCGGATAGGGCGGATGACCCCGAGGGATGGAGACAGCGATACACGTGAGACCGGTAGAGGATCGTCTTTGCGGCACAGTAGCGTGCCTTGAGGTGTCCTCTCAATCTTTGTCGCATTGGTCTGAGTGAACGAGGAGACAGTAGTTCGACTTCATCGGCTAGCGGGAGCGTCTCGAATTGGAGGTCGGCTGGAAGACATGCCTTCCACTCCTCAATCTGACGATTTAGTTCCCCCACGATGGAGTGTGAGGGGGATTGCACTCTCTCTACACATCAGTCAGCACCTCGCAATGAGACTCAGACCATAGGGCCTCATTACCTTTATTGTATAAGTGAAAATGTATCCGGTTTAGGAGTCTCCTCATAGCAACAAGTGCCAAGAAGAAGAACTGATTGTCTTTACCTTGAGAGTCTGCACCAGAGTCCGGAAGTAGTGGCAAGGGCACTGCACCTTCGAGACTACTCAAACCACTGGGCGGGAAGTCATACTCCACAAGGATCTGACTGTCAGTCAATCAGCAAGTAAGCTTTTGAGGGTCAAAGACGAGAGCATCAGTACCTTTCTTGCAGATAAGCAATCCAGTATAGCTGGCAGTGGTGTGCTTCTAGTTTCGCTTGCCTATTTTCAACGCGCTAGTGAGTCTCATCTGCCGACAGCCTACAAATCATTAGACCTACAGTGGCAGTAGAATCATGATCACAGAGCATGCCTTGTGAATAAAACGCCAGGAGTCGTGGATCCTGAATATGGATGAGTTGAAAAGGCTGTTGAGCATCATCAGAGTTCGGCCTGCATCCCTTAAAACATCCAAGCTGTACTTACGCCATGAGCAAAAGACACTGGACGCCCACCCAGTCCGTTTCTTCAACATCTTGAAACATACTACACGCAATAGTGAAGAAGCCGAGGCCAGCCTCATGCTCTAACATGGACTCTGCGGAGTCAGACTGGGCCCATTCCGTTTTACCGGTCTGGCACGCAGCTACTGAGCCGAGAGAGAGGACGAGTGCTACCAGGCAGCTATCGAGACTGCTAGCAAACCCTACCCTGAGAGCCTGGTTGAGATGATGGCTGTAGAATCGGTCTTCATCCAACACAAGGTATTGAGGATGGAAATGGCTGAAGTAAGAGTCGGCTAGGTCACGCAACTGTGCTAGCGATAGGTTGGATAGCCAATCTTGACCTTGTGAGGAAGTTCCAGCAAGGCACCGTGGGGGTGCCCGAGCCCTGCGCATCTTGGGCCGCTGGATCTCCAACGCGACTGGATATCGTAGATCAAGCTCCGCCAGAGTGAGTGGAGAGCAAGGCCATGATAGGAGATGCTGCGGTGCCGTGTAGTGCTTTTCCGGGATGGCGAGTTCCTGCCGGATCTGGACCGATCCCAGTTTTGAGGGCGAAAACACGCTCATCGGGCTTACTACTTCCATTGGGTCACAATTCTCAATCATCGTGGGATGATGATTCTGTGAACGCGGCTGCTCATCTGCAGTGGTTCGAGGATCCTGCGCATTCTCCATCAGAGCATCCAGCTTGGCTTCCATGCGCTTCAGTGTGTCATTCAACTCTGTTACAGAGAGATTCTTCCTTGGCGAAACTTAGTTGACTGGAACAACACATTGGGACGAGCTTACTGCATTACTTTGATGTGACGGTTTCGATATACGCACATTGCAGCCCCAACCTTCTACATCGCCCACAGAAAGGTTTGGCTTCATCACACTTCGTCTTCCTCTCGCGACATGGCGCGCAGACCTTGAGAGGTCATTAGCGACGCCCTTAATCCCCGACTTGTGATGTGATACTTGCATTAAGCGCTTGGCGACGCGGTGCGTTACTTGAGAGCCGAGTTCGTGTCGTTTCGGAGTCCATATTAGTCCGGTGTTCTGGTCGTACGGAAGACGGCGGTGCAGGGTTGGGGGTTTTGGGGCCATTGCTGCTTAAATGCAGTCTCAAGGGTCTGCCAAGACGCCACAGATGGCGCTGGTCAAGCCCCCCGAACAACTGTAGGACGGAACACGTCCACGCTACCGGAAGAAAGACGATGGAGGGCTAACAAAAGTTGCAACGAGGCTACAAAAATCTAGAAGTGTATCCCAGTTATCGACAACGGTCGCATAGTTCATTCATACTTGATGAGCAGACATGTCAATTGACTCTTCACTGTGCGTGCTCTGATGAAAGATAAAAGATTCCATTAGCTAAGCTATCCCAGGACCCACCCGGCGCCGCAAGTCCCACATGGCCCGGTGCCGAAATGCTGAAGCCGCCGGCGAAAACAAGATCGTAATATATGCGCTTTATCCTTATCCACAATTTTTTTTTTAGGAATATTTACAGAGAACGGTCGTTGCGCCTATGCCGGGCATCCGCTGGCGGGGAAGTTGCAGCTGCTGGTCTTGCCACCTCCGGTGATCTTGGTGTTCTCAAAGGTGATGTCGGAGCAGCTGCCGTCACCGCAGAGGATGTAGTAGTTGTAGGCGTCGCTGGTGGCAGTTCCGGTCACATCGATGAAGTGAATGCCAGAGATCTTGACACCGTTGGTGGGGGTGCCGGTCGGGCCACCGTTGAGGTAGTCCTGCTGGACATCAATACCGTAGGTGTCGATATCGGTGAGGGTGATGTTTTTGTACGTGACGTTGTTGACCTCGCCGGTGGTGCCGGAGTTGGACTTGATACGGCAGCCGTTGGAGCTCTTAACGATCTGGGAGTTGGAGAAGGTAACACCGTCAACGGTGTTGTTGCTCTTGCCACCGATGGAGCCGATGCTGAGGCCGTGGCCTCCGTAGCAGTACAGGTTGTTGACAGTGATTTTGGTTCCACTGGTGACGGCGACGCAGTCATCCTGGTTGTGGACCTTGATGTTCTCGAGCAGGACGTTGTCGCTGGAGGAGATATCGAAGCCGTCACTGTTGTGGGCGGCGGCCTTGCTGCCGCTCTTAGCGTTGGGCGCATCACCGGCAGAGTTGTCGAGGACGAGGCCGGAAACGGTCAGGCCCTGGTTGCCGGTCATGGAGAAGCAGTGGACGGGCCAGTTCTTGATGTTCAGGTTGGTGATCTTGGCGTTGGTGGTCTTCTTGACAACAACGAAGTGGTTGGGCCTATTGTCACTAGTTAGTTCCGATTTTTCGTTTGCCCTGAGGGAGCAGCCACTCACTTGTCGCCACCACCGTTGGATCCAAGACCGTCCCAGTAAGCGGCACCATTGCCCTCAATCACATGCCCGGGAGCGCCAGTAACAACAATGTTGGTTCCGGAGATGATGATGGGGTCGAAGCTGCTGTCGACGGTGTCGGCAAAAGTCTGAGCGCGGAGTTAGTACCCGATCTTTTGCCCAGTCGCAAGTCGGAAAACATACGGTTGTGCCGTCGAAGGTGACCTTGGTGCCCGTCTGAAGCTTGGAGAGATCGATAGCACCGTTGGAGGGCGCAGCAATGTTAGAGAGCGTGATGTCGGTGCACGTCTTGACAGCGTTCGCAATGTCATCGTACTTGGTGACAACGCAGCCGGTCTAAAGTGGGCGAGAAACGGGTCAGTCAGATTGCCGGGTCTTGGCGCGCATCGGATGGATCATGGATCGCATAGGGCTGACTTACGGCGTTGCTTGCGCGAGCAACGGTGTTGGTGTAACGAATGTGAGGTGCGCGGTGGCCATAAGGAGACGCCGCTACCAGAGCGACGTTCAGCAGAGCCGCAGCAGGGGCAGTAAACTTGACCATCTTGGCGTGGAGAAAAGAGAACGACGGTAGTGAAATTGAACAAAGAAGTGAGTGGTGGTGAGAATCGGAGACTGGCTGGGGAACCAAACGCCAAGTAGGGCGCCAAGGTAATGTGTTATATATCTTTCAGATCCAGTCTTGGCGAGCGCAACGGAAGAAGAATATGGCCTCACTGATTGGAGGACATTTGCAGACCCTCATCCGTCCGAACGGGTGAACAAGACACTTTGGGAATGACTGGCATGTCTGACAACGCGGCTCAGTGGATATTGCAGGGCTTTGTTCGGTTGGATCCATCCGGAATCAACGGGCTCTGTCGATATGACTTGAAATGGCCAACATCATATGTCAAGGTTTGTTTAGTGCGTCGGCCGTTGCACCGATCAGGCGCTTGTTCTTGAGCAAGAACGATTTTGTGGGGGTGAAGACCTGCATCTTTCTAATGACAGCGTTTCATGTCAATCAGGAACATGACATCGACCAACGAGCGTTGTTAGAGTCCGAGTTGATATGCGGGAGAACCTGCTATCTTCTGCCCAGTTGAGGCGCACCACCCCTTATTCTCTCCCGTCTCCACCGACTAATCTCTTTGAGTCAGGGGGGCGTTGAACCAACCGGTCTAGGGCTCGAAAGCAGGGACCCCCATCCGTTTTCACGAATCTGCAATCAACGTGACACTCGCTACAGAGGTTGGAGCCGGGATGTGGGACAGGCGTTGTTGAAGCCTCAAAGGCCAGTTGACATGTTGTAATTCATCAATAAGCGCGGTCTCAGCAAGTCATGTTTGCGATGACGAAACTTGGTCATCTAATGAAGTTTGCGCCAAAGTCTGAAGGTTTAAGACGCATGGCACTTGAGAGGTATCGGGACGTTTAACGTCCGACATTTTGCAAGACCATTGGCCCGAATCAAGCATTGACTTCCCAGCTGGACACGCGCACAACCTCAGCTTCGTCCCGTCATGGTCTCTGCGTTTTGGGGCAACGCTCTTTTTGTTTCGTTTCTCCGGGAAGTCTAACGATCCGTTCTTCTCGCTGGTGGACAAATTTTAAGCGACGTGCTACTTACAAAAAATGCTCAGCCGAACGGATGCTCAAGATGTGCCTCGCAATTGATTGGGTTAGAAAATTTCCATCTTGAGACTCAAAGAACAAGTTGCCCACGAAAGATTCGTCAGCAATCATCCGGAACATGTCCAGATGAGCATTGGTGTTGGTGATGAGAGCGGGTGAAAGGGATGAATGGCGTAAATCGATCTCGGTGACACAGCTCTGCCCCGCATTTAGAAGAATTTCAACAATCTGAGGCAGAATTGCTTCGGATTGAGGGTATAATCTGCCGGCAGAAATTTTGAGTTTAGAGTTAGGGGCACGAAGTTTGCATGAACTCTACTCTTATTGAAAACAAAGGGCATAACACAGGCCATGTGTCTATAGTGAGCGTAGTATAATTGACTTTGTCTACCTGTTGCGGAGAAGCTCTTCGGGAAGCTTTGGCCAAACATCAGGAGCTTAGACTTTTGCTTCTTGCACCTCTCAATCTTGAACTGCATTGGTGAGTATGGAATAAGTTAACCATGACTCAACAGACAATGACAAGTCGGTTTTCGGCACAGTCCACAAGTCGTTTGATGAAAGCCGCAGCTGTGTTGCGCTATAGTTCAGAACCAATTGTTCAGTCTCCTAGGAGACTATCGTGATTCATCGATATATCTATACAAGCAGCGAATGTCCTGTCGGGTTGTTTACCGTGCTTCGTTGGTACCTAGTAGTGTCCGGTACCCATTGCAGCAAAGTCAACCTCGAATTTACGAAAAACAAAACCAGGATGTATCACTCTGAGCGAGTAGGAACTTAGTCAGGAAAGTTGTCTTAAGCCTCCCAATGCCTGCTTCTAGGAACATCTCTTTTGGAATACCGATATAGCTTGCTTACCTAGCAAACTCTGAAATATTGATGTTCTCTAAGCAACGATATTGAGTTATGGGAAAGGCTTCAAGACCTAGTTCACGCTCACGAGGGAGGCCCAGTAAAGAAGAGAAATGAAACTTTATGCTTGCATCTAAGAGACATCTTTCGTGGAAGAATTGTGAGTTACACACAGCTACTTGTATCTGAGAAATGCTCTGCCGCCTCAGTTGATCTCAATGCCAACCTTGCCCTGATGCTTTCCTGACTGCAGATACTCGTACGCCTCTTTCAGCTGTTCCAGATTAAAGACCTTGGGATCAATGACAGGGCGCAGCTTGTCCAAGTCGGCCTCGATGGCCCGGCACATCTCTTCAAGCTGCAACCGACTGCCGCACCAGACTCCTCGAACAGTAACTAGACTCAGCCACGAATCCAAAAACGTTGGCATGTCATGCTCAGACGGACTACCGCCAGCAAATCCTGTGGTGATGATAGTGCCGTCGAGTCTACAACTAAGGAGACTCTGTCTTAGAGTCGTTGGTCCCGCAACTTCGACGACCAAATCAACGCCAATGCCTCCGGTCAGCCTTTTGGCCTCTTTTCCCCACTCAATCGTCTCGCGATAGTTGATGATATAGTCAACGCCGAGATTTTCTAGAAGTCTCGCCTTCTCGGCTGAGCTAGTGGTGGCAATGACCACCGCTCCAACAGCTTTGGCGAATTGAATGGCGAAGATACTGACGCCCCCCGTGCCCTGCGTGAGGACCCATTGCCCAGCTGAGACTTGCTTGCCAGGTAATCCAAAAAGGGCGTTCCAGGCAGTAACACCGGCACAGGTCAGGGCTGCGCCTTCAATGAAGCTCAAGCCCTGGGGTAGTGGAACGAGTCCCTGCTCGCTGAAGGCCCCAATGGTGCGGAAAGTGCCATCGAGTACAGCACCGAGTCCAGACTTTGGAAGGTCGTCGGTGAGCGGGCCTGCGATGTATCTCTGAGCAAGTGCCGTGAGCACTCTATCGCCTGTTTTGAATCGAGTTACATGCTTGCCGACAGCTACTACAGTGCCTGCGCCGTCAGATCCGGGAACAACATCTGGTTTGACGTCCCAAGGGTATCTGCCCTCAACTATGGTGAGATCTCGGTACTATTGGCAAGGTCAATCAACTTGAATATGCACGAAATGAGAACGAGTGCTCACGTTCAGGGTGGCGCCTTGTACTAAAGTGAGAGCAAAACTTAGTTTCGTTTAAGGGCAATCAAAGGCAACATGATCAACTAACACTTGACTAGGACCTGGCTGTCACCAACCTCTGGAGACTCTTGATCCGAGATCTGTAGAGAATTTAAGCCATTCTCACCGACAACTCTCCATTGCCTACTCTTTTCGGGGATTGCTTGTGTCATGGTATTCGGGTGTTTCCGGTAGGTCGATACAGCTTTAGCACGGAGAACCTGAGATGTTCATCAAGTGCTTCCTCGCGGCCGTCTCTGCGTCGAGGATATCGGAGGGGACACTACACTGTGCTCTTCCAATAATTTCCCGAACTTATATATTAGCAAGGGCAGGCTGCAGAACTCACAAAGTCCATAAGCATTAGGTCTAGCCGTGGGCTTAGTGACAAATGGAACTCCTAGGCGGTGATTTACTGATTCATAAGCACTAAGGGACTTTGGGGCCGTGGCCATTGCCCATGGGGATTATAATTGTGATTAGACATGATAACGTTACGTGCAATAGCGTAATTTTATCCCATCAGTTGCGGCATGACGTCGGTGAATACGTCTCCGATAATATCTGACGCTGACGTTGTATAGATTTTCTGATTAGATGCGCCAGGAACAATCGAAACGAGATTGGACCAAAAGATGTACATTGTGAATAAGAAGTAATTTGACACCACCCTCATGTAATGCGTCAAGTACGTGTGTAACGATATCATGCCGTAAGGTAGGTGAAGGGATAGCAAACCTTCGGAATAGTTCTGTATCAAATTTGCGTTTGCTGGTTCGACCACCGTTTAGCACTGCTTTAAAAGATTAGGCGCACGCGGCGTGACGGTGCCTTTACTAATTTGCTACAGGACTAGCTAGTGATACGCAAGTTACCATCGTTGTCTCTAAAGGTGCATGGTGAGACCTCCAGCAATAGGATGCTGCGAGACACAATATCGGCCTGTCTGAAGACTCCAGGTCAAGTTCCCTGTGCAGAAGAATTTGCACCCATCAATGTAGGTCTTGAGACTAGGCGCCAATGATGCATCATCAGCAAAATTGGCCATCAGACACGCGGCAGCATGGTTGAAGTCATTGATCGCTTTTTCGATCATTACCGTGACCATAGAGACTGTAATATCAAGACTTTCTGTCGGATTGGAAGTCCAATTCGACCTCGAGGCCAGGGGGCCCGCGCAGGGGCCACTTCCAGACCGTACTTACGAGATCCACGGTCTGCCCAGCCTCCGGTTGGAACCTCCCTTTTACACCTTACGCAGAAGTTAAATATCTATCGATTTTGACCTCTTCGTCACCCACGTTTCGAACCAATCCCTATGATAGGAATACCAAAACTTTCTGTTTTTCTAACGAGTAAGGGCACAATGCCCTCGACCGTTTGCTGCGCCTTCGTGCTAAGAGTAAGCAAACGTGCCGCCCCGAAAAAAGAAAAAGAAAAAAAAAGTGTTGAGGATGGCTTACTATCTCTTTCTTGGGAGACAGGAGGTCATTGAAGCTGGTTGTCTCCGTTAGCGCTCTGATATACACGCTTCGATCTAAGTAAGCAAGCAACCTACGCCCATACGAGAACGTTCGCCTGGTCCCACAACGTCTTCATTCCCGCTTCTCTGAGGACTTCGACTGGGAAAGAGATGCCGCAAGCGTAGCTAGTAAATTCAGGCCGTGTGATAGGACTCCGTCGTAGACGTATACGGAGGCGCATACTCAATGGAGAATAAGCAGACGTTAACTGCCCCTGTGCCCATCCTAGTTGCAATGCACTCTCCTGTGGATGGGAGATGTGGGCTAAGCCGACGCTTTTGCTCTATTTCGGAAGTCTCTATGAAGCAACCAATTTCATCGAAAAGAATCTGTCGATGGTCTGATCGATGCTCAAGTTAGCCAGAGATACCGACTTTTTGGTATGGAAGACACGGGCTGATGGAGGCTTGGACTGAGACTTGCTGTGCTCATAAGCCTCGCATACTGCATCGCCAATCACCTTGAAGAAAGCGATGATCTCATTCCCTGGAACTTCATGGTAGTCATCACTATCTGAAAGTCTGAGGCAGTGTCGCACATAGTCGAGGGTTTCTCGCCAAAAAGCTTGTGCGGCTCGAAGATTGTCGTACAAATGGCCTCCTTTTTCATCAATCTCTGTACGAAATCATTCAGAAATCCTGTGTCAATCATCTTATTCACTTACAGTCATCCCATGTGAATAGCTGGAAATTTAGTCAGGAGTAGCAGAGTCGCATAACAGACAAGAGTGAACGTACCCAAAGAACTACGCAGGACAAGATGTCTCCACGCTCCAGATTGACTTTTGAGTACCAAGTTGATATGAATAGTCCCACATCGATTTTCGACATCAATTTGCGGCTCCTGGTCAACTCAGTGAAGCTGAAGATAGACTAGCTTAGCTGGCCAGGTCTCTGATGACTTGGAGGCTCTACTCACCACCGTACCTTGCAATCCGCTCTGCAGTTAGAGTTCGGAGGCCTTCTAGACAAGGGCTCACGTCTTTTGGCCATTGTTTGAAGAGTAGACCAAGATCAAGAATATGAAGATCCTGGCCCTTAAGTTGTTGAATGAGAGTCTGGCGGACATCGGGGCAGGCCATTGTCGATGCTCTCGTTTGTTTGTACACAATCGTGAGTCTTGCAGATGAAAAATGCGAAATTGGGCTTCTACTTATAAGCTACGCATGGGATTAAGGTACATAGATACTTGTCCCACTACTTCTTAGACGCTCATGAATATTTGCCTCAATAGACTGTGGAGATGATCCCTTCTCCTTCAATTGACAGAGATCGTGTGAGAGTGAGAACCACCCTGGACCCATGCCGCTCTTGTCGAATGTCTTCTTTTGTAATTTGGGAGGCACGACTTGATTTGAGAGCAACCCCAAGCAAAGGATGGTGTCAGTCGCATGTTTGGGGGCTATCACCACTGGATCGCCGCGATTCCGTGAGGAAAATATAACAGCGAGGTATCCAGAATGTGAAGTACGTAACCTATTCGCTTTTGACGCGGTAGATCATTTTCGTGTTGCTGCTTTTACCAGCAATTGCCTGACTCCATGAGGCAATCAGATTTGCCAAATCCGAATGGTTTCAACACGTATACCCTGGATTTCGAGGCAGGTGCCAAGTCGATGAAACCTCATATGCTGTTGGTTCGTAAAGCAACGCTTGCCATGCATGTTGACTGCATAAAGGCCGTATTCTATTTCTAGGTTTCCCAAGTTCAACACATCGTCGTTTACCCCTACGCTCTTTCATAGTATTGGTCGAATGTTTGCTGACCTACCTGGACTGGAAGACACCAATAGGCATGACATTTGCCGATCTGATGATGGATCCGAAGGTTTTCTTCAGAGCCTAGAAGGTTCGAACCCGAGAGATGGCTCGAGTCTCACCCTCTTTACGTACAAAGCACGAAATCCTTCTTCCCCTTTGGCCGCGGGCATCGTAATTGCATAGGTCTCAAGTACGTTGACTCCTCATTTCAACAGCAGAGCTAAGCAAACATGCACTAATTATTATGCGCCGCCAAGTCTTGCTTGGGCAGAGATGTATCTTGCAATGGCAAAGGTTCTGCGTTAATTCGATCTAGAATTGTACGATGTCAGCAGAGAAAGGGACATTGACCACCATCGTGACTGCTTCCTAGGCGAGCCTCGAGATGATACGAAAGGTGTTCAGGTCAAGGTTCTTCGTCAACTGGACTGAATATGGCAGGGTAACATTGATCAGCGCAAGGCGGGTACGCTTCGGATCTATTATGCATGGATAGCCGGGAGAGTCAAGAACAGCCGTTGTATATGGGGCCTGTTCATCATGATTTCGTTGCACGGCCTTCTCCATTGCAAGTGTCACTGTCTCATCGGAAGCTCAATGCAGTGCCATTTGGTGTCAAAGCGTGGTCACGATGTCTCAACTCTTGAGCAGTAGAAGTTAGAACAGTAGCCCTCTGTTTCATAGTAGCCTTTGCTTCAATTCCGTGAAGTAGGACACACTAGAAATATTCATCTACATAGCAGTTTCAATTCATGCTTTCCTCGCGCGGCTACTCTCTTCTAATATCCGCGTTCTATCGAGTCAGGGCCGACGCTCACTCGGTCATAAGCGTTAGAAATACTGGTATATGGCAAATTTCACTGCAAACATGCGAGTTACGACCTAGGTACGTGCCAAGTGATATCAAGTGGACAAGAAAGTAATCCGCTGTCCAACACCTCCCAATAATATATAAATCTTGTCGTCTTCAGAACCACTGCCGTTGCTACTCTTCAAAGCTAGGGTTGGTCTCGAAGTATTCTTCATGCAATGCGGCACGAGGGGGAGGAGTCGTTCTTCCCCGTGATGTGCTGTCCGCGCTGGCCACCCGGGCGGCGACCCCCGAAATCGTGGCCGCTCTCGAGAACTTTACGACCATTCAGCACCTGCAGCTAGATATCTATTCTATACCATGGTGCGCCAGGTGCCCGGTCTGCTGGAGATAGAAGTAGGCTTTGGTCACACATATCCAAATCAGCGCATAGTTAGCGCCGTCCAGTATAGTGCTGGAGAAGAAGGGGAATCTGGACTAGTTGCCGGCGGACCATATTGTCACCTTCTACTTCCATATGTAACCTGTCTAACACCTGTGAACGCTGTTATCCTACGTTGTTAGTTGAACTCGGATGGAATTCTCTTTCAAGGTTCTTAAAACCTGGGTGGAACAGTATCGGGGAAAATCGAAGAGACCATGAAATAGTCGAAACTTTTTTCTAGGGCAAGAGAAATGTATGTTCCTCAACGCGAACCGGGGAACATCAATCCTTTTTTCCAGCCTCAAGCAACATCGCGCTCCGCTCTTGTTGCTCCATTCAACCCTTTTGCGAGGGTTTTCTTTCTTTTTTTTATATAAACTCTACCGGGAGATTCATTCATCAACTAGGGCGTTTATACCCAGCCGACTTTGGAAGCATCGTACTACACCTACCTCTTGTGTCTTGAAACCCCCCTACATCTACACCTCTAGTACCACTGCAACTGCATTCGATTCCCATCGACCATGGCGACAGTCCCAAGGCATGTCTTCATCTAAGGTACTTTATGCGCCAAGCCACTCCTCGCCTGGGTATAAACCGGCGACGCTACACAAGTCGAGGAGAAATCGGCTCTCGTTCGCTCCGTAAGAGTGGAAATGTCGGCGGTCGCCCGTTACTCACTACACCGCTATGACTACTTACCTAGCCGTCATAGAGGAAAATGGTTCGTTCACAAATGAATATCTCTTACGACCACAAACGCATGCGCTCTCACAGCGGAAGAAGCTTGGCGACTTTGAAGGCGAAGTTTACCAATTCGATACTGCTCAAGCCATGGTCTTGACTCACGATGGTACAACAGTGGAGGGCTCGGTTGAAGCGGATATCTACCTGTGGAATGGTGGCAAAGATTTGGTTTCCGATCAATCTTGGGATTTGGAATGGTTCCTAACTGGAGGACTGGATTGATCTTTTTTGCGGGAATGGAAATGGTGGGGAATGATGATGGCTGAGATCTAGGCAGGAAACTTCTTGTTGTTCTGGGAGGCACCCTGGATCTGAACATAGATTTCAAAGCTGTAGTTGGCTCTACTTCAAGTATGGAATTGATGGCTTGATCGATGGAACAATACAATGAAAACTAACATTCAGATCTCTCATATATTCCCGTCAATCAAAGTGGGCAATCAAATTGAACATCACTGTGAGTAAAACTTACGTCCGTCAAAGTGTAAGATTCTTAGCCGGAATCCGGGGGACACCGCTCGGCACGGACAACGAAAAGCACGGGCGCAGAGCCCATAAATAGTTATGGGGTCTAGTCCGTCAGGCGCTGCACAGAAGAAGTCTAACCTTACTCGGTTCATCTCAGGTGGGCGCTGACTGAAGTGTCTCTGCATTTTGCATTCTTCAGCAGACTTTGGAGAATTTTGATGGTGGATTCTTCTACTTCTTCAACTCTTCGCTAAGTGTTTGACTTCTGTAATGATGGGCTGAGAAGAACATGTGTGGTCTGATTATCTATGGCACCTGAGCGATTTCAACGCTCTCCTTGCTTCAGGGCAGACTCTGAGAGTCCGGGGGATCTCTCAGAATGTAACCCAGGATTGGCCAGCGGCAACTTAAGCCTATCGAGCAAGCACTGTTGCGATCCTTGGATCATCGATATTATCGCTTTCGGGTTATAAACTGTGGCGCGATTGGTCCGGATCATACCGGCTGTGATCTCTCCCGCACCCTCAGGTCGCATGTACTCGCCCCTCTGAACTCCTGGAGCTCCTTTGTCCCGTCGACTTCTCGGTGAGGGCTCTTGGAGAGATCTGAGGTAACCTATTCAGGGCTAGTGGCCGTGGCTCTCACACCAAATCGCTTCCACTTTCGTCTCAGGGGTTTGTCTGATCTACCATGTCCCACCGTTAGCTCGCCTGCGGCCCCTAGTCAACTCTGTGACGCCAGGCCCTGGAGTTCTTGTTTGAAGTGTCCGTCGCGACCACTCACAAGTCTGTCTTGGATGTTCGAAGGTGCCAAGGCCGAACTGCCAAGTCTCGCGAGCTAACAAGTCTGGCATCCCTCCGCTAGGGTGAGACGAGTGGAAAAAAGCAGGGACCTCTCTGAGCATACTGCAGAGGAAGGTTGTCGTTCGTCCATGTGCTAGACAATTGTGTGTGTGTGTGTGGCAAGCAAGCACCCCCGAGAGCGAAAAGTATCCGTAGGAATGCCAATGCCGCGTGAATGATGTGTCCCATGTGCCAAATTTGGATTTTGGCTCAGCAGCCGCACCAGGCGGGAGGATGCTCGACAGGGTCCTCCCAAGGCTCTGCACTGACAAGGGATGTCAGAATGGGTTTGTTGTAGTGAAGAAAACGTGCGAACCATGCTACTTTGAGACACCATGGTTCCTCATCGTCGTTGGCTGGTCCCCCTCCCTTGGCGCGGTGACAGATGGGACAGGGCATCGGCTAGTTCGTCTTCTCTCTCGCTCTTGGTCTTGGTCGATCTATTCCCATTCTCGTTTCCAATCTCTATTCTTGTCACAGCAATTCTCTTTCTTCGTTGCCTCTTCTTTCCTTTACGCTAATTCTTTCCCTCCATCTTCAATCGTTGTCTGCCTCGACGGTGGAGTCTGCTTCTATTCCACTCTTCTCACCTCTTGGTAGCTCTTGGTAGCCAAGGCGTGTTTTGCATTGCGTTGCGTCTGCCGTTTGAAAGGCAGCATTTCTTCACGACTTCCCGGTGGGATCTTCAATACCATTCAACCATCAATAGCTTGCTGGATCAGCTTTCTTTTCGACTTCTCTTCGTTTCTTCTCTTCATCGTCCTTTCCAGCCAGTCGGTTCCTGATCTATACGCTCCTTAACCAACAACCGATTTTCTCTTACCGAAGGACATTTGAGATCGACTTTCGAATCCACTGCCGCCACCACGAAACAACCAACACCCTCCATCGACTCGACCAAGCGCCATTCCATCAGATAATAGTTCCCATGTGGCGACGACCGCGATAGCACGCACCACCTTTCCAGCGCCAGAAATGACGCTCCTCTCATCCGCTCTTTTGGCTCTTTCACTAGTCACTAGAACCCAAGCATGGCCTCAGCTACCAACCGACGATGGCGATTTCAGCACCCTCATGACACTTCCCGTCATCCCGTATACCGCCACACAAAATCACGATGTCGAAGTTGTCCCGCGTGGGCTCTCCCTACCCGCCGATGAGGGCGATGAAGTCAGTATGATGATGACGTTGCCAGTGACTTCAAAGTCAAGAAGAAAGAGACGTATAAGGGCGCCACGCAAAGTTCTACTCGACAATCTTCTCGGCGATGACTTGGAGGCTCTTCCTGCCGCCCCGGTGGTCAAGCCTCCAGTAGTGCGAGGCCTGCCCGTCGATGACAGTGTCGATGTTAACAGCGCTTTCGTCACGCTGCCCGTCATTCACTCTACGAAGCGTGGTGTATTTAGCAGACAGGTTGAGGCGAAGCTTGCCAACCGTTCTGACGTGGCTTACTACGCCCAACGTGAGCAGCAACTCCCATTGCCTTTACTGATGAGCATATGGAACACACACACTAACTTCGTTATAGTCAACATTGGCACACCCCCTCAGCCAGTCTACGCTCAGCTAGACACTGGCTCATTCGAGCTATGGGTAAACCCAGAGTGCGGGGCCCTCGCTGCTTCTGATCAACGCTTCTGCGAAGCCGTTGGCTTCTACGATACGGCTCGATCATCAACCGCCGTATCACTACAGACCACCAAAACTCTCCGCTACGGTATCGGCGCCGCAAACATTACTTATGTCCGCGACAGTCTCGCCCTTGCCGGCTCTCGAACGACAATGCAGCAGGTTCAATTTGGCGTCGCCACCAGCTCCGAAGATCAGTTTGCAGGAATTCTGGGCATCGGCTATGGCAATGGCGTCAACACCCGCTATAAGAATCTTGTCGACGAGCTCGCTACGCAGGGAGTCACCCGCACCAAGGCTTTTAGTCTCGGACTGGGCTCCAAGGACGAACAGGAAGGAGCAATTGTGTTCGGCGGCATCGACACCTCGAAGTTCTCTGGGCCGCTGGCTCGCCTCCCGATTCTCCCAGCAGACCAGGCCCCCGACGGTGTTGCCCGGTACTGGGTAAACATGAACTCACTCAGTCTCACTCCACCGAGTCGCCGCGTCCGCATGTACCAAAACAGCTCCATGCCGGTCTTCCTAGACAGTGGCGCTACTCTCACGCTGCTGCCCGAGGAGCTTGCCGTGCAGGTTGCCACCGACTTTGGCTCACCTGGTCTGGACGCTAACGGATTCTACCCTGTCTCGTGTACTCTTGTCGATCTCAACGGCACAGTCGATTTCGACTTTGATGGCATGAAGATCAAGGTCCCTTACAAGGAGATGATCCGTGAGCTGCGCACCACCCCGCCAACGTGCTATTTAGGTATCGTCCCCAACGCGGACTTCACATTGCTGGGCGATACCTTTTTACGCTCAGCGTATGGTAAGTTGATCCTATCCTATCCTCTTAAAGAGATGCCATACTGACTCACATCGGCAGCCGTCTTCGACCTGGACACCAACGCTGCTTACCTAGCGCAGTATGTCAACTGCGGCACCAGGACGATGCCCATCAGTCGACCGGAAGACATTGCAGCTATCCGAGGATTGTGTCCTGCCCCTGCTGGATCTATTGCTGTTCCCATACCACCAGCGACCAATGGCACCACCACCTCACCAGGGACGGGGGCAGGGTCCGGCTCAGGATCTGGCTCGGATGCTGGATCAATGTTGCCCACGAGTCCCGCTCCTGAGATGTCCGGCGTGCCGGCGTCTGACACGATATCATCCACTTCAACGTCAGCACCAAGTACTCTCGCAATTGTCTTGGGAATCGGCTTAGCAGTTATTTTGATGTGAAAAATGGATAGTCGAATGAATTGTTTTGGTGTACATGCGGGCACACTTTTATGAGCATCTTGAGCGGGCAGTATGTGATTTTATGGCGTTTGGAATAGCGGAACCGCCAAGCTTTTGATTCTAGCATCATCGGGGATGACATTTATTCAGTCGGCGCATATGATGAGCAGCGAGCATTGTCAAAAAGTCGAGGTTTGAGACAGAGATTAATGTCATGTGCCACATGAACGGCCATTCGAAATATCAGCTAGTCCCGTTGCGTGAAGTGAACTAATTTGATACCTCGCCATTGAACACCTACTTAAGCGTAACGGCCCTGTTCTTTGCGCTATTCAAGACATTCATATCTGTGAATGTTGCCAGCCCAACTCGACGGTATACCCCATCAGATGCTTCATCTTCAACCACCATGAGCGCAATGAGCAGCTCAGCGTCTCCGAGTAACGTTTTTCCTAAGAGAAGGTACTCGGTCTCCTCGTCCCCGATCTCAAGCGAGACATCAGCTAAATCAGGATATTCTGTTACCCACTCTTCGTCCTTATCAACCATCGACTCGTCCACATCGTCAAGTGTGAGGATGGGGCACGACAAGACCACGTTGTGCGGTTTGGTACGTTCTTCCAAGAGAGTCATACTCCGGACCTTGGCAAACTCCGTTGTGAGCAAGCCAGTGTACCGGATCCGCCCATTAAGGGAAGCCCAAGACCAACATGGTGCCCGGTTCGATCTCTTCCTTTCCGCATCCCTGTCTACGTCGCAGCTTTTCTTAGACCAAGTTAGCTGTTCAATGAACCATCGTTTCCATAGCCCGAAAGTATTCCCATCTCGCCACAGGCCCTCAAGCTCTAGTGTGATGCCCTTCAAAGCGTTAAGCCTGTCGTCAGCTTCACCCAACAAGCGGCGCGAGTACTGTTCCACCACAGTCATCCAGATATACCTCTGCTCCTCCTCTTGAACCCCAAAGATTGACCCTGCCTCATCATTGAAAGCCAACCAGGGCAGACTTTCCAACGGTTGCAAGTACTCCAAACCATCAGCAGTGACACCCCGCAACTCAATTTCCTTACACTGCCACAGCAACTCATATTCCGAGAAGAACAACATCCTTGACGAGAGCATGAACTCCTGAAGAACCCACCCGCGTGTGTCTATGGCATGCTTGGGTATATGTGTACCACTTCGGAGGTAGACAGTTCCTAAGCCGCTCGACATGGGAATGCAAAACTTAGCTTCAGGCAAGTACGTCCCCTTCATTTCAAGAAACCCATCTTGAGCTTTCGCTGCGGTTCCGGCCGCAATCATGACCGCAGCATTCTTGTAGACCAGAGCCATTTCGCTAATTTCCTTCTCTTTGTCTTGGACGCAATCCTGAATGATGCAGAATGCATCGACCCAGAGATGCCGGAAGCCGAGCTTTCGCGTGACTACTACCGCATCTCTGACCGTCTGCTCGAAGTCGTCCATATTTATCTCTTCAGTCATGCGTTCGAGAGTAGCTTTAACGAGCTTACCAGGCTGTTTGCCGCCCCAGCAGTAACTCAAAGCGACGTACTTGCCTTCCTCTTCGACGTCATTGACGAAGAGCTTCATAGCGGGCGACTGGACCGTACCAACGTCAATTACGCGTGTCGGCAGAACACTGTCTCGGCCGTAGCGGCATTGATCATGCGTTTTTCTGCACTCTTCATACAACCGTGAAGCAGCGGAGAACACCTTTTGGCTCTTCACATCTCTCTGCAGAGGTCTCCTGTATACGAAGCTGGTAGCGGGGTCTCCTACGTTTCGCGTCAGAGGTTTTTCAGTGAAATTTCCGCTGTACATCTAGTACCTGTGGTCACGTACCGTCCTTTGCGTAAGGTAAAATGCTAAAAATAATGTCCCCTGAGGGTAGACTGCCCTCCATGATGTCGATCCATGGTGGTGCAACATTGGAATCCGTCATAGAAGAGCGATTACGCAATGTCAGGGTCTCGTTGCCGGCCCAGATGTGCTCATGATGCCTCTTGGATGCAGTACATATGAAGTGGCATAGAGAACACCCACCCGTAGCCGCGGAGCAACATTGTGTATAGGTGGAGTGTTCAAATCCGGTAGTTGAGTTGAGCGCCTTCAGACCCTCTTCCGAAAAGACGAGAAGACATCGGGAGCAATATTTATCGGTCTTGTTTGTCCCCCGAGATCTTTTAGAGCTTGACGAAGAGTTATCCAGCTCAGCTCCAGAACGGCGTCGAGGTTGTGTCGACCTATGCGGCAGAGATACTGACATATCAACGTACTGTAAAACTTAGGGCGCCTGGCGGCTATCCATCGTCCCAGGACAACAGAGCAAGACCAGGAATTTATGTAATGTCAAGTGGTAATCATGCGCCAACGCGGGAGCGCGGGAACACGCGAGGAAGCACCCACGGGCGGCCTTCCGCACATGTGGCTGAGCTTGCATGAAGGCAACCAGGCTAAGCACACCATATGCAGGCTGTAGACAACTAGGCTGCCCAACCTCCTCTCTCTTCAGAAGTCGCGCTTCGCCTCGTTAGGCATACTGTCTGTCATCATCCAACCATGGAAGAGAGCCGCAAAAGATGTGGCCAACAACCTGCTCGTTACGGTAGCGCAGGCAACTATCTCCGTGTTGCTGCTACAGAGAGGCGGCTAGGACATAATGATGCTAGGCCCAAGCCATGCGTTGCTATATCCTTACGAGGCTCGCAGTGCTCTATAATGTGGTAGAGAAGAGAATCAATCGGGTATTATTATGAGCAGCTATCATAGCGAAGCTCTGCTTCTAAACATGATGGCACTCGGCTCCTGAGGAGATACAACTACCTAAGTGAGATGCCTGCATCGCATTGCAATGACCCCTAGGAGGACCGTAGAACTGAAATATTCAAAAATAACCACCATCAAGTTCATCAAGACATCAATTCGCACATTTCCCGCAGCGAACCATCACCTCATGACCTCAACATCACACTGGCCGTCTTATGACTGATCCATCTCGTCATCAACATCAGCAGGCTCATCGAACCCAATTGCCGCCAGGTTCTTCTTGACGTTCTGTTGTGATCTCATTTCCTACACCAAGGCAATTTTATTAGCCAAACAGTTGAAACTATTGACGGGGCGAACCGCTTGCGATGATGACATATAGATAATGGATGCCTCGACTTACCTCTTCGACCGTGTTTTTGATCACGTATCTCGTGACGAGCACCTTTTTACCCTGACCGAAGCGGATCGCGCGGGCAATGGCTTGGTTCTCAACGCTGGGGTTCCACTGTAACTCGACGATGAAGACGCGGTTGGCGCAGGTTAGGTTGAGACTGGTGATGGGTAGCGGTTAGGATGGGTCTATGATGATATGCCTTGATATGTGAATGAGACAAAGGATGAACTCACCCAAAGGCACCAGTTCCAGTCGTCATGATGAGAACCCTTTTCTCCTCTTCCTTTGCGAATTGTCTCAGGATGTCCTGTCTCTGCGATAAGGGACAGTCACCGTCAATCTTGTGGTACTTTACGCCGACCTTTTCTAGGTGTTTTGCAACTAGGCGCAGTGTTCTCGTCCAGCAAGAAAAGATGATGCTGTTTTCCGAAAATACTTAGTGACCGTCCCTTTCAGACAAATAGTCTTGATTCTTGTCGTGTCACTTACCTCTTGGTTGTCGAGACGTCGACTTGGACGTCACGGATGAGCGCCTCCATCTTGGTAGAGTATCCCACCGTGTTAAAGTAATCCGCATCGTCCGCGCCTGACGTGGTCTGCGCAGACGCGTCAGGCAAACCCCCGGCATCCACCGCAGTCCTGTCGACCCTCACCAGCGGAACCGTCGTGGGACCAGCAGAAGAAGTCTTGGCCGACTTCATCCAATTATCACACACGGGACAATGCCGCCCCCGAGAGCCGGAGACCGGGGCCGACACCGACGCCACCGACGACAAGTCCGAGTCCTCGAGACACTCTGAGCAAAACACGTGTGTGCACTGTTCCTCAAACTCGTTGCGCAGCCTGCTGGATCCGAGGATGGGCATAGGCTGGTGACAACCATCGCACGTAATCTCGGCGTTCTGCCCCAGCGCCGAGACGGCGGCCTCGCGCTCGTCGAGGCGGTAGCTCCTCCGGTGCCAGGAAAAGGGCTTCTGGAAGGTGCCGTGGTTGCAGAAGATGCGCATCTGGAGATTGGCCTGGAAGAGACCGAACTTGCTGCTCTTCTCGACCTCGCCTACTTTCTGCTTGATGGTGCGCATGAGAATTTTCTTGGTCTTGTCGTACTGCTGCTGCTCCTCGAGGCTGAACTGGAGGTCGACGATGCGTTCCTCGAGACCGGGAAGGTCGAGGAGGTCTTTTGTGCGGCGAAGGCAGAGGGATTCCATGAGGGTGACGAGACGCTCTTTTACCTTGTCGAGGTTTTCCGAGTGTTGCTCAAAAGGCACCTCGATGTAGCGGCGGAAGGCGGCTGGATTGTCAAAGGGGGTTGCGCGGATGAAGGCGAAGAGGGCGCCAATGTCAGCGAGTTTGTTCTGGATGGGCGTGCCGGTGAGGCACCACCGGGAATTTGCGTGGAGCGATCTGCAGGCTTGGTAGAATGTTGTTGCCGGGCGGCGGATTATATGCGCTGTGTTGTGATCTGTCAGTTTGTTGTCTAAGATACGATGTAGAGATGGTGAGGGCATTGCAAGTAACGGGAGGGAAACTTGCCTTCATCGAGGACCACTCGGTACCAGCCAATCTTGTGCAGGATGGACGACTTCTTCTCAAATTCTGCAGATAGTGTATTGTAGGTTGTCACGACGACGTCGGAGCCCTTGATCTTGTCGAGGTCCTTTTCTCGATTCGGACCGTGATACTTGACATGCGTCAGGCTTCCGTCCACGTGCCTGTCGGGTTGTTAGACGTGAGAGACCAAATGGTTGGTCGCGAGTATTAGTTACTTACTTCTCAATTTCATTTGTCCAGTTGTAGATTAAGACTATTCATTGTTAGTTATCGGGCTCGTCAAGGGGGTTGGGGGAATAGGCTGGGCGTTTTCTTGTAGACTCACGAGCAGATGATACCACCACGAGGGTCGAGCCGGAGTAGTGCAGGTCCTTATTCTTCTCCCCGTTCATGTCCTCATCGATGGCCCAGATACGAGCGTCGTCGAGAGTCTTGACGATGAGCGAGAGGATGGACAAAGACTTCCCCATGCCCATCTCGTCTGCGAGGATGCCACCGCCCCTCTCGTCCGGCTGGATCTTTTGCTTCACATTTGTGATCTTATGGCGGTACCTGATTGATCCGGATTAGAGTGATATCTATCAGTCGGAAAGCCTTAAGAAACATACCATTCTTGTCCCTCTACCGTCACTGGGTACCAGAGTCTATAATTTGGATGAATGTCACCAGACTCCCGCTCCAACATGAACGCGAGCGCCTCCTGTTGGTGCCTACGGACGAACGACTTAGCATCATACACTCACAAGAGGGTGTGGTCAGTGATAGACAGAAGGCAGACGTTACCCTAGCAGGTCATTCTTCAATCGCTTATCTCCAAGTTCTCGGTTGAAGTGGCGCTTGTTCTTAATCGAGTCATACACCTCAATCATCATCCGCCTTAACTTCTCCTCCCGCGGTTGCCGCCCAGCCGGTTGGCCGCTGTTGACGTCGTTGATGGTATGCTCGGGCATCGCCTCGCCACCCTGAATCTTGAGAACATGCGGGTTCTCATAAGAGTGCTCTCGGCGCGCATGGTCCGACTTTTGCAGCCAGAGCTTTCCCTCGGTCAGCTTGTCGCCGACGCTTTTCGCGGCGCGGCGCGGGCCGTAGACGTTGATGTCAACTTTGACCATGGCCTCGACAGGCTTTTTGGCGCGGCCGATGGTCTCACGGAGCGTGTTGGTCGGGGCGATGGGCTCAAACTCGACGTGAGAGTCTGGACTGAGCAGTCGAGCGAGGGCCTTGCCGGGCCCGGAGCGGAGGTAGCCGAACTCTGTAGTATTGTCGTCCTTGAAGGAGAGGCAGATGTGTTCTTGTGAATCGGTGAGAGTGAAGCGTTGGTAGGCTGTCTTGCTTGGGGCTGAGGCTTGACTGGACTCGCGCAGTTTGGTGTCGATGACGGCCATGTCACCTATTAATTTGACGTCTACATTATAGAGCTATGACTGATGAGTCGGGATTGTCCTTTACGCCATCTTGACAGAGAAGAGGAAGGAGAAACAAGACTGTATGTCTAGATGACCAAGAGACTTGATGAAATGAGTTTGTGTCTTACCATGCCGTAGCAGACCTTGTCGGCTTCGTCCTCGCCCGCCGTCGACGAACATGAGTCCGAACCTGCGATACTGGAATCGGGGAAGAGTGAGGGTGAGTGTGTTACAGGCAAAGAGTCTTGTGACGATCCGGAGCTCTGGGGTGAGCTGTACGTCCCCTGCGCAGGAGACTGTGCGATAGTATTGCGACCCCATATTTCCAGGTCGGTTCCGAAGTCGTAGGGCGCGAGCTCGGTTCCGTCACCGAGATTGAGGGCCCCTAATTGATCACCGACGCTCTGGCCAAAGAGAATACTGTCGAACACGGCGTTCATGGAAGGGTGGTTCTCGATTACGGGAACATCTTCTTGGTCGCCCTGGCTGGTGTAGTCAAAGCTTTGAAAGGGGGTATGGCGTGGATGATATCCGGGGTCCGAGTAGTCTTGGAAGCCGCCCTGGTAGGTTGGCGTGATGGAGCCGTACGAGGAGACGGACGACGGGTCGGGATAGTGGAGATCCTCATCTTCCTCGTTGAGAAGTCTCTTTAGCGACGACATGACGGCTAGGGGGTATCGGAGACTCAAGGTAGTTGACTAAGTCAGTCTGTCGATGAGTGATTGAGACTAAAGTCCTTTTTCGGAGTTGGTTCCGGAACTGGAGTTTAGTGTGTTGAAAGCTAGTGAAAGCTTCGAATAACTTCAGTTGAATGAACGGACGGTTGTCGAGTCTATCTCGCAAACGGGTCGATCAATGTTTTCCCACTGTCAAGTGCTTCTTCTCATGCAGCCAGTGCCTTGAGGAACATGATGAGGCTCTCTGCGGCAAAGCAAAAGGCGCCGGGCGAACCATTTTTGACCACATGATGGTCGGTGACGTGAGGCAATCGAAGAGGCTACCTTTTGCTGTGCAGTCTCCCTCCTTGAGGCGCAGTGCGCGGACGATGATGAAGGCGATCGTGCTTCCCGTTGGTGGTTCGCACTTCGCCGAAGACTTGTAGCTGCGCTCCGGACGCGCACAACCCACACCGCGTACTTTTTCCACTTTCTTAGTGTCGTAGAGGCCCCTGTGAGGGTCCTTGTGGGCGGTTTGGGGGTCCCTAACTGTCCTAACTGTCCTTAGGGTCATACTCGCACCCGCTTTGCACCGCCCCCGAAGGCCCCCCGGCACCCCGGTTCACCGACGGTTGCTCCGCCCCAACCGCTCGGAGTCCCCCGACCGGGGCATTTTCAAGAGCCTCACTAGCCCGGAATGAGGTCGAATGATGGGGAAATGCCCACCTGCCGATGCTTGTTCTCGAGAATTACCACCGGAGAGGGCTCCGGTAGGGTTGAGGATGACGTAGATTGACGATACTCGCGGGATTCCCATGTCGCGGATCGAGTCTTGTGACGCGGGATTTCTCAACCGACGATGTGGACCACTTAGCATTACACAGCGGACATATATCGTCCAGACAGAATAAAGGCAACTCACAGCCGGCTAAGTCGGCTCCAACGGTAAGTCACTGCATATGAGCCTACCAAAGCAAGTCACAAGAATCGACACTGCTCAACAGCCCTACGAAACAAAAGGGACACTGCAGCAACCAACAGGGTGGAGGCAACTCTGCCCCTCACAAGGCGTCCGCGGGGCACGACAATCTTGAGCCAGGCTCGAGACTGTGTGTTGGAAGACACGCGGGAACTCGTGCTAGTAGGTCAGTCATCAGGGGTTAGATGCAGTGCTTAATGCAGGTCGAGTGGCTTGTCGTTGGCAGCACAGAGAGAGAGACACACACGCAGACAGCCTGACAGCGCGCCAGATTCCACTCGCTCTCTCTGCGAATCCGCAGTGACGCACACAGCAACATACAATAGAACTGCAGAAGAAGAATGTGGCAGTGGCAGTGCTCACTGCCTAGCGCCTCACACATCCCTGGTGCCCCTGTTCTGTTTTGCCGTGCGGGCCCGACAACCACAAGAAACTATTGGATGCCCCTGCGAAGACGTTGGACTTGGGCAGGGGTTGCTCGGACGGGGTGGTATTCTATTATACGCCTGGCTGCCTCTTTTGCTGTAAACAGCATCAGCCTCAATTCGTATCGACCGCTCTCAGTGCAAGCTGTGGACTCTGAACATCAACCCCATCCTCATTCTTCCATTCTCCAAACACTTTCTTTCCTTCTTTGTTCAGCTCTCTCCACTTGGTTCTCTCTCTTACTCCATTTTCCCGCGAGTTTGTTCATGTTTCGTTGTGGTTTACGCCGCTACATGGTCCACAACAGACTGGGTTTAGTACACGTACCTAGCTTGCGGGAGCCCGAGCCCCGGTAACGGCCGTGAGCAATTCGACACTTCTCCCGGAGCCAGCGCCGAGTTCGCCAAGTCCGCAACTATGGCCCACGGGTTCGAAGTCTACCGGGTTCCAGACCTTAATGTTGACGTCGAAGTTGCTCTCAGGAAGAGCGCCGATGACTTCAAGGGACTGCTCAATGATATCCATGTCGATAAGATCGAAAAGACTACCTTCTCCGATATATGCCGAAGTCTTAGCGCTATTCAATTCCAGCAACAAGAAAAGAAGACCTTGATGAATCTCAACAGGATTGAGTTGTTCCTTAGCGGCATGCACTCATTACAAGACGTCCTTAGAGGTAGGGGCATGGAAGATGTCGATGGTATCATGGCATTTATCTGGGGTCCAATGAGGTTTCTACTTGAGGTATGGACGCACATCTGGGATTCACAAAACTCAGCGTCGCAAAACTATCTCCTGGCTAACCTGCCTTTCCCCAACTCAGACCACCAACGTCAACGATAAGGCATTTGATCACATACTCGACGTTTACCAACGACTTGGCATCCAGATTCTTCCCCTTGACGAATACAAGCAATTCTTCGCAGAGTCGGTCAATGGCAGAGTATGCCTCCTCAATATCTACAAGGACGTCGCCGAGTTCCACAAAACCGCATATAGGTTATTTTCTCTTCGCAGCTCGTGTAAGCTAAATCACTTTATAAATCAGTTGATTTACTACCTACAATGAGTTCAATGTTCATACTGACAATGGGAAATACAGTATGGGGTAAGCTATACAAAGCGACATGGAAAGATCTAGGATCGACCTTCGATCACCTAGCAGCGAGCCTCAAACTCCACGCAGACTTCATTCGAACCCACGGAGATCGATATGCTTTGCGCGTAGACTCAGGCTTCGAATCACCACAAGACAACACTCTATTCGACCATAACAACTTCCGTCGCAAATCTCACGAGTACATGGACAGGTACCGCCAGCAATGGAAGGATTTCAGAGATAATGAAACAGCCAGGAAGAGGGAGCAAAAAGGCAAGGTCCTCAACTGGATCGCCGTGCCTAAGACGCTAGAGAATCTACACAAGAGCTTCGTCAAGAAGAGAGAGCCGTGTCCTGAGACCGGACGCTGGCTTTACACCCGTTACGACGAAGTCTCGAACTGGATGCGCGAGGACATTCCCAATGTTTCTGCCCTTTGGTTCCATGGCAAGAGAGGCATGGGCAAGACCGTATTGTCGTCTCTCGTGATTACCCGCTTGGAAGAACTCATCAGGACCAAAACCATACCCTCCGACGTGCAGATTTGCTACTTCTACTGCCGCGAGGACGACCCTGAGCTGAACACGTATTTTGGAATATTAAGGGGCATCATCCACCAGCTTGTCTCCGCAGTCAGCGTACTCAGCCACGACCCAGACGAGACGAACGATGAGGAAGACGAGAGTCCAGGCCACTGCAGCAACAACAATGGGTTTATACTCCCTCTCTGCGACGACAAGATCTCAAGTAGCGGTGGCTCGACTCTGTCGACCGCAGAGGGGTGTCTCTCGCTCATCGAGGCCTTCTTCGAGATCCACCCCCGTCTGTACATCGTCGTGGACGGACTTGACGAGTGTACTGGCCGCGTGGAGATTCATCAGGCGGTCTCCTTCCTGGTAAGCCAGGTCTCACGTCTTGACGAGATTAATCAGGGACAGCTGCGCGTGCTCTTCATGAGTCAGCAGGCCCCCGACGTCAAATCGGCCATGATGAAGCCTACCGTCAGTCCACTCATAGGCGAGGTTGAGCTCAAAGATAACGACAACACGCAGGATATACGGACTTATGTGAGGAGTCGGATGAACCCAGCAGAGTTGGCCAGATTGCGCCGACCTGTGAGAGGAAGGATCAACCCCCGTGAGGAGTTGATGCCCCCTGGAAACAACTTCAACCTTCTCGAGAGAGACATACTGCGCATCGAGGAGGAGGTATCGATGCAGAGTGAGGGTAAGCTACTTGTGGTGTGTAATTTGAGGACTTGGGCTAACCAGACTGCCAGGCCTTTTCCTCTATGCGGTCCTTGCTGTGGAATACTTGTTGAATCAATTCACCAAGGGAGACCTTCTGCAGAAAGTCAAATCAAGAATGCTTCCTGAAGGTATTGCTAAGATGTATGACGATCTGCTGGGGACTCTCAAGGAGAAAATGTTGGACTTGTCTGAGACCCACTGGGAAAAGGCCAAGCTGCTCCTCGGATGGCTGGCCTGCGCTCATCGCCCGCTCAAATGGCACGAAATACAAGCCATCATTGCTTTCGACCTCGTGGAAAATGAGATCAACTTCGATCTCCGGATGATTCGGAGAGACAACATCAATGACTTTCTCGGCTCGCTGGTCGAGGTCTTACCGGGCGATGAGATTCGGCTCATGCATTCAACCGTCAAGCAGTAAGTTGACTTATATTCCCCACGGGAGAGCTCGAGAGACTAACTTGGCTATTCCAGACATCTGGTGGATAGTAGACACGTTCACTCGAAATCAGTTCAATGTGATCTCGCCATTCTGTGTCTTCGCTACCTATCCCTGCCTTGCTTTACGGACGAGAACTACACCCCAGCCGAACGCTATGAACAGATTCAACTGGGCTACTTCTCATTCCAAGACTACGCCGTGCCTAAATGGTACAAGCATCTTGAGACCGTCATCGAAGACTGTCATGACATCTTTGCGCCCGACTTCTACGTCGACGCAGAGCAGGGACGGCAGCGTAATTTCGTCTACGACTTCGACGATGCCTTACACAGGTTCACACAAGCCTACGATACAGACCTCAGAAGTCTGACGGACATACACCAAGAGTTCCCGCATGAGCATCTCTTAAACTATACTCACTTACCATTCTACACTAATCTCATGCGGTTATGGAACCACATCTACACACACCAAAAGGAATCCGTCGACGACCGCAACAAAGCCGGCATCAAGCGTCTCCAAGACGCCTTCCTATCTCACCGCACGGTCCTGGAAGAAGAATACAAGCCGAGCTCGATTATGTGCGGACAGGACACAATTGAGACATACTACGGCCCCAACCAGTTCAAATGCGAACGCACGCTCTGCAAATTCTTCTACGAAGGGTTCAAGACCAAAAAAGAACGAGACTCCCACCACAACCGCCACAACAGACCCTACTCATGTCGCCTGGAGACGTGCAGCGCGGCGCCCTTTGGCTTCTCGTCCAACAAGGACATGGAGAGGCACATGAGGACGTACCATCCAGATGACAGCGAAGGACAGACGCCCTTTATACAGATGAGCAGGAGGGTTGAGCAGGCCAAGTTCCCGTGCAAGATTTGTGGCAAGTGTTTCACGAGGAATATCAACTTAAAGGGACACATGAGGAGCCATTTTGGCGAGAGGCCGTTTGCCTGCTCGAATTGCGGAAAGGCGTTTGCGAGGTTGAACGATTGCCGCCGGCATGAGCGGATTCATACCAGGAAAGGCTCCTGAAAAGGTCACTCGGGATATGGCTTAGGGTTGGGCGTTGGGCGTATACAGATCTTGACGAGGACTATCGATGCGAGGGGGCCTTTGAGATACTCGGGCTTTCTGTATTCACTGTCATTCAATAATATTCTTAATCTACTCTATCTGAAAGCATGTTCGTAAGGTAATAGGGGAAGCCATTAGGTCATGTGAAGCTAGTACGTGCAGTGCGGACGCAAGTTGACGTCCTCAAAATAGGCATATCGAAAGGATATTGAGGCTTAATCTTGAGGGATGTTCAGCTCACAGAGAACGCTTCATCTTTAGCATCGTCTACTCTCGGATCACTTTGAGACAACACTTGTGCTACGGACCACAAACAATTCTGCAATTGAGAGTCGAGTTTCACAAAAACGAAAAGGCTGTGAAAAATCCAGCATCATCCTTCAATCCTTCGGAAGGCCTTCGGGATAGGTATGCCACAATATCACTATATCAATCATATCAAAGTCCCCCAGAACTCCCAGAAATTTCGATGACGTTGCGGCATCATAGCAATCGCCGTGGCAGCGACCACTAACGATCGTTGAACGGTCACTGGGCGCGCGGACACGACGGACGATCACGACAGCGATCAGCGGGTGGCCAGGCCATTCCAACAGATTGTCGAACCCCATTCCGTGCGCTCCCAACTGCCGATAACCTCCGAAGATAACCTTTGGGACCCAAGATGCAGAAGATCAACCCTAGAGAACACAAGGACCCTGGCCTGGAAGATGGAAGAAGGATTCAGATTGCCAACCGCTCGCTTCTTGCATGCGCCACACATTGGTGGGTTTCGACCATGCCGTAAACTATCAGGACTGCATGCAAGAATTGAGGAAAACATACTGCATTTCATCCAAACAGTATGATAGCCACCCGCACCCGAATTAACGCCGTGTCGCCGAAATCTACTCTTAGTTCCTTCCAAGAAACTACTCCGTGATGTAGAGTGATCGGCGCCGATCGACAGACCGGATGGTGGCCGGTGAAAACGCTCACGGGCTGGTAGCGTGGCCCGGCGTTGCCACATCCAACCCGTATTGCGGCCGTCAACTCGGTTCAAAGCAAACCGAATGTCCTGCCAAGAGCCACGCCAGCCCACAAACCCGAAGATGAGGGACGGCCGTTGTGACTTGGAGGCTGGGAAATAGAACGTGACGACCCAAGCCTGAGACTAAGTGTAGCTTCGCGCAAAGGCGTGGCGCCTGCTCGTCTGTCGTCAAAGCCGAAGAACGATTCTGTCGAGCGTGACTGGGTATATTGGCGACGGGCGCTTGCTAGTCTGCGGGACATCGTCAGTCCCCTGAAAAGAAGCGGTTCCCAAGGAAATGTCGAAGGCCAGAACAAAGACCGCCCATCATGACTCAATGTGGCGTGGTTCAAGCCGACGACCGAGTCCAGGAACGGCATTTTGCCTCTGCTCAAGGCCACCAATGATGACTTCGGTCCAAATGGCAATGGCGCGGAAATTTCGACCAGTGGCGACTCCTAAACAGTGCTATGCGCCCAACATTGGCCAGCGACCTTCAAAAGAATTACAATCGTTTTCCTTCTCTGCACAAAACAGGGCCCCTTTCCATCTAGCGACGCTCACTAGCAGCGGCAAAGAAGAATTATCCGCGTGGAACGATGGATTGGCATGGCCAAAGTCTGCATGTTCTTTGTGTGAGTGGGTGTGTGGGGCCAACAGACACACCACAAGTCCACAACGGAGCCACGAACGGGTTTGGCTCAAGCAGGGCGAAGTGGCAGCAAAGAACCAATCAAGGTGGCTGTGGCGAAGAGCGAAGACTGGCTATGAACTGCTTTTTTTTTTTTTTTTTTGTAGCCGAAGTACTTTGGTGTGGCGATTACAGCTCAGTGGTATCCGTATAAACTGCAAATGCAAAGAGTTTCCTGTCTTGCTGATTGTAGACGATCCTACAGAAAGCTGTGACGAAGGTAGCATCAAGCTCAATCGAGGTTCCAGCGTCGCCTCATCGTGCGCGCAGTGACGCAAGGACGGCCGGATAGGACAGCTGCCATCTGGTTAGTGACGCCCCCGGCGAGACCAAACTGCTGGTATGTGTAAGGTACCTAGGAGCGGCAGCAGCAGCAGGTGGTGTGGTGGTGGTGTGTATATGTGAGTGTAGCGTGCATGAAGTTGTGACGATGAGCCAAGTCGATTCCTCCATCGGATAAGCAACGGTCATCGGATGCCAGACTTATTCCCGAGAGCGTCGAGAGCTTTCTTCCCATTTGTTGAGGCCAGTCTTGAGCTCCCGGTAATATCGACCATCTGTTGCAGCTAGTTGGAACATGGACGCCCGCCCGTCCAGCGCAGTACGAATTGTGATGAACGCGGCATCGAGATACCTCGGCGACTGCGTCTCACGTCCTGTGGAATTCGGAAAGGCCGGCAAGTCAACCCAGCAAAGCTCCATCAGCGACCGCCAGCAGAGGTCCTCCGGCTCCAGATTTCGGATTTAAAATGCCAGTCACACACATCCAGCAGCGGAATATCCCACATATTCATCGTGAAAGCTCACGGTGGTAGGAAGTCGGGCTTGGCGTTGGTGCGACACTTCGTCTTGATCATTCGCGGCGAAGCAGGCTGAGTCGATTGAACGCTTCATGTGCGCCTTTGAATTTGACTTGGCGTATCGATGAACCAGGAAGAGAGCTGTTCAGCCCTTACGAAACATGTATCTCTTGCTAGTTCCATGATTAGATGGATAAGCCCTGACAAATCAGCAGGCGAAACAAAACTGCGACTTTCGAGTTGATGGTAGAGCCGTAGCTCCGGGGCGAGCCCGGAGCACCTACGTCACGAGCACAATGCCCAGCAAATGTCACCGGCAGACATCCATACTCTGGGCCTCTGGGCTTCTGGGCTCTGGCGCACGCATCTAGAATGGTGTGCAGGCGAGCGGCGTCGATATCACGCAGAGTTCCTGTCTTTAGGGGTTGTGCAGTACCAGCTACCTCGATTCAGCACCCGAAAGCTTCGAGGGCCAAGAAGCGGACATCTACCGGATGGCCAGCAATTTCAGGACGTGTTTCCCATTTCAGTATCATCCCGTGGTGACATACTCTCAAATCCGAGTATCAATCTTATCAATTGGCTCAGATGACTGGAGCATAGACCGTAAGGAAAGAGACTGGTCGGCAAATAGAAGACAAGACTGAATTTGCTCCCTGGCCCAATTCCCGAAGATGCTTGCAAGACGTGGGTGGTCCAAGAACAGCAAGATACACCTGGAAGAATCTGGGGTAAACAGGGGTGATACGTTGCCGGGGCTAGTACCAGGGGTGTCAGGTGCTCATATTCGGGGGAGGTGGCCGGCTAATACCTTTCGACGGGAGGAATGTCGAAGGAGTGATTCCCTCGCAGTTGGACGGCGTTGTTGCGAAGTGCTAGGTACGCCGGCCGTTGGACCGCAGGCTTGGGGTTCGATTTGGAGAATGCCATGCTTGTGCTAGGATAGCTGGATGCTTGCGAAGCTGCGGGCTGGCTCGGTTGGAGAAGTACGTCGGCCTGGATTCTCTGTTGCTTGATACTTGCCGTGCTGTGTGAGTCTTCGATGGCTGGATTGGCCCGGTAGACAAGCTTGGAGAAGCTTGGAGCTTGATGCTTCTTACTCTTCCCTCCTTCTACCCACCCACTCACTGATCCATCCATCCATTCCGTCCTGAAAAGTGTGAGCGGATTTGGAGACAGTGTGCGTGGCCTTAGCTGCCATGGAGGGTTCGTCGAACGTGCAGGATGGTGGGTACCTGTGCGTGGTCCAGGAACGCTGGTCCTTCTCTCAGATTTGTCACTGGAGCTCGAGAAACGTTCAACATTTGAGACAGCCGGCGAGGACGACATGATAGGTTGATGGAACAAGGCCACACAATCGCAACGAAAGCGGTTGAAGCTGCAGAAAGTCAGTCTCCATATCGGCTGCCGTTCAGCCAGGAAAAAGCCGACAGGCCCAGCTGTTCAAGGGTGGATGTCCGATGGATGGACGGATGCCCTTTTGCACAGCCTCAAAAAGACTATACCGATTTTGAAAGACAGGCCAATCCAAGTAATCCAATATCAAGGTGGATCCGCAAAGGACACCAGTCGAGAGTGAGACGAATGAAAAGGCGGTTCATGTTTCAACAACTGTGATCCGTCGTGGTCCAGGTGTGGGCCCTAAATCTCGGCGCACCTGATGCATTGCATTTTTGCAATTGCCTGCACGCCTGGGTTCCAAGACTCCAAACCCAGAATCGACCGGAAATACGCACCCTTACTGTAGTAGTAGTAGCCGTAGCTCACTTGCTTCTCATGTCGAGTCATCAGTCGTCACAAATGTTTACAGTGGACCATTCTGCAACTCCTAACGCAAGTGTTCTCGTTAACTCAGGGGGAGGGGGGCATCCTTCGTCGCTGGGGAAGGGTTGCACTCTGAACTGCGGCTAGGGTAGAGCCCGATACCCCCTCGATGATTAGAGTAATTTGGGGAAAAGTTGGAGAATCGTCTGCAGTCGAGAGAGAAGGGTGACAGTGCCGAGCCGCGAAGCTATGTCGTACAGACGGTTGATTCGATGCGGCCTTGTCTACAGTCTATCGGAGCAGACGCGACTGTGTTGAAGTGCTAATCTCCGTCAATGAAACTCGACCCAAGCAGCAGCAGCAGCATACTTCGGTTGGCCCTCTCTTGTGAGTGCCCGTCTCTGCTTGGTACTGCCATCGACTAAGATATGGCTGTACCCGTGCCGCTCAAAGAGACAGTCTTCTGTTATGGCTTCAACAGTGGCAGAACAAATGTACCCCAAGCTTCGAAGCTTGCAAAGCTGCAAGAGAAATATCCTCTGTTGAGCAAGCTTTCGTGCTCATGCCGGCGGAAGCTCCGCAAGCAACTTCTCAGGATTCGTCAGGAGCTTGTGTGAGTGCCTGCCTACCACACCATTGAATCCTTGCAGTCGTTCCACCGTCGTCGAGCAGAGCTAATCCCCATTCCCCACACTCTGCCGTAGACACTTAGTGCATGGTACGTGCTGAGATATGCGATGCTTGTCTCTCGATGAATACCAAGCCGGCGGGCGTGGGCCGCGGAAACGCGCGAGAGTTTGTGTTGATGCGAAGATGCAGTTGACAGGCCTCGCGATCGGGAGCACAAGCTGCAATTGTAAGGGCTGAGCTGCTTGCAGCAGTTGCTGCTGGACAGGGAGCAACGACGGGTGATGAATAGCCCAGTATGCAATCAGGAAATTTATTTAGACTGTAATGGATGGATCCGTTGGCAATTCGATCGTCGTCAGCCAGCCGTGGAGTGTGGCATCTGAAATAAGACACCCAGCCTATTGGTATTCGTTCCTGACGCAGACCGAAAGGAACGTCAGTTGTTTGCGCCGTCGGTGAGAAACCGTGACCACGCTGATCCTCGTTGCCATTGCGGGCCACACTCACCGTCTTCCATCGAGAAGCCCTGGACCTGGCGCTGAAGGGGGAGGCTTGTGTCTGAGATAGAATGCCGGCAGCGGTATCCCGTGACGGCTGTCCACACTATCAGAACGCTTAAGCAACTGGAACTTGCAATCCGTCGATGGACTGGCACCCGGTAGCTAAAACAATTTGTTTTCAAGCGTGCTACAGCTGCACGTATCATCACGTCCAAGGATGGGATGGCATTGCTGGCTGCGTCCAAGGATAAAATATCCGTCTCCCCAAGCAGGTAAGCCGGTGTTGAACCTCATATCCCTGAGCTGACAAAGTATCGGAAGAGGTCACAAGGACGCCAGACGAGGGTGTGGGACAGGGGTGGCTTGTTGAGCCGTTGATACCCCAAATCGCTAGGCTCGCTGCTGTGCCCTGACCGGTCCGGGCGTCGCCGTGAACAGAGGCGGTAGCGGTAGCGTATCCGTAGCGTGGGCGCTGTCAAGATGTTGGCGGCATCGCCGGCGTCTACTACTCAGCCGTTTTCTCTCATCGTCGCAGCAAGATTCATTTCAACAGTGTAGGCAGGACAACGCAGAGCGACGGGGTCCTTCAATCTCGTATCTTGTGTCGGGCGGGCGAGGCGGGCGTGGCAAGCGAGCTTGGGACAAAGTTTCGACAGCTCTGGATTCCGAGGAAAGCGCGCGAGAGAGCCCTGCCCGAGTATGGATACTAGTCACCGACGGGCTCCCCCAGCATGACATGTCGTTAACAGGAGGTTATTGCGAGGGTTCCATGGAGGAGGGCATAAAAGCCCACCCAAGCGATTCGCCGTTGGACAATGAGGGCGGGTAGCCAAGCCCCTCCATCCATTGACTTGCAGATAGGTAGGAATCGTTGCGCTTTCCCGTCGTCTGCAACCCTGGAGCTCCACCGACGTAACAGCAACGTGTGAAGGTGTGCGGGCTAAGACCCCGGCCCATGTCGACGAAGCACAGTGAGCTCCGGTCTTAGCCAACACTGTCAAAGGTACATGGAGGACCGAATAGTTGTAGTAAGTACCTGCTTGATAATGTCTCTTTTTTTTTGTGTATCCCCGGGACCAAGGCGGCTGGATAAGATCGACGGGCCTCTATGGGTCTCGACTTTGTGCTTTTAGTGTTGGCACTGTTATTAATAGAGTACAGACCGGAAGTTTTTGTGCCTGCTCTGAATGGTATTAACAGGCAAGAATCTGGAAGCTCAATTTTAAGCGGGCGGTATTCGTACGTTGGTGATAGCACGGCTCACACTCCGCGGGCCTGTGGAAATACATCCCCAATAAATTTTGATCTTGATAGAGGTTGAGAATTACGGTCCCAAACGGAGTCGAGGCTCGGGCGATGCCCAGTATAGAAAGAAACATTGCGTACAGAGAGTCCAGCCGATCGCTAGCAAGGCACCTAGGACGGTGACATTTCCTGTCACCTCCTTAACGAGAGATGGATGCGTCGGCGACGGAATGGAACGCAATTGTCTGACGCAGGGCATACTGGCGTCGATGTTGAATGATATCATTTTCCTATCAGCGCAGCTCGAACGACAGGAGTCCGAAGATACTGTCAGTCTGTTTCTGTCTCGGCCCGCCTCTATGCTCGCTCTCTCTCTCTCTCTCTCTCTCTCTTCATGCGTGCTTCGAGGTTGCCATGCAAGGACATGCTTTTGTGCAAAGATCTGAAACTGTGACGCAGCTTTGGCAGAGTGGAGGGATCTGGATCGCGGGTGCTACCAGGCAGGCCCTGCTAGCTCCGTGTGACTCTTATTCTCGCGATTGAGGCGCCATGGGATTTTCGATGAGTTGGACCCTCTCGTGCCTCTGTCTAGGTGTTTCGGTCTGTGCCATTGGCGCACAATAACGGGCGGCGGGCACATGTGGACATCTGCAGTCAAGCGGAGACAAGTGGCATCAGTGCCTCACGTTTCTAGACTGCCCATTGATAGCGAGGCAAAGCCGTCATTGTGTGCGCGGGAGGTGAATAATACGATTGTAGTAAGAGGCCGCCGCCGGCGTCGGACCCTGAGAGGACGGCGCACGCTGCTGATGACTTTGATCGGGTACGGCGACCGATACAGTGAGCACTGGGTCTACAGAAGGCCATTTATTCGTTCATGAGCCGATATAACAGATTTGGTATTCGGCAGCCGGGGGGGGGGGGGTCGAAGAAACTAGAGTACAGCCAGATCGTTCGTTGCCTCATCTTTGTAAGCTATTATGGTGTGCGACTACTCCGTACCGCTTTAGTTATGACGATTTGTGCCAGGTAGGTTGTCGTATGAACGGTCTTGGAACTGACGCAGTTCGAATTTCGAAGTATGCTGACCGCAGCTCGCACAGGTGGTCGCCATGCATGCTGGACATTCTGGAATCCCCAGTGGCGGCGGCGGCGGCGGCGGCGAGACATGAAGTCGGGTCGGCTGCCTGGCAGGGCAGGAAGTCAGAGGAACCCACTCGCCGTAGCCGAGACGGGTCCATGATTGCTGGATCCGTGTGTATCTGGGCTTCCCGTTTCCCGTAGTGCGCCGATAGCCGTATCGGAGAAATTGCTGTCAAAGTCGATGGCTGGGCCGAGCTATGGCCTTCTGGTGGACTGAGCAGGAGGTTGGGCCAGGTCAGGATGTGCTCATCTGGCCGATGGAGGGGCAAAGCCGCTTGTGCTGAAGAACTGGTGGTGGTTGTGACTGAGAGTGTGACGGTGGCGACGATTGGTGGTGGAGAAGGGCGTGGAGACCTCGGTGCTTGGGTCGTAGGTGATTCGGTGAGGGAGCGAATGTCCACCTCAGATTAGAGTCTTGGACTGTGACAAGGTGGAGTCTGTGGCCAGGGCTCGAGACGAGAAAAAGGGCTCAGAATGGAGTGACATGACAGCTGGCCGTGATTCGATCATGGGCTTTGGGGATGCGGCGACGGCGTGGGTGGATGCGATGCGAAGCGATGGTTATTGTTGCGGCCGCCGGTCAAGACTGATTCTCGAAAAGGACAAACCGAGCCACCGAGGACGCCTCAAAGGACAGGCTCAGAGATGCGAACAAGGCAAGAATTTAGGCCCGATAATCAAGGCAACAGGGGTCTTTCCGTTCTATGCCGCGCTTCGAAGGCAGGTGGGCACTGGCACTGGGCGTGCCTACCTTACACAGTAGTACCTAGGTACGAAGGTACGGAGTATCCGGCCCCGGGTAAACCAGGAGGAGTGGGCTCCTTTTTTCGTATCTTGATACTTTGTTTGATATCTCATCACGTGAGGGGACCTACAGTACATTCATGGCAAGAACATGAGAGTTGTGAATCGTGCCTTCTCTCGGATGTTGCCCGGGGAAGTGAAGTGCGGTGATAATGGGAAGGCAGCAACTGCCAAATATGAAGCCTTGAGCAAGACAAAGTTGGTCGTACCTTCTTACGACTGAAGCACGGGACGGTAGAGTGGGCCCTGTCGCACTGTGCTTGGTGGGTTCTAAACTGGTGGCACGGTCGCCCAATCATCACTGGTAGGTCCCTGCTAAGTGAGGTACCTTACGTGCCACTCCAGCCCGAAGACGGGGAACTCAAAATCTCACGTTGCTTCTCGTCTCAAACACCAAACACCACACAGCATCTTAGCAGACAGTAGGTAAGAAGACAACAGGACTTGGAGATGGGATAAGGTGCTTCTTTCGAGTATGGCCTTACGAATACCTTACCATACCTTACCGCACGATCCACGACGACACAACTACAAACTGCCTTGCATCTGCTCATGCATTCGCACTTGCACTTGCACTTGCACTTGCACTTGCACTTGCGTTGCAGCTTGATGCAGCGCGCTAGCATGCAAAGAGGCAGGGTGCCGCCATTCTCACCAGCCACTCACGATGCACCTCATGACAACGCCCTTGCTCCCCCAGTTTTCAACCCAGCCAAGCCAGCACCAGCTCCAGCACCAGCTCCAGCACCAGCTCCAGCACCAGCAGCGGGCTCGCAAGTCGATCGACTGATTCTGCTGCTTAACCTATGGCACGCCCTTTCAATGGAACTCTCCATCTGCTACGGAGTACTCCTGGTCTTTTGGTCAGTGTCTGTCGACCTGTCGGGATCCACCCGCTGCTGTGCTTACACCATCTCAAGCATCATATCGAATGACAACTAACAACTTGATCCCATGGCTGTCGACATATTCTTCCGCTTTCACTGCCCCTAGGCTTCGACACCGAGCAAGAAACGTACGTTGGGCAATAAACCACTGCCACATGCCGAATCAGGGTTGAACAACACGTTGAGCACGGATGCTTGTCATTGGACGTCGGCTGGCCCATCAGATACCCAACGCGCTGATGCTGATGCAAGTCGTCTGCACTCTGCAACATGCGAACAGAAACGGGCCTGGTGCAGCAGAAACAAGAAGAAAGATGCATGCCATTCGGCCATGGCCCCATCGGCCACCGATGCAGCAATGAATGGAATGAGCGGGTGCTTCAGCCTCCAAAACCCTTCATTTTACCTTGCCTTAGCTTTCACGACGGCCTGGATACCTGTCCCGACTATAGAGGATTGCGAATTATACGGTAATCCTCCAATTGACCACAACGCTAGGACCAAGGTTGCTAGACTTGTTGACCCGCCTTCAGATTCCCAATGGCACAGGAAGGGAACTCCGTTGATCACCAGAGCGCACTCGTACCTACACTATGAGCCAGCTTACGTGCCCACCCAAGCAACCCAAGCATTAGAGTATCGTCGATTTCGAACGTGGTTTACTCCAGAGTCCGGAAAGTCAGGCACACGCGAACCGCCGACTGATGATGAACCACAGCTGGCCTGACCTCATCTTGCCGCTTCGATGATACCTCGCTCATCATCTCCATTGCACTGCGGGCTGCTTAACTTGCGCTGGATTGGCTACAATGTGGAAAACCTTACCTCCCATACATGCAAGCACACACACCGGATGCCTTGCTGTCTTGGTGCCACCTACAGATCAATACAACTCCTCTGCATCCACAAAGGACGAGAAACTTCGGTACCTGCTCTACCCGGCTTTCTTCGCGTGGCCCGAGGTACAAAATCGTGCCGCCGGGCTCTACGGTGGACGATGTACCTACCCAACCCGGGTGACCACGAGGCGGCACCGTGTTGGATACAGAGAACCCTGATCAGCGCCTCTTGGTACCGATGTACCCAAATGTCTACCTACCATCTCTCTTCCACTCTGCGTTGCCTTCCAGACGTGTGTCATTTGCAGCCACCGGGACTGGACTTGCTTTCTTTTTCCTGCCACGGACGGCCGAGGTGAAGGTTGCTTTCTTCAGTGCCCTAGAGCTGCCCCTCCAAAGGAAAAAAAAAAAAACAAAAAAAAAAAGCACGGCCACTTCGTCCTCCGGCTATCGGTCTCGGTCTACTTGGAGTTCTTTGCCATTCGCTGAAGCTGACGGCCGCAGTTGTCAGCACATCGATTCGAGTGAGCGATAGCGGCCTGGCCTGGTTTATCATGTTTCGCATTTCATCGCAATCGCTCTTGTCAGGCAGGGCGGGAACGAAACGAACGCTGGAAAATCACCTAGGTACACACCAAACAGCCGCAGCAGCAGCTTGTTATTCCGCTGAATTTGGTCCGTTGTCAATGCCGAGCAAACCGGACCAGCCAGGCACAGAATGAAAAGAATGCCTACACCGGACGTCGAGAGAAAAGAACAAAAAGGTTTTGTTGCTTTGGTCGTACGTATCCGCCGTGCCACGCCAGGCCAGTGTAGGTGTCCGACATCACTCAACTAGTCAACCTAGCTTAGCACTCACACCTCACCGGGCGTCACACACCGTCTTTGCTTCGGATCATATCCTAGCTGAGCACCAGTGGGAAACTCAATTTCACAGCGGACACTCGCCCGGGCCAGGCTTGGCCTGCCTCTGGAACAACCCCGGGCCATGAGATATCCAGCGCGGGATCCTCCATCCAATCCACTTTGCCGCTGAGCCAGCCAACGACAGGCCTGGCATGTCGAGTGATGCGACTGGACGTGGGCTGCTCTGCGTCGACATGACCTTTGGGTACAAATACTTTGTGCTCCGTGCGGATAAGAGCCTTGGACTCTGGAGCCTGAGACGGCACTGGGCAGTTGCTCTATTTCCGAATATCTGCCCTGGCCTCTCCGTGCCTTATGCAGATGAATTGTGAGAGAATGCCATGGCACAGCACGGCAGCTGTCGTGCGGCGACTTTGGCAAAGGCGGGCGGACAACCAACCACAACAGCGGCGTCGGGCGATGGACAACGTGACGACCTACCGACGGAGCCCTGGTGAACGTCCGGCAATGAATGGCTTGGATCGCGACGCAGAGATACAGCATCTCGAATCCGCAGGGTAGTTTTCAGCATTCACGCTTGCTATTTGTGAGGCAAGCCATGTTCGCGAGAGCCCAGGATGAGGCTGGTCAGATATCAGCGGGAACGGCTTCGTGCCGATTTACCATGTACAACGACAATGGGCAAAACTCAGTCTGGCCGTCTGATTCCTCTACCGCGACCAACCTTTCACCTCTGGCGCTGTCATTGGCATCAGTTGAATAAGCTCGCAGAGGCTCACGCGTCGGGTCCAAGTCTCGTCGCCTTGCCGAGATGTCCGACCCCCCGATACAAGTGTCGCATGTCTATTTCGCCATCGGCCAGTGCCCCGTGCGATAAGCCTGTGCAG